ACCGGGTTTTGAGTATGACTCACCCGAGGTTTTGCTCCATGAAGATCACCGACGACGTGCGCGAGTACGCTGCCCAGCGGGGCTACGCGGAGGAGGACGCTGAGAAGGTCCTGCAGGAGCGGCGGTGGCTTTCCGCTTGCGTGTGTGTGTCTTTCAATATAGGGAACGTCCCCAAAACGGTGGGTTTCAGCGGTTTTCCTTTGGGTTTCCCTTGAAAAAACGACAAACCAGCGGTTTTCTTGGGGTTTCCCTTGAAACACCGAGTGAAGAAGGGGACCCTCAAAGAAGACGCCCCCCATTTGGCCGATGGGATTGATTTGAAGAGGATGTCCCGGGATGAACCCAGCCCTCATTTCTATCATTAAGGATCTATGAGGGGCGTATCAACTTGGCGCAGCCTGCGTTAGGTCCATGCCATGACCACCCCTAAGCTCCAAACCACTGAGCCAAACCAATGAGAACCGTCGTTTCTTCCTTAAAGACCAGCCAGGCGAATCACCACTACCTTTAGGATATTACATTCAGGAAACTCCAAATAACGAATTGGGGTCTCCTCCACAGCTATTCCCAGAGATTTTACGGTAGACCATATTGGCTGACCATATTAGCTGACCAGAATCTGTGCGGGACAAGTACTGGTAGTCACGGTATGATGCTTCTAGGGACACTCCAATACACCAAGTCTGGGGCCAGAATTAGTTGTCGGTCAATTCGTGCCTCAGGTTTTGAAAACCGACGCCATTTCGCACCGCCACCTAAGAAACCCTAGAATGTTGACTCCCCACTGTAATTAGTAACAAACCCTATGGTTTCAATCTCATGGTTTCAAAGTGTGCTGTTTCCATATAGCCATAAATTTTAAGAGTTGGACCCGCCTCAAAAGCGATTGGTGGACATGAATCCCCACCGAATTCTGATTTCTACCATTTCGGCCCCCCTTGGGATAAATCAACCAATGCGCAAAATGTGGAATGACATGCCAGACCACCTACCAACTGGTGCAAGTTGGATTTTGTCCATCCCCTTTAAATATCAATACGCATAGAGGGATCAAGATTCCATAGTTTCCAGGCGTTTCAACATGGGTGTGGCTCAAAATTAAACAACTGGGATTACGCAGGTTTCAGTCTTTGGTTTCAGTCTCTGCCAAGGTGCCACATATTGGAAACATATTTTGACCCACAGCCATATTAGGAGGATTCCCAATGGTTTCAATTCCACATGGTTTCAAGGTTTCAAGGTGTGCACAGGGGGATCAAGATTCCATAGTTTCCAGGAGGGTTCAAAAACAAGGGAAATCCCCTGCTTTCACTTCCACTGGTTTCAAGCTTGCTGGTGCCCAGTAGGGAATGAGGGAATGAACCTGGGGATTCCCGAATAAAGGAAACCACCAGTTATGGGGGGGGGGATTCCCTTAAAGGAAACCACCGAGGTCATTCCCACCTTCCCTGCCAATGGCCCCAGCAAGCCCCAAGCCTGCATTTTTTTTCCCCCCAACCCGCCGGCCGTTTGGTGGTTGGCCGTCGGCGCCAGGAGGGCATGAAGGAGATGAGCGAGAAGTTCGCGGAGGTGGGCAGCGAGGCCCCGGGGGCTTGTTGTCGGTTTTTTCGCAGAGGGTGTGGTGGGTGTTTGAGGGTCCCCCAACTTTTTGTGTTTCTTTTTTTCTCCGGGTTTTTTGGTAGGTTCGGTAGGTTCTTGAGGGTACCCCCTCGTTTTTGGCGGGTTTTTCCGGGGAAGGCAACAGGAGAACTGAGATGCTGGTGCGATTGGCAGGGAATGAGAAATGGAATGACCCCGAGAAAAACCGACCCCGACCGGTGGTTTCCTTGAAGTTGACCCCTGGGTTCATTCCCTCATTCACTGAGCACTAGCGAGCTGAAGCTACTTTTTTTTTTTGGGGGGGGTCCGATTCTGAAAAAAGAGACGAGCAACCCATATGGTTGGTGAGAGCTGTTACTCTACCGCTATTGGGTTGGATCTTTAGGCAAATCCCAGAGGCAAATTGAAGAGAAGCGACCGCACCGCAGCCGGGAAATCGGAGTCCTCAGAACCCGAGCCGTCTTCTTTTTTCTTCTTTTCCGGTAGACAATCCTTAAAAAAGTCTTGTTTGTTTCTCCCCCGGTAGACAATCCTTTCTTTCTTTTTTTTTTCTCGGTAGAACCCGAGTCCAAAAATATGTTTTTGTCCCTGATCCTTAAAATCTAACCGAATCAGTTCTGCGCAAGTGGCGTGAAAGGTGGCCTGGTCAACCTCAAAGGTTCTAGCAGTTGATTCCTTCCCCAAACTGTTCAGCCATAGATCTTTTCACAAACCGGATCCGTTTCCCCAGGGTGTTTGGTGGTTTTCCAGAAAGAAGGATCCCTGGAAAGAATGGGGAAGCTACCCCTTGAATATAATGTAATTGTTTAGTGCTCCGGACAGCTCTCAAATGGGTTGCACCCCCTGGTCAAAGCAACAAACAGGGAGCAGAGATTCCACGCAAAGCGACAAACAAAACAAAAGCACATAGGATGATTTCCCAGAACCCTTTAAAGTCGTCACGGGCATGGTTGACATCTCCGACCAGAAACTCGTAGACGTCGGCGGTCGTTTAGGTTTACTTGCCCGTGGAGAACCTGATGTGAGCCAACTCATGGAACAGGAACTCATGGCTGGCACGACAGATTAGGGCCAGCTGCCTCAACCCGTTTCCACTCGGTGATCGGTCCAAGAAATCCAGTCTAATGTTAACCCCGGATGAATCAACCCTGGTTGATTTTGATTGGGGGTGTTCGCTTTTAGTGGGGATTCGGACCACTTTTGGAGGGAACAGCCCCCTACTAATGGGACGGGTTTATTAATCCAATGGTCCATTTGGGAGTCCCATGTCCTTCATGCTAGCAGCAAGTTTTGTCTGGCTCACATTCGTGATCCCCACCGGAAGCTGTGCGGAAAAGGATGTCTACTCCAGGACCCCAAAATTCAAACCATGAGGGCCTAAAGCACTTGCTGACATATTGCTTCTATGATTCTGGTTTCAACTTGAAAACCCCACTTCCCCACACTGGCCCTCATAGAAGAGGGGGCCCATCACTTGGGGGGACAACACCCCGCTTGATGATCCACCAGCTTGATTGATCCGTCGACATGAGTATTGGAGCGAGTGTGAAAATGAACACCGGAGATGTGGGTTGAGACCCGGCCCTATGGGGCTTGATCTTGTACAGACGTGCCTGGTTCGCGTGCGACCCGGGGACCAAAGTGGCCAGTCTTTAGGGCGGGGAGGTGGCCATTTGTTCGTTGAAGCCGCTGTGTGCCATTTAGGCTATGATCAGGATCTAGTGCCCTTTTACCAACTTGTTTGGGGGAGGGTTCCCCTACGAAAAAAAATGGTGCCCTTATTCTGACTTCTCTACTGGAGGACCTAGTAGACAATCCACATTGAAGAACAAAGCAGGCCCGGCCCTGCTTCAGAAGGCATCTGCCCGGTTTTTGCCAAGAGCGACGTTCCACACGGCCGGTTTTTGACTCGGGACACACCTGAACCACTCACTCCCGGAGTGATGTCCTCTGGAGGAGGATGGCACTGATCTCGCCCTGGTTCCCTTAGCCTCTTGCAACACAGAGTAATCTTGAAGCAGAAAAGGCGTGCTTGATGTCTTGCGAGTGCTGTGGGTCAAAACCAATGGGATCCCAATTTGGGGTAGGTGCACTACCCATTTTAGAACCTATTTTAGTGGGGATTGGGATATTCACTGGGGTACGGGCTTTTGACCCATGTCCATATGGGAATACCAGCGGTGCCTTGATGAGCTCCCGTTACCACGGGTTCATCTTGTTAAGAGGGAAATCAGAGCATCGATGTTGAAACAGGGCTCCTTAACAGATACATTTTGCCCATTTGAAACATGGCTTCTTCCAGCTAAATACAGGGATACCACCATTGACAAGGCAATGTTCAGGTGTATAATGTGAGGATCCCTGTGAAAGTATGATGTAAACCTTGTGAACTTTCATGGCTGGATCACTCACTCTATGGTCGCTGGTTGCATACATCTGCGTGTAACTTGTTTGCAACTTCCTTTTGAAGGCCATGGTGTCAGTGGGAGGGAGGGTATCTCGGGAACTTGGGAGTACCTCTTGCACCAATTTCCCACAGCGCACCTATGAGAATGACAGTTGCGAGCGTTTGAAAGTGGACCCAACCACAAGGATAGAGGATCGGGCTCTTTTTGCAGTTGTGGGCGTCATAGTAGTTGGCCCCCTGACCAGCAGTCGGTGAGTAACAGGACGCTGTGGTGAAGTTTCTGACAGTGGTCATAACACGCCTTCATGATTGAGTCCATCTTTATGACCCGAGAGAAGATTTCTCCTTTGGGCAAGTAAGACAAGGGTCTCAGATTGGTCTTGACAAGTTTGTCCGTGTTTACCTTCTCTATGTCTTGGAAGATGAATGTGATTGACTTTGTCCGATGACGCCGTCATTCTGGCATCACAACAATCTGTGTGAGGTGACCTGGCCCTCGAGTTCAGGGCATTCTCGGTTGTTGGGGGTTTGTGGAAAGGGGGGTCTACTGCTCGAATTTCCCCCAAGTAAACTTTTAGGTTACACGAGCAAAGCGCCTTGAAGGGCCTTCGGCCACTGGTTCTGGTTTCCTCACACGCACGGGTCAAGCAGTTGCAGTCAAAAGGGCCTGACTTCTCCGAGTCTGCGCCCCCCCAAAAAGTCGGAGTGAAGCAAAAAGCGTCCGATGGACGGATGTTGGAGCCTTCGCCAGCGCATCCCATGGATGGCTTCTGGTTTGTTCTGGATGGTTCCAGGGGCCACCGTTTCCCCCAAGTTTTGGTGAGTCGGGGATGTTTTTGTGGACCCAAACTGAAGCAGCCAGTGGTTTCCCGTCAAGATCAGGGTTGTGGGATCACTCGGGGTTTATCCAACCACTTCTGTGATACAACAAAAAAATGGGCTAGTCTTTGGGAGGCCCTTTTGACGATTCCATCCCCCACTGCCCTTGGGCTTCAGAGCCTGCGGAAACCCGCTGCCGAGCCCGCGACTGACGAGACGCCAGACACGCGTGCTTCGAAGTGGCAGGCGTCGGAGTGTTTCAATCATCAGTCGGAGTCGGGGGGGGGGGGCTGAATCGAAGGCGATGGCGATTTCGCGGCACGAGGGGTGGCTCGTTTTTTTTTTGGGAGTTGGCACCCTCCCACCAGCGAACATGGGCTGGTGCTCAGACACCTGTAGAAAGACGACTTTCCTTTTGGAAAGGGCCTTTTTGCACTTCCATGTCAGTTGGTGGGAGGGTACCCCTTTGGTGGTTGTTAAAGGGAAGCCCCAAGGAGAGCCACAAATTCGAGGGGTGCAACCTAAAAAAGACGAGCCAGCTGGTGGCATCGGAAAGTGGCGAGGGCGTTTGTGACTAGTGGACGTGGTTTAGGGCATGGCCTTCCTGGAGCTCTTGAATGGCAGATTACCTGGGTACTCGGAAGGACTTAGCAAAGTTGCCTGGGAAAGGGGCTGGTTTCCCATGGCTTGGATCCGAGCAAGGTAACCAGGACAGCCTTTCAACTTGTTTCTTTTCCAGGAAATGATGCTGCATGAGTTTGCCAGCTCGCCGATCCACGACGAACTCGGGCCGCATGAAGGGAGCTTTTTGTTGTAACTCAGATGGGGAGATCACAACAAGTGCAACAAGGGACCTTCCAGCACGCGCCAGCTTTTTCATGACGCGGAGAAGTCGATGCTTCATCCAGCTCGTGGGCTCCGAGAGGTGCTCGCGGAGCGACGGAGGGCGTCGAACGCCTTGGATCTCGTGGAGTCAGCGGGCGGTGAACTTGGGAGATCGGCGCTTCAAGTTCGGGAAGGACCCTGAAGGCTACATCTCGGGTCGACGTACAGTGCCAGGCGAAGTGATCCCCTTCTACGCCTTGGACGAGAAGACCGGCCACTGGCAACCGAAGCAGCTTGTGGGGGAGGGGGTGTTCGGAGGGGTTCAATTCTCGTAGGCCCCTCCATGTTCCAGGATAAGGATTGCGTTTGGTGCCTTTGGTGATCTGCAGCGTGGGTTCAACCCCTGGATAAACCCGTCCTATTCATACAGACGGGGGTGTTCCCAGCAGCGGGGGGGCGGGGGGGGGGGGGGGGGGTGCTTTTGGCAGTGCGACGGAGATGCACCCAGCGCGCCCCCCCCCCATGTCTGCGTGTCCTAGGAACCCGGGTTTGAGCATAGGGCTTTTCGCTGACAAAACCGCGAGAAGCTGCCGATGGTTTAGGTGGATTTGTTCTGCATTAGCTCGTTGCGGTGCCATGGTTTGCTGGCCGCTAGGGCAATCGTTTTCTTAAAGATGTGGAAGCAATGTGAAAGTTTGAGGATTGTGCCGGCAACCTGTCTTATCAGGGCGCTCGCACGAAGAAGGACCATGACGGTCTTGACCCTTTCTGGGAAATGTCAAATGGGCCCATACCGATAAGCCCTTAATCCTCTAGACTCTAGACATACATCCTGCTTCAATGGTGAAGGGGAATGTGCTGCTTGCTTGCTGGCTCTGCAATTGGCAGATATGGATAAGGGGCTTTTTCCTACTTCCGATATTGAAGGCTGAATAGTTATCAACATTCTGCCCCTATGACTTGATATGGACAAGTCGACTTCGCACCAGTTGGGATTGAAGAAACTCTGTACGCATGGGTTAAGCCATCCATCCCGACTGATGCAAATCGGATTTTGTCCATCCACAGATATGGATATGACTCAAAATGGCTCTAGCTAGGGCAAACCGCAGGGTTTCAGTCTTTGTTTCCATTTCGCCAGGGAATTGGTCTGAATATTGAATCTAAACAAGAAACCAGCCCCTTTAGAATTTGCTTTCCAGCCTCCCTGGGTGCCATTTTAGGTACCACTTTTTGAGCCACCGCCCTCTGGGTTCGAAAGGCCTCCAATTCCATTCCGGTCCAGGCCATGGCGCATGTGGCGCGCGAGATGCTGAAGAAAGAGCTGTGCCAGCTGATGAAGGCAGGAATGATCTGTGAGAAGCGGTCTGTTTCAGCTAGGTGCCCTTGCTCCCAACTTTTTTGGGGGGAAGATTCCCCTACTAAAACAGACTACAGAAACAAAATATCGGGTGCCAACTTATTCTAACCTCAGTCTCTACTGGAGGACCTAGGTGAGGCCCCAGAAGCGGGCCGTTTTTTTGGGGAGGTGTTGTCTTCGGACATGGGGGAGCTTCCCCAAAAATGGGACGAAGAGGTCCTGAAATCAGCTTTGGAAGAGGTTTTGACATGTTGATTTTCTCCCGTTTGAGCCAGGCGTGTGGTTTTCTTCGCTTCCTCTGGGCCATTGTTTTTTTTTTGGGGGGGTCGGTTTTTCGCGAGGATGAGAGCAGCGGCTTCTCGGTGGGCTTGGAAGATGACTCGGACAGTGGGTCGACCGTGGGTCGTACAGCTCTGTTTGGCGCAAGGCCCACGGAGGGGTGATCGTCCCATGGTTTGCCAATGGTTTCGCCGTGTTTCCCCATTTATTTCCATGGCTCCCGGGCCGGTCAGGGTGGCTGTCCCGTGGCTTTACAGGAGGTGTTCCCAGGTGTTGGCGTGGTTTTCCCTTGGAGCTCCAAAAAGTTTTTAAGGACCGAATGAGGTGAAATACGACCAAACAAGGAGAAACCAAAATAAGGCAAGTTAGAAGTTATGTAAGAAAAAACGCGTGTAATGCTTTAGCCGCTGTTTTGTGGTACCCCGAACAAACGAGCCTCTTGATTTCTTATGTACCCGTAAGACTCTTGTGGGAGGCTTGTGAGACGGGAGCTCCACTCCAGGAGACACCCACTTTTTCAATTAGCCGGGGTCTGTTTATTCAGCGTTGCCATTAACCAACGAGCACTTCATTTTTCCTTCGGGGTTTGCAAATCACGCGCGAAGGGCTCCTTTTGCACCTGGAAAAGGCCGGCAAATGTTGGGATGCAGGGGTGTGGATTCTTTTTCCCAATTGCCCGAAGACCCAGGGAATACTGATGGCCAGGAAACGCATTAGCTTTCAAAAAGACGGCCTAGCGTGGACAAACTTGCAATTGGCACCCGTTGATAGATGGTTTATCCCATGATTTCTTGGGTTTCATCTATCCCATCTAGGCTAAAAAAGGTTTTTTGGTAGGCGGTTTCTCCCGTTACTTGTAGGATCACCGGAACGGTTCCATTTCTATCCCCCAGCGGGCTGGGGCTCGAGGACTTTTTCAAGTGGCGCGTGGTGTTCGAAGGGCCCCAGGACAGCTTGCGCGGCCCCTCAGTATGACCCGTCTGAGAAAAAACTGCCGCTCCCCGAGCTCCTTTTTTTTTCTTCTTATTCTTGTTTGTTTCTTTTGTTTTTCTCGGAAGGCAAATATGGGGATTCAGTTCCTGGGTGGTTCTTTCTCTTCGAAAAGCAAAAATATGGGTATTCAGCTTCCCTCCAATTGGGAGCTAGAAAACTGGTTGGTGCGATAAGTAGGGAATGAGAAATGACCCCGAAGTAAACCATCCAACTGGTGGTTTCCTTTAAGTTCACCCCATTTCCTCATTCCCTACTGAGCACCAGCAAGTTTAGGAAGTGAGTTTGGGTATGGGTCAAACAAACCCACCAGGACCATGGACCGCAGGTTTCAGCCATTTTGGGGTTGCCCGACTTTGTGACCCACACCCATTTGTAGACGTTCCCTCGTGGCGATTCTTCCACATACGAGTGGCCAAGGGCAACCTTGTAGGATCCGCAACCAGCGGGCGGTCTATGTGAGGGCGCCTCGTATCTCGCTTCGGCGAGGTTTCTGAAAGGCCAGCCGGCACCCGGCCTTTCGACAGCATGGCCCTTCCGTTCCACCAGTCACCTTTGGGCCATGTTCGACGTCCTTTTTTTTCTCCGGGATCTGCAACGCTCCGGGATCGCGTCGCGCGCCCCGATGGCTAGCCCGGTTCGTGCAGCTCACATGGAACAAGTGGCCTGCTTTGCGGCGCTCCGGGCGGTATGCTGAAATCAACCGAGATAAGTGGGTCCTGTTCCGTGACTTGGATCCCTCCCGTCCTCTTCAATGGGACACACCTTGTTGGTCAACCAGGGGCTCGTCGTCCCAGGTTCCCAGGATTCATCACTTGCAGGTGGAACGGCATGCAACTGTTCAGGGATACTCCGGTTTGAATGCATTCTTTGCAGCCAGATCCCGCAGCAAACACCTGAAATCGGAAGTCTTGCTGCACGTCAAGAAGCCCTGGATTTGATGAATCGGCTTTGTGTTGGCCATAGTGACGCACCGAACATTTTGGGCACCCCCGTCCGGAAAATTAAATAAAACACCCATAAAACGAGCAGTCCGGACGCCGGTCTGAGGACGCTTGTTGGTATTTCAGGGGGTCCGATCCCTCTTCTGACCCTTTCAACCACCCGTTTCAAAGAACGCCAAAGGTTAGGCCCAGTGAGGCCTTGGTAGGCCCAAAGAAAGCGCCAAGAAGACTTGCTGGTTCTCAGTAAGGCATGATCTCGGGTTTTGGGAATGAACCGGAAGGAGGTCCCCTTCAATCAAACCATAGGCGGGATCATTTTGGTCGGGGTCATGAGCCATTTTTCATTCCCTGCATCTCTCGCACCAGAAAATTGCCAAAAGCCCAAGCAAAGTCCTAAGTCCAACGCCGTTTTTTTTTTTTTTTTTTTTGGGGGGGGGGGGGTGTTTTTTCCTTCTTTCTTTTTTGGGGAGGGGTGGGTGGGTTTGGGAGGCTCGGTCGTGAAAGAAAAAACACCCACTCCGAGGTACGAGGGCGGGATCTTCAGCGCCGTGCTGAACTTCCCCGCAGCGTCTCGGAGAGAAGAGTCGCGCGCGCGTTTCGTTTGGGTCGTTGGTCGTTGGTCGGATCGCGGAGGGCGGTCGGGTCAGGTCGAGCGGAGGGCTGGCCAGGGGCAAAAACGGGCCACCTTTGTCAGGGCTCCTTAAAAGATACATTTTGCCCATTTGAAACATGGCTTTTTCCACCAAAATAAAAGGAAACCACCATTCACGAGGCAATGTTCAGGTGTATAATGTAAGGATCCCTGTTTCTAGGTGTACCTTCCATTTCCATTCTTTCCAGGCATCCTTCTTTTCAAAAAGCCACCTAAAACCCTGAAAAAAAGCTGGGTTTTCGAAAGAACGATGGTTGAGAAGAATGGGAAATCAACCCCTAGAACCTTAGAGGTTGACTGGGCCACCTTTCTCGCCACTTGCGCAGAACTGATTCGGTTAGAATTTAAGGATCAGAGACAATCTTGAGATGAATGGGTGCGGAGTTCCGGCTTTTTAAGATTCTGTACATGGTTTTGGGCAGGCTATTTTAATCGTAGGTGATTGTGACTCATTTCAGGGAGAACCAAAGGAGGTTGTTTGAAGCACAGGTAATGTTGACATGGTCTAAGACGGTTTTGTTGGGACCTTCCAACGAGCGTATAGAATCAGTTCCCACGCCGGGCAAAATGCCCTGGGTTCTCCATATTTCCCCGTTTGTGGAACAGAACTGCCGCTGGCTCATATGTTTCTTGGCTTTTTCGAAGCGGACGTATATCATTTTAGATACATGTAGAGGTAGAGGCGCCCACCTGGGAGTGACCTCCCACTGGGAGCGCAAGCTGAGCTCGCCCATGATGAAGGTCCCGCATTGGGGATTCCTTATTTGCGGGTTGGAGAGATCCGTTTTTTTTCTCGCAGAGGTTCCTGACATCAGGTGACTGCTTGGCTGCTTGGGAGTTGAGCTGTGCTAGCTCCTCTAAGAATCAAGTGGGGCATGTCCCAGCTTAGGAACTCGAACGACTTTTTTGTTTAAACTTTAATGTCACTAAACACTGGCCAGAATCAGAACCACGTGCTAGTCTAGTAGCTAAACCAGTGTAAGACTACAAGGCGCAAATTGATCGCACCAAGCAGATAAGCGACACTGTCGCACCAGCCATAAGTTGCGTAGAAGATTCAGATAGTTCGCGGCTTAGAACAAATGCGGGCAACAAGCTGGCAGTCGCCATCAAAGGTATGGGTTGCTGTCCACAAATTCGGGACCCACTTTGACTGTTCAAGGGGAACCAAACAGAAATCAGGGACCCACTTTGACTGTTCAAGGGGAACCAAACAGAAATCAGCAATTGTCTTCTTAAACAGATACTATTCTTATTTCTTTGGGGGGGGGTCCCTATTTTTCAGACCCAAACCAACCTGAAGTGAGGGACCTCCGTCGGTCGAAGTTCCAGGTGTCCACAGAATCGGTTCACAATCGGTTCCTTCATCTAGGTCCCTCAGTAGTGCCCTTTTACCCTTTTTTTGCGGGGAGGGTTCCCCTCCTAAAATAGACTACAGAAAAAAAGGGTACCCTTATTCTAACCTCTCCACTGGAGGACCTGGTCATGGTTTGGGGTTGCAAGTCTCGGCTTCTCATTGGACAGCTCCAATCGACGAACTCGCGCCCCGAAAAACCGTTGCCAAATCTCTGGGCTTTTTGAGCCGAATCAGCCAGTGGGACGTGCCAGCTAAAGCCCAAAGGCCAAGGATTGGTTGCAACTAACATGCAAAACCAGGGGCCCCCAACCCGCAAAGACAAATGTGGAGGTTGCAGCATGCTTCTGCGGGCCCAGGGCTCGCTAGATGTCCCCAAAGGTCGCAAACAGTGCTGTGTAAGCCAACATCTACCCCACTTTTTGTCTCCAACCCAACGTGACATGCTTAGATTGTGGCCCAGATTTGGTGAACTTTGAATGTCAACGGGAAATTATGCGGAACCCTGCAACCTGCCAATTGAATCCCCCCCAAACAAAAACGTCCAGAGGGTATGGGTTCAACCCGGACAGATCGGGGTAGTGTGCGAAAACTGCAGGGGGTCTATTTCTCTGTTCGAAAACCAGCTTGTAAGATTTGTCCAAATCTTGTATTCGCATATCCCGGAAGTATTGGAGAGTCTGTGTGCTGGGGTAGTTTTTGGGGTCCCTGATTTTGGAGGAATCTCTCTCTCTCCCTCTCTCGTTCTCTCTCTCTCTCTCTCTCTCTCTCTCTCTCTCTCTCTCTCTCTTTCGCTATCTCCTTTTGGCCTCATGACCTCTAGTAGAACGGGGTTCCTTCCGGAAATTGAAGTGCTGATAGATTTGGGAAGCTCGGCCGCCTTTTTGAATTGCAAGCCCGATTTTGTTTGGCGCCTGGCTGAGCTGAACCTGGGGGAACGACGGGACCAGCTGAGGACTTTCCCAACAATCCACCTGAGATGAAGCAGCGGCCTCAGACTACCTCCATTCTTTCCAGGGATCCTTCTTTCTAGAAAACCTCCGGAAACCCAGTGTTTGAAAAGAACGATAGTTGAAAATAATGGGGAATCAACCCCTAGAACAGTGGGAATCATGGGATTTGCCCGGCTTCTATGATGGAACCCCCGAATCAATGAATCCCTGGTGGACTGATAGGGCTGGTGTCGCCTTGTAGTGGGGGTTCATCGCTGTTAGAGGGCACGGGCTTTACGGGATCACAATTTGTAACTGAAGACAATTCGTACTCAGCAAGGCTTCCAGCATCAAAGTCGCCATGTCCCCCTCAGTGTCAAATCAACCGCCTGGATTCGACCTTTTGGTTCTCCGATTTCGGCGGTTCTATGTCACCGCCAAATTGCTGATCTGGTTACGAAGAACAGGTCCTGCAAGAGAGCTCACAGTTTGTGCTGAGATCTTTGGGCGAAGCGCGGAATCCAAGGAAAGTCGAGGGCTTTCAGGAACCTTTTGTCCGCGAAATCTCACAAAGTCACAGCAAACAGGGTTCCTATAATGGAAAAGAAAACTTGGGGCTTCTTGACAACAACCATTTTGAGAGGATACTCCGAAGAACCAGATGTGAACCACCATGTGGAGAGGATCCTCCCCAAAACCAGTTGCATTCCAAAGAGGCCGACCGACTAAAAAGAAACAGAAGGGCGGAGGACAGGGGTCGTTGAGAGCTGAGCTCGCGAGGTTTGAGACCGAGATGTGGCATCCCAACATCTACCCGGACGGGCGTGTGTGCATCTCCATCTTGCACCCGCCCGGCACGGACCGCTTCAATGACCAGGCGGGGCGAGGGGTCCGCGGGGCGAGGGGTCCAGAGTCGAGAGCGGGAGAGTCGAGGGCGGGGAACGGGGCAGCCTTTTCCGGAACCCTTCGTCGGCTTGGGGGGGGGGGCTCATTTGGACCATGTTCGCTTCGAAAAGACCCCTGAAAAACGTCAGGTTCCCAGGGTGCAGCCTTTTTCTTTCAGAGTCGCTCTCCCGGAAGGTCGGATGGTTTCGATTGGATTGTGAAAGGGGTGCTCCTTTGGCGGATAAGGCGCAACATTGGCCACCGGAATCTGTCTCTCCAGCTGCGTTTCGGACTCCGTGGACCGTCGGAGGGTTTTCGCTGAACAAGGGAGCAAGGAAAGAGGGTTTTCGCCGGAGCCTTGGCTATGCCGGATCCGTTCCCTGTCCCTGCTCGCGAGCCCAGCCCCCGCTTCCCAAAGTGTCTAAACATGCACGTTCAACCGCGAGACGGCTTTTTTGCCTTACGGTTATGATCCGGTCTCCAAGTTCTTCCAACTACTTGCAATGTTTCGAGCATCCACTGACATGTGGGTTCGTGTTTTTTTTGAGGGTATCTTTTCGCGGGTACAGATTCCGTCTAAGATATTTTTCCCCAACACCTGAAAGCCCAGGCAGGCTCTGGGGTGGGCTGTTGGTAGCTATGGGGATGCCACTGGGCGATTTTTGTGGCTCACATGAGGAATCTTGGCACGCATGGAGAACTCCCCTCCCCCACTTCATATGGAGCCTGGCTCGGGTTGGACCTTCTGGCGTCGGCGACGTGGGGAGGGTTGCCACAAAACGAGTCTATCTGTGCCATGTGTAAATGAAACCGAAGGGACGCCAAAAATCAGAAAGGAAGCCAAAGGCCAAGAAAAACCAGAGGAAAACAGAAACCAAAGGGACACCAAGGGGGAAGCCAAAATCAACAGGAAGCCAAGGGAAACAAAAGAAAGCCAGAACTGGCAACCTGAACTGGTTGTTCTTTTCGCGACTTTTCGGAGGAGACCGCAGATGAGCGCTGGCGGCCCATCCTCGGGGTGCACAGCATCTTGATCAGCGCCGCTCGTCCCAACTCCTCCCTCCCGATGGATTTTTTCCCCACGCGAAGAGGTAAACAGCCAGCTCTAGCTTCCAATTTTCTGGGTGTCCATGTGGGCGTTTCCTTTTTTCAGCGTACGCTTGCAGGCTCTTGGTTTTGCAAAGACTCGGGCAACCCCTAGTTGATGGCTTTTGGATCGGCGATTTGGGGATTTGAACCCCCTGGTCCTTGTAGAGGCTGCATGGAAAGCCATCCCCCCAACGACCAAACCACCAATCCAACCCGTAGAAAAAGCAATGTCGAGACGCCTCGAAGCACAGTTCATCCCTGCGCAAGCACTGCCAACACCGGAAGCAGGTTAAATCGTGCTTGCTGACAGCTTCTTCTTACTCAGAGGCTTCGAATTTCCGGCGTTGCTTGAGTCAACCAGTTTTTAGGTCATCCCCTCAACTTTCTGGTTAGCAGGACATGTCACGAGTTTTGGGAATGAAGCCATGGTTTCTGAGAACAGCGGAGTCAACGGAGACCAACCCGCCATCTGATTGGGGCACTCAAGCTTGCGAGTGGGGCTACACCTTTTCGGTTAAACAGCTAGAAAGGAGATGGCGACTCTGAGCGTGCCCTTTTTTTGGGGTACTTGTTTGGCAAAGAGAAACAGGGAAACACTAAAGAGAAACAGGGAAACACTAAAGAGAAACAGGGAAACACTAAAGAGAAACAGGGAAACACCAGCATTTGGGGCAGCAGTCCCCCTGGTTGTGCTTCGCACCCAGCTCCCTTTTGGTGTCGTTTCCTTGTTGCTAACTGGCATGATTTAAATGGGCATGTGTCAAACGATGGCGGGGCCAATGGTGGTCTTCTTTTAGGTTTCCCTTCAACCCCCCACCAATCGGGGAAATTTCTTCGGGCTCACTCCAACTCGAACCCCCTGCCTCTTGAAAAAAAAACAAGAACGCAAATCCGGCCACCGGTAATCGCGCCGGGCGCACGGATCGAGGTGAGCCACAATCAAAACCCGGGTAGATGAAGGTTAGTAAGGGACAATTCCAAGCATACATAGCTGCGGATATCCGCCTTCAAAATTATTGAAACATGGTTCTGGGATTACGACCAGTTTAATACCGGGTTTTGAGTATGACTCAGGTCTCAATGCTTCAAAAGCCTGGAGCTGGGGGTCCCATCCTAAACTAACCCCATCCGACCTCTTGTCTCGGTTCCCTGGCACCAAACCGACTACCGCCTGGGACTCAACTTGAACCGACTCAGGTGATTTCCATGCTGCTGGACCCCAACTTGAACTCCCCGGCCAACATCGACGCCGCCGTGCACCTGAAGAACGACCCCGAAGGCTGGAAGAAGAAGGCGCGCTGGGAAGGAGGGCGTCAAGAAGCTGGGGCTCTTTTTCTTCTTCTTTTTTTCTCCGGTGTGTGTATGTGTGGGTGTGTTTGGGGTGTTAGTTTTTTTGTTTGTGTGTTTTTTTGGGGGTTAGTGTTTTCTTTTTTGTTTTTGTGTTTTTTTGGCGTCGGCTTTTTTTTGGGCGTTTTGTTGGTCTTCGTTTATTTCGTTCTTTTTGTGGGTGTTTGAGCGGGTTGTGAACTTTCAGGCGTGTCTGGTGCATGTGTGGAGAGTTCTTGAGGCGTTGTTTGTTTTTCTTTCGTTCTTTCTTTCTTTTTTTTTTTTTTGGGGGGGGGGGCAAAATCGGGAGTTTGCGAGAGCATGTTTGAGGCGTTGTGTGGTGTTCTGTTACTTTTGGTTGCGTTTTGGTTGGGTTTCTCTTTGCGTGTTTGGCGCGGTTTTATGGCATTTGTTTGGCGGTGTTTGGCGCTGGTCTGGGGTTAGTGTGCCGTTTGAAGCTGGTTTTCTTAATTTTTGCTTGCAAGATGTGGGGTTCTGTGTCAGTTCGTGCAGCTACACAACGAATCAGACCCCTCTCCCAAGGAACCCTCCCGTTGGTAGTGGCAACCTTTCGGTTCTCGAACAGTATTTTACATTGAGGTTCGCTTAAACATGAAATAATCTGAACAAATGATCTTTGGTGTACCCCAGACTTCGGGAAAAGCTATCTCAACGCTTGGAGAGGGTGTGTTAAACTCCTCTTTCAAGGGGATACTCAAAAGGAGTCATTTCTCTAGGGGAAACTTCCAGCCATTCTGAACCAAGATGTCTCGTCTTTCGTTTCGTGTCCTTTCTTCCTTTGCTTCGTTTGGGAGGTGGGGTGCGGGGAGGGTTGGGATCCGCTCGCGCTCGCCTCTCGAAGGTGCGTCAGCTCACGCGCAAGAGCGTGGAAGGCTGAAGCCGAAGCGGATTCGCAAAAGAGCTCGACGTTCAGACAGCCCTTTGGTGGTTTGGATTGGGATGTGAAGCCATTGGGGCATAACCTATGGCTCCATTTTGGGTGGAGGAACATCCATTTGCCACCTATTTTGATGTTCACCAGGGTGCAGGGTTTTGACCCACAGCCATGTGAAGCCATTGATGAACCCACATGGGCCCATTCTAATTCTTTGGATCCTCCGCATTCTGTTTCTTGCCCAGCCGGACCAGTCCTTGCTTGTCCTGATTCGTCTTGCATGCGCTCAGACCCATGCGGTTGAAGCCCAACCTTGCAACCATGTATATATATATTATATATATATATATATTATATATATATATACACCTGTGCGTTTTGTTTGAGGGTACCCTTGTCTCCTTAGTTACTATTTAAAGAGAAACCAACAGGCCGCCCGCCATTTTCGGGGTCCCCTCTATTTGACACATACCCACGTGAGTTGTGCGTTGCTCATTTGCAATCCGCTTTCACTGTGCCTTTTCTCATAGCCTCCGGGCGGCTGACATACTCTGCCCGAGAGCGATAGAGGCGGACGGGGATGGCCGTAAGCGAGCCCATGGGATGCAAATTCGAAGTTGGAGGTGTTGCGCGTTGCACAGCACTGAGCAAGATGTTTTCAACTGACAGATTCACTGAGTTTCTGCGTCTATCCTGGTGTCAAAAAGAGGAACCCATTGACCACTCAAGGCTGCGGGCGCTTTTTTTTCCGGCCAGCCCGTCCTCTAACCCAAATTCGAACGGCCCCGTCCAGCGAAGGCCGAAGGCCGCGGAAAACGCGCGGCGTTTTCCGAGACTCGCGGCGCAGAGCCCGCGGGGAACTGTCCCGCGGAACTTCTTTGGGACTTCTGGTGCCGATGGGTCGCTTGCTAATTGGATGTTGGGTTGGCTGGGAAGCTGGAGAACTTGTGTATTTGGGGTTAAGACTAGGCTTCCTCTATGGTGCTCACTAGAAGGGACAACTTGTCGCGGGAAGTTCGTCGTTTCCCGCCCAGCAAAACAAAAAGAGGTGCAGGGGGTAATAGCAGCTGATTTATTTGGTGGTTAAGAGTAGGCTTCCTCTATGGTGGTCACTAGAAGGCACAAATCGTCTCTTGGTATCCCTTTCAGGCATTTGCATTTCGCCTGTGCACAGCGTTGCTGCGCAAGCCGCCCCTCCTTGTGAGTTCCCCTTCACCAGGGAATGACCGGGATCTCTTTTTGAGAATTTCAGTTGCTTTATTTTTCGGTTGCCGGAGTCGACTTTTTTTGGGACCAAAACACAGTGGGCGTTGGCGCGCGTTTTCTTCTGATACGCCGGGTTCCCAGCGAAGTCGCGGCTTCTGACGTTGGCCGCGGGATTTCAGGTGAGGTGGCAACGGCTTCACGGTTCTTGGATCAAACGTGGATCCAGTTTTTGGAGTTTGTTTTTCCCTTCTTGGATCAAGTTGTTTGCATTTTTAGTCCTTTTTTCCCTGGGGGGCTGCAAACATCAAAGTTTTTGTGCTACCATACCAAGAGTTTAGAGAGATTGACCAGGCATTTACCCTCCCACCAATTACTGGTGGTTCGATAGGCAGGGAATGAGATAGAATTGTCTCCTACAAACCATCCCTTGTCGTTTCCTAGAAGATCCCCAAGCCGTTCATTCCCAACAACCGGAAGGTGATTCCCTACCTATCGCACCAGCGAGATTGACATGGAACCTGACAGGCAGGGGGTCCCTTGGTGAAAATGGTCCAACCAGGACCCCCCGAAACGTCAAACGGTTCCATGTGGAAAGGGTCGCACACTTCGATTGTTTGGGTCCATTGGACCATTCCATAAACCCCAGAGGTCCTTTTGCGCTAAATTTCAATCCTGCACAAGATTCTAGTCAGATTCTCGAACTTCCCCCGCCAGGGATGATTTCGGCCAGCCTCGGCTCTCAGTAGAGTACTCAAATAAAACCCTTGGTCATTCATACTAAGCCCCCCTAAAAACAACTTCGGAACCTGCAAGATCGGTTTGGTGGCCTTTGCAACTTGATACCCCTGCATTAGCCGAATGAGTACGGCCCCGGAATTCGGGAATTCCTTTGCACACAATCCCGATCAACCAGAACCCCACAAGACCGAAGCGCTAGCCGCTTCGGGGGACCGAAGCGCCTGTTTGGATGCCGACGGACCATCCTGAAATCTGTTCCGGGGATTGAGACCATTCGGGGCACGTCGCTGTGCGGCGCGTTTGAAAGCCGGCCCGAAAAGGGGCGGTGTGAAAAAAGTGCGTTCGAGGGGCCCAGACCTCCAGACCTTCAGTGACCGTTTTCCTTGGATTGGGGCTTCATGTTCAAACCAACAAAAATACAGGTGCCTCCTTTCTTTTGTTTAATGGCTCCCGGAGCTCTGGGAGGGGTGTCGGGAACTTCTGACCGGAACCCGTGGAAATGGTGGCTGACCCCGACTTTTCGGGCCCCGATCTTGAGCAATTCCTCCATCTCCGACGGGTATTTGGAGCGTGCCCACGGTGATTCGGGGGGGGGGGGGGGGGGTTCCATCTGCGGCGCATCTCCAGAAAGCTAGAGGGAAGGAACCCAGTCTTGCCACCCAGTCGGCTTTGGGCTTTTTGGTGATCAAAGTTCCGTGGATCTGGCCTTTTGGGTCCCACTTCGGCTACCACTTGGGCATCAAAATACGGGGCCCCCTCGTAAAATGTGTTGATTGCACGAGCGCCGTTTGAGCTTCAACCGAGATCCCTGGCCCGGAAGCGGAACCAGCTTCGACGAACTGGGTCTGCTCAGCTGCTTGTCATCCCCGTTTTCGAGACCCTCCTGTTCCAGTACGGCCAGGGCATCTAAATGCCTAGGTCAAATGGCTCCCACACCCCCAAGGGGAAAGGTTTGTGCCGCCTTTATGACCCACAGATCTTGCTCCCTTCCAGACCCCCTAGTGCAAGTGGCTTCCTGGAGCTGTTCCAAACCTTGTCATTCCCTGCCTATCGCACCCAGCAAATGGTCCAAGCCCTGTCTCCAGGATGCGCTTGCCTTTCAGGTTTCCCGGGCGAGAGCAGCAAAAGAGAAAACAGAAGAGATGACGATTGGGGGCACGGACAGACCCAGTGTTTCTTTTGTTTCGGGTCAAAATGTGTCTGGCTCTCCCCCTCTCCCGCTGCCTCTCAACCATGAAATCCAAACTGTGCGTCTTGAGCACCTCGCTGGAACCACGCCAGCTTGAATGACGCCCCGATTGAAGCACACCGTGAGTCCCCTTGCCGCCGAAACCTTTCGGCGCCTGGGGCAGTCCAACAACGGCAAAGAGGGGGTTTATGTTCTTTTGCCACGACTCCTGGAAGCCTCTGGACTTTGTGCGCATTCGCCACTTGCATAATTACCCTTTGGTCCATCTCTCTAGGTTTGCAAAAATATCGGTTGCCAGGAGTGGCTATTTGGTCTGGCATCTTGAATGGATCTTATCAGGTCCGATCTTCGTTGGATCCTCAACCCCTTAAATACTATCTCACTTCCTGGGTCTTTTTGGGCTTGGACCATTTTCGTGGTACATACCAAGTGTGGTTACTTTTTTTTACCTGATTTTCGTGGCGAGTAGAAAGTTTGGGTACTTTTTCGGCCAATCCGCTGGATCGGAAGTGAGCAAAAGCGCCCGGCAGTCTTTGCCTGTGAAGGCAAGAATGGAGCTGGGCGGCCCAGGGATCTTCGGCTTGGGCTGGATCAAGGTAGAAGTTTTGAGGCCACGGGATCCAAGAACATGTTGAAAGGGATCCCTTGCAGCCACAAACAAAAGAGCAACAGACACCCGTCCGGAATCAAAGAGACTCTAGCCTTGGATAGTTGACACATGAGGGTTGTCCAAAAGGTCCTTTACGTGGGATGATCATTGAGGAAATTACACAGCATAAAATACATTTCCCACATGGGAACAGTTACCCATGTTCATTTTGGGGGCCTTAAATGGAATATTGATGAACCCCCGAACAGTGCCCAAAAAGCGGCCCACGGCTAGAGCGGAGCTGCCATCGGATATGTGGCCTTGGCTGCTGCTGTTGCTCCCAGGAGGCTTCTCCAGGGAGCCGCTTGGCTGCCATGCGCTTGTCATAGGGAGCCTACCCCCCAAACCGCAGTGGGATTGGGAACGGGCCAAAGAAGTTGCCCAACTTGTGGCCAAATGGCCCCATGGTTGGGGGCTCCCCGAATCCAGCTGAGGTTTTCCTTGAAGGACAAGTCCATTTATTTCATCGTGGTCGATCGCTTCGCCCGTGATGATGCGTCCAACGTCAGCTACTGCGATGAGACTGCCGACTGGGTGAATAATACCGGCGGCGGCTACTGTGGAGGCACACTGAATGGAATTGCGAACCACTTGGATTACATCCAGGCTGGATTCTAGCTTGCGCGGTGTGATCAAACCCACAAATTGGGTCCCCCAAATGAGATTCCCAGCAGCTTCGTTTCAGTCGATCCCCTTCGCCAAGCATCAAACCTCGGCAGAGGCCTCCCAAATTGGTTCTCCGTATGTCCCTAAGCAGACCCTGTAACTGGTACAGTATGCAACAGATTTGGTTTTGTGTCTTCTTTCGAGTCGGTCCTTCTTTTTTTTGGGTCGTTTTGAAAGGGACACTGAAACAAATCGCCACAACACACCCACACACACATTTGGTTTCCCCTTTGAACCCCTCAAAAAATAAATCAGCTTCCCGACAAAAGGTTGGTGGGGTTCCTTCCTCGCGAACCCTTCTCGTTTAGGGTATGGGCTTCGACTGCATTTGGATCACGCCGGTCGTGGAGTCCAATGGGTACCTTCGCTGCTGGCACATGTAATTTATGTTGTTTTTGTGGTTTGTCCTGCTTTCCTTTTTGACTTGTTCGTGTTTGCTGTTGTTTGTTGTGTTTTGTGGTTTTACCGCTGTTGGTGTTTGTTTCTTGGCCTGCTTTGCTGTAACAAACGTTTGTGCAGCTACTAGTTGATTCTTTGTGATTGGGTCCGATCATGTTTTTGGTGGGTCACCACCATCAGTCCTCATTGGATTTGGATTGGTGGGTTGGTTGTAGAGGGTAAATGGGAAAGCAAGCCCTTAACCACCAAACCACCGGGCTCCAAATCACCAATTTCAGCTTCCCCCTAGTTGGTGGTTTGGTTTGGCCGTTTGGACGCTAGGGGCTAGCTCCCTCATTTAAACCACCAATCCAAATCACGAATTGAGCCACCATCAAAACCTGGGTAGATGAAGGTTAGCAACCATACATAGCTGCGGCCGCCTTCTTAATTCTTGAAACATGGTCCTGGGTAGACCGTTTCAATACCGGGCTTTGATCATGACTCAATTGCAGGCTGCAAGAGGGGAGCTGAGGGCAGTAAGGTACATGGGCTACGATGCCGTTGACCTCTGGAAGATCAATCGCCACTTCGGGTCGCAGGACAGCTTCGGCCAGGGCAGTTTCTTAGCGTGGCTTACCCGGCTTAGCCCCGTGCTAGTTGGTGCGAAATCAATCGGAACGCCATCTTCGAGAATCTGAGACAGCCAGATTTTACGTTTCCCGCAACATCACCCAGCTGGGCCATCGAATTCGGGAAATCAAGTTGGAACGGGGCCTTGGGTTTCCAACTGGCCCAAGTGGATTTCGTATTCTCTCGCTCCTCTGGATTTAGACCGCGAGCTGCGCAGCGCGGAAGTGGAGTACTCCACGGGGTGCTTTGGAATCAAGCGCGTGCCAAGGTTGGGCCTCTGGGACAGTGTTGATTTATTTTTTGTGTGGCTGGCGGTTTCAAAACCTTTATAGGTTTTGGCTTTTGCGCTAGAGGCATTGTCAGCTAGTTGCGTCAGCATCATTCCGCACTACATGACAAGTTGATCTGAAAACTCACCGAAGGCAACCCTAAAGCATACCTCGAAACCGACCCCACACGATCCAATTCGGCTCTGGGTCTGGGCTTTGGGATTGTTCAGGTGTTTCTGTGCTGTAAGGTGGGCCGAAGTTGTAGTGCCTTGAACCAGCAGATCAAAGTTGGACCAATTCCACTGACCCAAGTCCACTGACCCATAGCAAAGCGCGCCGAAATCCGAAACGCCGACCCGCCTCCCCACCTCTTCGGTGTTCGGCAGGAGGACTTGAGAGCGTTGTCCAAGGAGCTGCACCTGCGGGAGATGTGCCTGGTGCTGGACATCGTGGTGAACCACATGCGGCGTCTTGGCGGATGCGCGGCTCGAGCCGAGGTCCGAGTGACTCCTTCGGTTCCTTTGGATTTTCTTTTTGGTTTCCTTTCAGGCAGGTGCAAAGCAACTGAATCCTGCGGATTCCGCAGCGAAACCGGATGAGTCTTGGGATTCTCCGCCTGGTAGACAATTGTTGTAGTGTCATTGTGTATACCAAGAGCTCGGTGGAACGGCTATGGTGACATGTCATGAGTTTGGGGATGCAAAATGGTTGTAGCTCGCGTCATTGTTTAAACCAATAATTGGGTGGACAAGTTTTAGTGACATGTCGTGAGTTTTGGGATACACACTTGTTGTAGATTGTGTCATTGTTTAAACCAACAACCCTGTGGAATGACTATAGTGACATGTCATGACTTTTGGGATACACAATTGTAGTTTGTGTTATTGTTGAAACCAAGACCACTTTGGCACAAAATCGATGACTTATGACAATCATGGCGTCTTGTGCCGGACGGGTGCAGGTGTGTGTGTTTATTTGTGTTTGTTTGTGTGTGCATGTGTGTGTGTGTGTTGCTAGGTTTGGTTTGGCCCGTCTCTGGATAGGTTTGGTTTGGCCCGTCCCCAGCTTGGCTACACACAGAGACACACACACACACAGACTCAGAGCTCAGAGTTGGAGACGCATTACGAACATTGTTTTCTCATCACGACTTGAGAAATCTATTTTTTTGTGTGCCGCCTTGATATGACAAACGCACGCACAAACGCCTTGTGTTATGTGCACGAGCACAAGCACAAATATCCACACCCTGTCGGCCTTCGGCTCGAGGCCATTGGTGGTGAAGGGCAAACTGAATCTGTCTCTGGTGCCCTTCGATCAGGACTGTGGGTCGACCGGCTGGGGTGAATGGCTGAACGAAAATATGGCCCCGTGCTTCCAAAATGAGTGGTTGTACATGGGTTATACAGGGTACATTCCCAAAAAGTCCTTCCCTGCAGAAGGCCTATAGGTGGGGTATGTCCGTTGGGCCATCTTTTTTGTTGGAGGTCAACCAACAACTGTCAACACTTGTCAAAACAGGAGGCAGCCAAGGGAAACACAAGTTACAAGTTGAATGGGAACCCAACGGTCAGCTGCTGTAGTCTGCAGAGCTTGACTGCTATTGGGTTGAATCTTTAGACTTTAACTTTTTGGGAAATCAAGGGGTTTTCCACTAAACCCCCAACAAGTTAAACTTTTTGCATGGGGGTCAACAGCAACCAAGAGAGGTAATTGGGAGACTCGGGGCCCTCCGGAGGAGAGCCACTACAACCAGCGCGGTTTGGAGAACCAGAGTTTTGAGGACAGGGTCGCTGCGATCTCTGGATTTTGATGAGACCTGGGTGAATTTTAACGACCTCAATGGTGGTTTATGTGGGGAATATTCCCCCAATGACCTTATTTCAGGTTGGTCAAGTATTGTGATTCACCCAGATGAGATGCCTTGGTCGAACAATTGGTGAACTGATTCTTTTGGTGTCCAAAGTTCTCGGAAAAGACCTTTGGTTTCCGAAGTTCTTTGGTTCTCTTTTCCTTGGTTTTCTTCGGTTTCCAATTCCTCTGTTCGTGTATCTTTTACTGGGCTGCAGAAAGAAAAGGTGAGCTGTTTGCAAGCCCATAGCCAGAGTTGTGGAGGACGATTTTTGTTTGGCCCTGAGCCAAATGGGAATGGGTCAAAATTAAACCAACAGGGGACTACGGGTTTTAGTCCATGTTTCCATTTGCCAGGGTTCCATTGTGGGTACCTATTTTTGACCCACAGCCAAATGGAGGAGTATTTGCTGGCGTGGCCCCCGCCAGCCTTCGATCCCTCGGCGGACAACGAGAATCTGCGGAACTTGTCGATGGGGTCGAAGGCGAGGAGATCGGCTTGCCCCTACTGTGGATGGACAAAATCCTGCAATTCTTTGAAACCACGGGAAACCATTGTTTGTTGGTATTTACAGGGCAATCATTATCCCAGGGTTTCTTAGGTGGTGCAGGATTTCGTCCATCTACAGTACTGTGGGACGAAACTCATTGCGCACCGCTTGGGATAGATGAACCCCGATCTAAGTCATTGTCGATAAACCACCTGGCAACTGCAGGATTTTGTGCATCCAGGCTAGGTGTTCCCAGGGAGTGCGAGTAGCGCACGAGAAACAGTTCACCAACCAAGCACGCCCCCACCCTCCCAGGCACCAGCCAGCCAAGTAGCCAGCCAACCAGCCAGCCAGCCAACCAACCAACCGACCGCCCACCCCACCCAGCCACCCAGCCACCATCCAGACCGGCCAACCAACCATGACCCCACCCCACCCAGCCACCCAGCCACCATCCAGACCGGCCAACCAACCATAACCCCACCCCCCCAGCCTACCAACCAATACAAACCCGCTCTTGAACAACCCGCTGCTGGTAGAGTTGGAGGGATGAGGAGTACTGTGAGGGTACCAACACTCGGTCTCCGGAGGGCGTGAATTTTGGGCATTACTCGCAGGCACGAAAGCGCCTCGCAGCAAACCAGAAGCACAAAAGAGCCTAGTTCTACCTCAAGATCCCCCTCCCCCACAGATCAAGTGTTGTGGACAGGCCACATCAGTTTCCACGCTGTCTTGACCCCGGTTTCAAGGGTTCCCCAATTTTCTCCCCTGGTTGTATCCCCAGAGTCCCTTGGCCCAGTTCGATTCAATCGTCGCCGTCAGGTCTGCGGCCCAGGCGTCTTCGAGCACACGGAGTGCGCCTGCTTCCCCGGGAACTCGGGGCCCAACTGCCCCTCCTTCTCCGAGAAGGACCTCTCCACAGGCGAGTCGACACATCCCGAGTCGTATGCTGTTTAGGGTTTTGGGTTTTGGGGGCGGCGGGCCTTCCCCCCGAGGTTTGGTAAACAAAGAGGCATGGGTGACAATCAGAGAGAATGAGGCATGCATTGACAATGTAGTCGAGCAACAATGATAGATTCAGAAAGATGAGGCAGGATCATGTGCGGCTGTTTGATGCGTGTCAGTTTAAACATTCCGTTGCGGGAGCCATTCCTTTTGGCGGGGTGATTGTAGGCGGGGTCGTTTGAAAGGAGTCCGATAGCGCGGGAGGATGTGCTTCTCACATTGCTCTTGTTTCGGCCGTTTTCTCTTCGGCTGGATTTTGGTGGATTCAAAAAGCACGAAGAAGTGTTTCGGAGAATGCGATTTGACCGTCACATGTCTTCACCTTGTGTCCCGTGAGGCCCCAAATCGGTTTTCCAGGTTTGACCGTTTGAAAGGCATCGATTCTGGTAGGTTCCCTTTCGCTTTTCTAAACTGAAGATCATAACAACGCGTTCGTCTAAATCTGCGTCCTGGTTATGTTTGCTCCGAGACGTTTCTAAAAGGTGTCTTGTTCTCCTTCCGGTGTGTTTCCTTTTGCCAGGGTCTCTCATTTAAACAACACCTTGTGCCAGGGCTTTTGTGCACTCCGAAGGAGCCTTTCTGGAGCTGCAGGGGTTTCTTCTTGGCTTCCAAAGTGGACCGCACGGCGGTAAGAACCTGACAACAGAGCGAGCAAGCCCCGGTGTCCACAAAGCGAAACCTGGAACTAACTGCTGACCTGAGTCACAATCAAAGCCCAGGTAAGTGAAGGTTCGTAAGGGACGATCCCAACCATAAATAGCTGCGGCCGCCTTCGGAAGGTTATTCACATGGTTCTGGGCCGGGTCGACCATTTTTGTGCCGGGTTTTGATTATGGCTCACCTGATCTTTTTCGTGGAAGGCATCGAGAGGTACTCCGTGAGGGCGGTTTCGCCTGAAGCCCCGAAGCCACCGAAAACAGGGCCCCTGATGTTTTCATTGGGGTATCCCATCCCGCGCCCCCACCAAAAACAAAGTTGATTGGGCGAGGGGACCCCTGGAGAGTTTGGTTGGAAGACTTCAACAACATACCCCCCCCCACCCCCCCTTTCTCTCTTGGTGGATTCAGGGAGCACGCACCCCCTCCCCAGCTGATAGGGCCTTGGGCCTTATTTTGCTGCCTCATTTGTCTATGGCTCATTAGCCCTTATCCCTTCGGGGGCGATTCTTTGCGGGGGGGTCTTTGATGGATACTTGGTGCGGAAACCAGCGGCAGGCTACCTGGGCGTGATGGGGGATCTGAACCACAGCCACCCCTTCGTGCGCCAAACGCTGCTGCGATGGGTCAAGGAAATGGTCCAGAACTATAGCGCCTTGGCTCATGGACAGTTTTGCACTCAAGGCTATCATAATGTTTGAAACATGACCTTTCAGGCAGGTTGGAAGTGAGTTTTGTGAAAGGGTGGTGCATGTTTAGGAGATTCTGTTTGTTGCCATTTGGAGCTAAACCTCTGTGTGGCCGTGTTCAAGTCGACTAAATCAACGTGCTCCTGGCGAACGAACCCTTCCAGGACCACCGGTTGGGCACCATGAGGAAGTATTCTATGAGGACCACTGGTTGGGCACCATGAGGAAGTATTCTATGGGGGCGTGCCTCTGAACCCCACTTTGGGAAAGTCCAGATGGCAAGCTGTCAAGCTTCAGACTTTGGTCATAGGCGTCCTTTTGTTCGCTTTCGTTTCCAATTGCACCGGTTTAGACTGGTTTGATGCCCCAGTTACGAGGGTACCCTGTTTTTCTTGTTCTGAAAGGGAAACCAAATAAAGAATTTCGGTTGGTTTGAAAGGGACGCCAAAAGGAAAACCACAACTTTTGGGGGTCGTTTTGCTTGTTCTGAAAGGGCCGCCAAAAGCAAGAACACCACAACCCCCCTTTTTAGGCTGGATCCAACCTCAAAAAAGACCAGCGAGCCGCTTCCCCTGCAGTCGAGTTGCCTCGCCTCTTAGGCCTTGATGCGCTGCGTTTGGACACGGCCATCTACTTGGAGCGAGACTTCTTGCCGGAGATCCAGGCGGTCGCTCAAAAAGGACCTGTTGTGGGGAGTGGAGATGGGGCCCCTTGAATCGTTGAAGGTTTAAGCTTTTTCTCTTTTGCAGGTGCTTTGGACAAGGGAGCCAGCAGATGTGAGGGCGGACGGGCTCGAGGGGCGTTGAGAACCACTGGCGAATGCATCTCGGATTCCTGGGGACTAAGAGCAATGGTTCTCCGAATGGATTTTTTGTTTGAGGGAAGCTGAGATGCGCATGATGGGTATGTGACACCGCCTTGGGTTCAAGGAAAACAGGAACAAAAGGAAGTTGTTTGGATCCCCCCCATTTTCACACACACACACAAAACAAAGAAACCACGCCGTGATCACGATCACTGCATGGGTTCAATGGCCTTTTCCGGCGGATTTGGACAAACTTCAGATCGAGCTCACTGATCCCGGACGGGGGAGGGGGGGATACATGAGCCTCATGATCAAGGTCCCTTCCTTGGAGATCGCCTCTTGGTTGCTGAATTCGGGCTTGGGTTTTTCTGACCCCCAAGCGAGCAGTGATTCGCATCCAACGAATCAAAGGGCGCTTCCTTGTTTTTTTGTTCAGAACCCCCTTTTGAGCGGAGCCTGTTGATTCTTTCTGCCTGCAGCAAAACCCAGCCTGGCTGCCAGTGTAAAGCGACTTGTTGATTTGGGCATGTTCTTTTTTTTGCAGGTATATACACCTTTCTGGTGGGTTTGAGGGAAAACCCACAGGGGAAAACACACAGCTCTTGCAGGTTTATACATCTTTCCGGGTTTAAAGGAACACCCAGAGGGGGAAGCACCAGTTCGGGTTCCCCTAAAACCGCCCCCCCGGTCTCAGCGCTTTCAGCCTTGCGAAAGGCAGCGGCCGGCGTCGAGATCCTGGGCGAGGCGCCTCGCCGGCTGGAGGGAAGGTGATGGCGAAATCCGTCCAACGCAGCACCGTTCAGAAACCCGTCGGTGTCTGATGATTCCCCATGTAAATAGCCACACACGTTTTGGTTTCCCATGGTCAAACAATGGTTTCAACCGTGGTTTCAAAGTGGTGCGAAATGGATTTCGCAACCATCCACAGTAAGGCTTACGACTTAACAGAGGGGCGAGTCATAAGGTTTCCATGTGACAGGGTAAATCATCATTTGGTCAGCGCAAAGTGATGTCTTGGTTTTTCAGCAACGAAAACACGACTTCTGTAAGAAGCAAAACAACCACAGTAATTCTTTGAGTACCAAGAATCCAATATTTTTAAAGCTACCAGACTGCCAACAAAAAGGATTCTTGGTTTTTTGGGCGTAACAGGGCAACTGAGACATTGCTGAGTAAGGCCAAACTGCTGCAATGCGCTGAAGTCTGGCCATCACCACCAGACGTCCTGCTGACAGTGAAAAAACAGCGAGAACGAGGACTGGTTCAGTTAGAATTCAACGCTCAGCTTTAAAATCTTGGCTCAAGCTGTTATAAAGCTCCTTAAAGGCTCCTCATAGAGCCCCTTATACGGCTCCTCATTGGGCTCCTGATTCCGAATTGGATTCAACATATATGCTAATTGTAATTTTTAATACACATTTGTAGGACAGACTTCAATTAGACTTTCTTCTTTCCGCATATGATATTAAATGAGCATTCATTAGAGAGAAGAGTTCAACACTGTCTATCTTCCATTAGAATTTAAATTCCATGAATAGGACTTACAAAAAGACGCAGCGGCCGTTTGTGGCTTCTTGCAGACGCAGATGATGGATCCTGAGCACTTGTACTAGAGTTGTTCAGAGCTTCAAGATGTAGTTGTTCAGGAAAAGGTGAGTTGGGGGGGAGGTGGTAGGTTCCGGAGGCTGGGGCTTAGCGTCTATGACACATGTATATATCTATATGACACATATATACCTATATATGTAGACATATGTATACGCACATGAATATGTATATGTATGTCATGCATATGTACATGTATTACATGTATGTATATCATGTATATGTATGTGTATGTGTATGTAATCCGGAAGAGAGAGTTTCCTCATGCGCAAGGCTGAATGCATGAACCTCAAGAGGCCCTGGTATGAACCCCTGATCCTTGATCATGGCCAGGGCTTCTCTCGGTGCGCGCCATGCTTTTGGGGTCAACTGCCAACCTGTTCCCTGTACTCCATTGCTGTCGTTGCAGTCCAGCTTGTGGTACATCTACTGGTGTTCCGCGCAGGATGGACACGCTTGCGGGTTTGGTCTCTGGAGAAGGTCCGGAAATCTTCAAAACCCGAGCCCCCGAACAAGCTCACGATAGCAACTAGGTCCCCCAGTAGTGCCCATTTACCCTTTTTGGGGAGGGTTCCCCTACTAAAATAGACTGCAGAAAAACTTATTCTAACCTCTCTTCTGGAGGACCTAGACAAGCCTGGCAAAATTAGCTGCCAAAGAGGCCTCAACGGGTGTTTAGGTTGGGAGCGTCCCTGGCAAGATTTCCAGCGCTTTGTGAAGCCTCGGTCTGGGTACATGGATGTCAACGTTCCATCGTGGCCACGGAACCTGAAAAGACGATTCCTCGTTTGAGGCATCCGAACACTTGGGAGCTGCTTCCAAAATAGGACTGGCGCCAAGACTTTCGCATTGTGGGACATCAAAGGGACAACCCCCCCATGCTGGTGTCGGTTCGACAGGCGACCGTCAACAACCTCACCTTCCACGCTTCTCTGCAAGGCCCATGGCCGAAAGAGGTGTATGGAGGCAACCAAGCCATTCCAGTTGGGCAGGAACAAAAACTAGGTCTTGGTGACTGAATGTATCATTTGTACTGTGCTGCTGTTCACGTCTAAAGCGGGAACCGACAACAAGATAGATGTTTTTCTATCCTGCCAACCTCCCCCCCCCCCGCCAAGAGGTCCCAGTGGTTAGAGGCTTTACCTTATGCCTCCAAGAAGTGGGGAGATTGCTTCGGCACTCGCGTAGCACGCAACTGCAACTGCTGGCACTTGCTCGAATGTTGTCAGGGCAGTTCACAGTTAATCTATTGCACCTGTTGCCTGGGGTAAATGCTTTCTGTGAATGATGGAAAACGCATTGGAGCAATTGCCAGTAGCACGTTGCTTGGAGCATTTACCAGTTGGAGGGGTACTTGCAACAACGGCGTAGAATTCAGCAATACGGCTGCCTTTTTTCCAACTTCGGAAATGCATTGCATGAGCCTATGTTTCTCAAGAAACCCAAAAGCCCATATTGCGGAAGTGCCTTCAGTCGCAGAAGCCATCATAGGCCCCGATAGCCTTTAGAAGCAGAAGCCATCCCGGGCCCCATTTCAGGTGCACGGATGCTTCGTTTTTCAGCTGGAAATGCCGGGTTTCCACCTCCCCGGCGTTTCAGGAAGCTTTCCAGACTGCGAGTCGTGCCTTTGTTTGATAAAGGCAGTTGCAACAATCCTGGAGCCGTTGGTCCCCCATGCTTTTCGACCAGCTATGGAGAACCCTACAACTTGCTTGTTGGTTCACCACCTATTCCCTCCAACAATCCCGAAACACCCTAATTCTGCCAGCCAGGAGGATGACTTAGTCCATCGATCCGGGGTGTGCTCCAAAGAAATGCTGAATTTGGTTCCTGACCACTCATTATCGCTTGATTATGTATATGTATGTGTATATATATATATATATACATCTATATCTCTACGTAATTCAGCCTCTGTAAGCATTCTACCAAAAGTTCCCATACTTCGCTGTCCGCATTCCAGCCTCTTTTGGCTGGGGACGTCGGAGATAGACATATGGCATATGCATGATCTGATAGATTCAAGGGTTACCCGTTGAGTGGACGACTCAGCACGCTCACTTTGTGAGCTCTCGTGACATCTTGACCTGGGGTGGGTGGTCCGCTTTTGGGAAGCTTGGTGAAGAACCTCCCATATTCTTTGACGCTTGCTCATGTGTTAGCTTCCGCTTGGGCGCCAGAAACTCCTGGCTCCTGGAAACAAGGGATACGATTGAACCATCCGAAGATCTGAGATCCGGTCGATTCGGGTCATCAGATCCGGTCGAGTCGCTTAGACCGCACGCTGGCTTCGCCTGGACTTACAGCCAAGGTCTTCAATGGATGGACAATCTAATACGAATGTAGCTGAACTAATTTTCAGTACCCCCAAACCATCATCCCCTTTACAAATAGGACATATAACCACCTTAGGAGCATGAGCACGCAGCACGTGCAACGCTCCGTGCTGGCACGCAAACTCGGCACGCAGGTCCTTTGTCCCGGGCGGTGCATGTATTTCATTCCCGAAATACAATTACGTAGCGCTTGGTTTGTCTCAACACAAGACAATGTGCGAAAGGTTTGGACTGAGGGGTTGCCACGTTTTCACGCCAACCTCTCCGAACCAAGGCGAAAGCGGCGTGGCGGCGCTGCTCAACTTTCCGCCCTTCTACCACCTGCCGGAGGCCGAAGCCCATGGCGTGTCTCTTTGCAGAGCCCCAAAACCGAAAAGAGCACCCTCAAACAACAGGCGCCCCCTCATTGAACGGACAGGAACCATCGCCCAAAACCCCCGCCCCTCCCAAAATAGTTGGAGGTGTTGACCGGGCCTGTTGGGCGGAGAAGCGGCCAAAGGCCTCAAACCACTACCCCGAAGGCAAATGGGGGTGCACAACCGCCGTATGCATGCATCAAATTTTCAACCGGGGTAGGGCTTTGGAGGGAGTGCAAGCTCTTAAGGCAGTTACGCACCAGAATCCAATTGAATGAACATTGGCTGTTCATGCCTTTTCCGGGCTTCTTCTGCAAATTGGGGGAGGCAACCAAAACGAAACCTCCAAATGCAGCATTCCCTTGCCATGGAGACTTGGGTATGTATCCGGAACGCTGATAGAAGTTCCCCACCTTGCTTAAACAGTTGTGGGGTGCTTCCAACAGCACAATCTGTGAGTGGTGGGTCTAAAACGATGTCCTTAACCTTTCATTCAAATTGGGCCCCTCATTCGGATGTACCTAAAATTCAGTGGCAGGGTTCCAGTTTTTGTATGCCTCACTTACCGTGTGGCTTTTCATTGGCTGTGTGGTGGTTGATTGCAAAAGAGTACTCAGTCTGAAACACACGAACTTGGGATGGACCGTGTATAGCGGGCATCACTTGAGTTAGATGCCCTGTGATTCTTCTCGCATTTGTCCCCAACTAAAACAAGGTCTTTGGATTTGGTGCGTTTTTAATGAACCTGACTGAGTCTCAAGAGTGTCCCCAAGCAAGCTTCAGATTTTGAGATCCGCTCGGTTCCCATTGGCCTCCGTGGCTACTCTCGTCTTCGGACCCGCATGTCCCTGTCAGTAAACTCATGTTTTAGGGTTTTTCAACCCCCGCAATGTCTCCAGGCTCCCTGTTCTCCACCCGCATTCTTGCGTGGACCTGATACCCCCGAACCCAACTGTCTCCCCTACCCCACCCAAAGCGGTGGCCTGGGCCTGGGCGCGGCTCGCTTGCTTGCTGCTGGTTTTGGTCCGTTTCGTTTGGGAAATGCGGTACTTCCCCTTCCGCGAAGCTCAACGTTCCGAGATGTGCTGCTTGGCCGGGGCCATCTCCCTGGGACTTTTCCAACATGGGGTCACGATGTTTAGTCTAGGTCCCCCAGTAGTGCCCTTTCTCACCCCTTTTTTGGGGGAGGGTTCCCCTACTAAAATAGACTACAGAAAAGGGTACCCTTATTCTAACCTCCTGCTGGAGGACCTAGTAGAGTACGGGTATTGTCAACTTTGACTATTTTTCTGCAGGACCATAGTAATCAAGAAGACCATCCCGAATTTCCCATGTCCTCTTGCGGAAACAGGTGGTTTTCTCCGGGGCCATGTTCAAAGGGGAAGAAAAAAGAGAGGACTTCTTCACCGCCCGCCCTTGGTGGTGTGTTTTCTCGTGTTTTGCTCGCGGGTTCTTCTAAAATAAATGAGACACCCGCCCAACCTCTACACCTCGAAAGTGGGGGAGTGCCAAACCACCAGGAGGGAAGCTGAGATGAGCCCATCCAACAAGACAAACCGCACGCGGCCCGGGGGGGCTCTCTGGGCCCGGGGCTCTTGGCTTCCGGAGGCTTTCTGCGGCTACCGCATCGGGGGGGTCTTCGGAGACTACTCCATGCAAGGCCCGGCTTCGATCGGCTTGTCGGCTGGCGCCTCTGTTAGGCCGGTTGGACTCTCTATGGGTTTACCCAAGCGAAGATGGAAGCTCCCAGCATGTTTTGGGGAAGACTGGGTTGCATTTAGAGAGGCCTTCTGGGAGCTTCCAAGTTGGTTGGAGGGAGTGTACACTTTCTGTCCTTTTGGAACATGGCAATTTCTCACCTAGCAGAAAGAGGAAGCACTTTTTGGGTGTCCAAGATCAAGCCCCTTGGTGCAGGTTGTTCATTTCCCAAACAGGGGCCACACTCAGAGACAAAATCACCCGTACCCCTGGCTTAGTCCCAGAAGGATTCTCCGAACCCTTTGATCAGAATTTTTAGGAGGTTCCAGGCACCTTCCCTAGGGTGTGAGGGACTTCGATTCCTCATGTACCAGGAGCGTTCGATTGACGGCCATCTTTGGTACTGTGGCCCTGTCCTGATTTCCTGAGAGAAGGCAATCAATCCCTCGTCATCGACGATCCCATGGGTGAGTCGCCAGCGCTGTTTAGGGCCGCAAGTTTCCCCACCCAGCCAGTCGCTCAAGGATTTTCGCGGTGGTCAAAGACCAACCCAGATCCTTGCAAGAGGCATGCGGCAACCTCTCCCCCGCCCAAAAGACAAGCAATAAAGAAAGAAAGAACGAAAGAAAGACAGAAAGACAGAAAGGCAGAAAGGCAGAAAGACAGAAAGACAGAAAGACAGAAAGACAGAAAGACAGAAAGACAGAAAAGAAGAAAATAAAGAACGAAATAATGAAATAAATAAAGACATAAAGAAATAAAGAAGGAAAGAAAGAAAGAAAGAAAGAAATAAGCAAAAGAAATAAACTAAAGAAAGACAGAAAAAGAAAAAAAGAAAGAAAGAAAGAAAGAAAGAAAGAAAGAAAGAAAGAAAGAAATAAGCAAAATAAATAAACTAAAGAAAGACAGAACAAGAAAAGAAAGAACAAGAAAAGAAAGAAAGAAATAAATAAAGAAAGAAAGAAAGACAGAAATAAATAAAGAAAGAAAGAACGAGATAGCGAAATAATGAAACGAAAGAAAGGAAGAAAGAACGAAAAAAACAAAACAAGGAAATACAACAAAGAAAGAAAGAAAGAAACACAGAAAGAAAGACAGAAAGACAGAAAGACAGAAAGACAGAAAGACAGAAAGACAGAAAGACAGAAAGACAGAAAGACAGAAAGAAAGAAAGAAACAAAGAAACAAAGAAACAAAGAAAGAAAGAAAGAAAGAAAGAAAGAAAGAAAGAAAGAAAGCAAGAAAGAAAGAAAGAAAGAAACAAAGAAACAAAGAAACAAAGAAACAAAGAAACAAAGAAACAAAGAAACAAAGAAACAAAGAAACAAAGAAACACAGAAACACAGAAACACAGAAACACAGAAACACAGAAGCAAAGAAGCAAAGAAGCAAAGAAGCAAAGAAGCAAAGAAGCAACGAAGCAACGAAGCAACGAAGCAACGAAGCAACGAAGCAAAGAAGCAAAGAAGCAAAGAAGCAAAGAAGCAAAGAAGCAAAGAAGCAAAGAAACAAAGAAGCAAAGAAGCAAAGAAGCAAAGAATCAAAGAGGCAAAGAAACAAAGAAACAAAGGAGCAAAGAAGCAAAGAAGCAAAGAAGCAAAGAAGCAAAGAAGCAAAGAAACAAAGAAACAAAGAAAGATAGCACGGATGGTTTAAGGTTTTTGCTTGATAGGTTGAGGCCAGGTTTGTGTGGAGGGTCCCACAACGAAATGGTGACCCTTCAAGCTGTGAATCTTAGGGCTGAGCCACGCGAAGCCTACCGCTACCATCCCCTTGATAGAGTACCTATATTTATAGACGTGTTGGAATTTTCCGCAGTGCTTCGAGCTCTCACTAGAGGTGACCAAGGGAAACCATTCTTCAAAAAGGGAAAAAGGGCCATACCAGATTTAGGTATGGGTCAAAATAAAACCACCAGGAAATGGGCCGCAGGTTTTAGTGTTTGGTTCCATTTACCAGGTTCCATTTTCGGCACGCATCTTTGACCCACAGCCATTTGTGGTTTGGTAACTAGGGCCATCATTTTCATTGGACGGGGACTTTGGGCTTTGCTCCCGAAAGTCCTTCAAAGGACACCGACACTTGAGTGCTGCCCTCTGTTGTGGGGTTTCGCCATCGGTCTTAAAGGGAACTGGTCGTTGGCAAAGACTTGTGTTGTTGGTGCCAGCTTAAGGGAATGTTTACTCACCCCAAACCACCACTATTGCGATCTCTTGGCTTCCTAAGCCTGGGCGTAAACTTGTAACAGACTGCTCAGTTCTGGCACCCAAATTCTGAGCCTTCGCATTTTGAACTCTGCAAATCAGAATTCAGCCCAAACACTTGCTGGCGCTCAGTAGGGAATGACCTTGCGGGTATTGGGAATGAACCGGAATCAATCGACCCAGCAAGAAAAGAGTCCCCCAGGCACCTGGTTGGACAAGCCGAATCTCTGGGGCCTGGGGGCCGTGCTGCAGCTGCAGCTGTCGTCGGATTTCTACGACCACGACCTGCTGGGCAACTTCGCGGACAACCACGACGAGCGGCTCGGTATGGGTCTGTCGCCTTTTTTTAGCTTGCTGGTGCGATAGGTAGGGGAGTGGGAAGGAACCCAGGGATTCCCTCAAAGGAAACCACAAGGGATGGTTTAGAAGGGTCATGCCCTCGTTCCCTTCCCAGCATTAGCAAGTTGTACCCACCAAATTGGTGGTTTTCCTCTGTTTGTAAACCAGCCAAAATTGGGGTTCCCGAAAACAAAAACACCTGTGCCCTGCCCAGATTGGTGGAACAGGGGGTCCAGCTCCATCTTTCATGTCTGTTTTTTTTGGGTCTTAAGCATCGTTTTGGCATTTTGAGCTGAACTGCGTTTCCTAGCGAGTTTTCGTGCTGGAGTGATGTTCAAAGGGGAAATATATGGAGGACTGTTGAAGCGGTTGGGTGTGTCACGTGTATCTCAAAAGAAGGAGGGTCCACCCACATGAACGGTGTTCTTTTGATTTTTCTTTCACATCTACGGACTTGACTGGAACCACCGATTTTGCATCCTCCTGCACCAGTTGCGACGCATGAAATTTGAATACCGGTTTGACCAAATACCATTTGGTGGATTTTGTCCATCCAAATATGTTTGCTGGGGTTGTGAAAGCCAGACATTGGAAATGGTTGTTTCCCTTCCACTTACCGCTCTGGGGGTGACTTTGACAACGGTCAAACAACTTGCTGGTGCTCAGTAGGGACTGAGCTTCCGGGTTTTGGGAACGAGGAATCCCTATAAAGATTCCCTTAGTGGAACAATAGGCCCTTGGTTTTTTTACTCGATGCTTCTTTTTCGCGGTCATTCCTAACCCCAACCCTAACCCTAACCTGCCCATCGAGCCAGCCACGGGCCGGTTGGACTGGATCATGGTCAAAATGCTGAAGCTCTTCTTGCTGGTGCGGTAGACAGGGGATGAGAAATGGGATGACCCCTTCTAAACCATCCAACTGGTGGTTGTCACTAAACCATCCCAACTGGCGGTTTCCTTTAAGGGAATTTCTGGATTCATTTGCACATTTTTTAGCTATCGCCCCAGCAAGTCTTGGACCCCCGGAAAAGGAGACGCCCGCTGATGGGATGCAGGTGATTGTGGGGCTCTGGGCACTTCATGCCATAGGTAGCCAGGACCAAAGACGAAGAAGCTTGACCAATTTTGACCATCGGCGAATTTGCCCAGACAGTCATTCAGTTCCATTCAATCGTTTCATTTTTTTGGGAGGGGGCAAAACCCGTTGAAAAGCCACGAATTACCAAAAGCAAGCACTCGAGAGGGGCGGCTTTCTGATAAGGTGGTGCAAACTAGCCCACAAGGGTATCCTCAAACAACAACATAGACCATTGCTCACAAGTATGTTGAACAACGGTGTGACCAATGTTGAACGGAGGGTTGGACCTGGAAAATGTGGCACAACTTTTTGCTTCCCCCTTTTTTCCTTTTCCCTTGACCCCTGACTCCGCCAAAAGGGGGTTCCATTTGCGCGAGCAGGTACAGCCGTTTGGCACACTACTGCAAGCAGGAGCCCGCGGGTGGTGCCTCAAATTCTTCCCCAAAACTCCGCGGTGACCTGTGAGAATTGGTGAGAATATTCGGGTGGTGAATCACCTTGTTGCTGCAGTGGCGAGCTTCCTACGAGGCTGGCATTGTATTGTAAGACTAGGTCCCCCAGTAGTGCCCTGAAGACCCTTTTTTGCCTTGATCTCAGGCCTCCGCTTGGCACCGTTGCCCGCCACGCGTCCGGCAAGTTGCTGGCAAGCTAAAAAGTCACTGCTTTGGCTGGGTGCTCCATGGCCTAGATCTGGGGACCCCATGGAAGCCAGTGTGTGGTTGGTCTACTTGCACAGGTTGTTCGGGTGCTTAGCCTTTGCCATGTGGACGTGCATATCACACCCTGCCGATGGAAGATGGGTCAATCCCAGTTGCCATCGTTGTTTCCTTTGTCAGGGTTCCCTATATTTCCCTTCTTGTTCTTTTTTTCTTTTAGTTTAATACAGTACCACTTAGGCCGGATTAAAGGGAGTGTCCTTTGGCAGGGTCAATTAGGAAAAAAGACACTGTTTTTGTCACGCCGTGTCCAGGAGTTTTGCCGCTATCCCGTCCTTTCCGATTGAAAAGCGACCAAGAGAACCGGTTCCTGTTGTTTCTGTGAACACAACGAAAACCAAGGAACATATGTGTTTTTCAAATCGCAAACCAGACAACACAATTCTCGCCAGCCGCAGGACACCTTGCGAATACAGCAGGCCCTGGTGTGGGTGATGACCATGCAGGGCATTCCCATCGCGCCGTGGCGCGTGCGTCGGTACCCTCCCAACACACATGGACACTTGAAAGGAACCCCCAAAAATGACTTAAGTTTCCTCCAGGGGCCGGTGTCAGAGGCTCCGGGGCTTGTTGGGGATGAAGCATCGCCTCTTGGACCAGCTTTCGGGTGGGGTCCCGCCGGGTAATAAGTTTTTAGCTTCATGACGGCATGTCTTGAGGGGCTGTGCACACTCCAGATAGAAACGCACACCCGCACACAGTATTCTGCAAATGGTGGGTTGGTTGAAGGTAGGGGATTTTTCCCACATTATTTTTGGAATACAGGACAGGCTGACCAAATGCGAGCAATTGTTTGAAGCTCGGCTTTTCTTGGACCTTGCGGTGGGCCAAGAAATCCGCTGGGCTTTTCTTGTTCCCTGGCGTGCGATTTCCTTTTTGCGACTCTGGTTCTGTTCCCGCAACTGGAGGTCTGGAATCAATCCTGCCTCAGAATGGGACATGGTTGCGTCCCTTTTGGCTTGCCTCAAAAAAAAGAAGAGGTTCACCGTTCTGAGACTCCCCCATTATGCGGAGGAGCCGTCAAACTCAACACAAAAGATGGCGACCTTGTTTTCTCCGGTGGCAACTGGAGGTTTGAAAGGTTGTTCATCTTTTTGAGAAGCCTCCCCCCCTTACAGGGTGTGTCCCAAAGTTTGCGGACAGAGGGCACAGATTTTGTAGTTGTTTGGGGGGGGGGGGTGGGGTGGGGTGTTGGAGGGACTTGCCCACTTTGAGCCGCAGCCATATGCATTAGAATGCCTCTGCTTCCCTTGTCCGCCTTTGTTTCGCAAAGGGATTCCGGTTGAAGATCAAGCACCAACAGATATCATGAGCTGCCCCTTTTTGCCCGTAGCAACTTGGGGGGGCGGGAACAGGGGGGGGGGTTGGGATTTACCTATTTTAAGAACCAGGCCGCCTCAGAGCATTTCTCAGAACTGGGGTAGACTTAGGATACATTTCACATTTTGCCGGTGACTCAAAGTGAATCAATCAATCATAAATAGATTCTAGGGCCAAACTCTACTCATGAACATGTGGTTGTGGGTCAAACCTAAGGTGCCTTTTTGGGGATGGTTTCCACTCCACTGTTGTCTTTTGGAAGGCTTTTTTTTTTTGTTTTTCCCACCGGGGTTTTGCCCCATAGCCATGTCTGGGCCCTCTTTCCGCTGTGAGACCAAAGGACCACTGAAAGCTTGGGATTGGGAGCTGAGGTCTACTACGGCACCGAGCAGGGCCTGGATGGGCATCAGAGCCCCTCCAACACCAAGGGCCAGGATTGGGCAGGGAACCGACAACGCAGCAAGCGGGAGGCAAGCGAATTGGAGCCCAAACTGGTGGATTCATGGGGGTTGGTGTTCTCTTTTAGTTGGGATTAATCACTTTTGGCAAAGTAATTGGAAGGGTTGAACGAGGTGAACATGCGGGAATCAGGGGTTTGGGAATGAGCCGTTTGGGGATTCCTTAGAGGACACCATGAGGGATTGTTTATAGGAGGTCATTCCCTCATTCCCTGCTGACCACCAGCAAGATCAGGAAATGGTGGTTACCAACATGTTTAGTGATAATCATTTCTGGTCAATACAGTTTCAGACATACCCATATGGGCTTACACTTCTCTTGGATAAGGGGATCCCTAGCAATCGACCAATGGAGCTCTGCTGTGGATGGTTCTACAATCCACAGAACGCACCAGTCAGAACATATGAAACCTATACGAATACTGGAATAGAATGCCTACCAACTGGTTCGGAGTGGATTTTGTCCATCTTCTTCATTCATGCAAAGGAGTCCGCAACTAGGGGGACAACCCAGCAGTTACGAAGCGCGGCTTCTCATCGAAGTAAGCGTGCTGAAACCCACGAGGACTAAAAGGGGACAAGTCGAATACCAGGTTGACCAACCAACTAAGTATCCTGCCAGAGGAATACACCGAAATGGACAGGCGGTTGGACCCGTTGGTCTCAGACTGGGGCCCGGGGGGTCTGCCTCAAGCGTCTCTTGGCGCCTTGTGGCCGGTTGGCCGGGTTTGGCCAAGCTGGGGTGGGTCTGCAACTTGAAAGGCTTTTGCCTCATCTGGGTTTGTCTTTATTTGAGGTAACCCTCTTTATGGTGGTTTGCAAAGGGACCAATGCAGGGGTTTGTCCATCCACAGAAGGTTAGATGTGGTTTGATCTTGACACTGGTCTTTCGACCTTCCAGACTTTCTGTTGGTACGCAACAAACAAACATGACAGTGCAGGGGCCATTTTGTTTCTCCCTCTTTTTTTCTCGAAGTGATCTTCGGAAGAGGTTTTGCTTGTGAGCTGGTCCCAAAGTCCGCAAAAAGGGTTCACCTGAAGATCAGCATCCAGCTAAGCGAAGGTTATGAGACTGACTCTTTTGTTTGGGTACGCCGCAAAGAGATTCTTCTTTTGGTCGTCGTTTGAAAACCACCAAAAAGAGGGTTACCCTCAAACAAAGACAAAACCCATATGACCACTTGTTCAGGGACCCTGCAACCCCTCCCCCCCAAAGAAATAACAAGAAAAACAAAAATGGAAACAACAACTGGCTCAGGGATGTTGGGGGCTTATCCTCATGAAGCAGGCTAATAAGGCCAAACAAACCAAGAAACACCAAGCCAGGGGTTGCTGGGTCGAGCGGTGTCGGCACCCGGGTGGGGGGTCGTTGGGTTGTCTTTCGTTGGGTCGACTCACTCGCAGGACGCGTTGCGGGAGTCCCTGTGGCAGACCGGATATCGCAGAGATACCTGGCAGTACCTGCTGCTTCGGAAGCTGCCGCCTGGACTTTTTGCTTCGCATTCTTTTGCTGTTTGCCCAGTAATGGGAGGGAGGTGAAACGCCTGGTTGATCAGGGTGGTGTCTCCTTTTTTGACTGGGGATTTGTTGCTTTGGATGTATCAATTGGAAGGGCTTATTGAGCCGGAGTGAACGTCAGGAAATCGCCAAAAGGTTTGGGACTGAACCTATGGATCGCTTTGAATGAAGGCTCCAAGGACGGTTGGTTCGGGTTATTCCATTTCTCCTTGCCTGCTGAGCGATGCAGAGCCGAATCGCAACGGGAGCTATGACAACCGGCCACGGACCAATCAGCTCCACGAATCTAGAAAACGGTCTGTTGGCTCTTTTATATCCTGGGGTGCACCCACATCCAAACCGTTTTCTGGATGAAGGGCAATGACGTTCCCTGGCTCTCGGTGCTGTTGCTCATCAGCATTGGCTGTAGAACTTGCGAAGATATGGACATTGTATTCAAATCACTTTCATTGCTGTTGGGTAACGGATCTTTGGACTCTAAACCTTGGTCTGATTTTCCAGGGGAGACCCGCAAAAAGTTGAAAACTTTTTGCAGAGGGATCGTTGCAGCAACCAAGTTTACATACCAGTATCGGTCCGAATATTCCATTTCCCCCTGGATGAGAAGATCTGCTTATTCTGGCACCACTACTTTGTGCAGAGGGAAGAGCAACCAAGTTTACATAACAGTAGCACACCACTTTGTGCTTGTCTTTTTGCCACGTCCCTGCCCCCATCCACCTGGTTGGATGCGAGGAACCGACTCCGGCGCCTCTTTGGATCAAGCCGCGCGGAGATCCAAAACTTCACGGAGAACACGCTGGCCGCGTGGAAAAGAAAGGGTTGCTAGCCCCATGGGAAAAAGAGGGGGGGGTGGGGTAGAACATAGAACATTGGTTTCCTGTGGTTTTCCGTAGGTGATTTCCTGTGGCAGAAAAAGGGAGGGCGAGTTCCTGTGGTAGAAAAGGGAGGGTGAGTTCCTGTGGTAGAAAAAGGGATGAGGGTATTTCCTGTGGTTTTCCCTTTAGAACCCCATTTCTGTTGGGTCGAAAGGGAGCCCTAAAGACGCCTGGGTGATGGGAACTCCGGAGCCTCAGGTGTTTACCCGGGCGGATGCCTGGGTCTTCCTGAACAACGCTCCCAACACCACCCAGCTTGTGCCCCAGCGGTACTGCCCTGGCCCCGAGCCCGGCGCAGGCGGAAGTTGGAAGGTGGCAAAACCCGACCGGTGGTTTTGGAGCCCAAACAACTTGGGGTTTGGACTTTGTTCTGGGCATTTCCATATTTTTCCCCCAGGTTTTGCCATTTGCCCCACGGATCCCTTACCGAGTTAAATATACCGGGAAGCAACACGAAGGATCTATCAAGAGAAAGTTGTGGAAAGCTGGGCTCGCACAGTTCGTTCCCAGAGGTCCAGAGGCCACAGCATGGTCCAGAGGAACCCCTCCTTGGGAGACCTGATCCAATCGCCTTCATGGCCCCGCCCTAGGACTTTGGCTCGGCATGCCTTTGAGTCGGTTGGGCAAGTGAGTCACAAGCAAAGCTCGGGCAAGTGAAGGTTAGTAAGGGAAAGACCCGGCCAGAATTAGTTGCGGCCGCCTTCTTAAGTCTTTACATGGTTCTGGGTCGACCATTTTTGTACCGGGTTTTGATTGTGACTCAAGTGGACTAGAGCGAGCTCTGGAGTTTTCTGCGTGCAAGGAGGACTCGTGTAGACCCCGGATCACGCCTTGTGGCTTGCGGGGTGTCTTCCGGATTGCTTCTGAAGCAGGTTGCACCGCTATCATATATACTCAAGCAGGGGTTTATCAACTCCCTGGTTCCTAGGGGATCCCTGGGTTCATTCCCACACTGCCTGTTGATTCCACAACGAACCTATTCCCCGCTAAGAGTCAGCAAGTTGCTAACTTCTCAAACCCCTGTTGATTCCCTTCTGAGAATCGGCAAGCTGTTACACTTGCTTCCTTTCCTCTTTTTTGGTTCTGTTGTCGTTGTTTTTTGGTAGGGTTCTCATTTTGCATGTGTTGCCCGCCAGGCTGGCGATGGATTGACGCCCTCTCCGAGGAACCCATGGACGCCTACTTGGCGGGCGGCTGCTTTGACGCGCCGGACAAGTTTCCAAAGGTGCTGGTGCAGAGAACACGTGCGCCGGTGCTTTTGTAGAATTCAGTCGGGCGCGTCTCTTTTGATAAGGGAAACTTCCTTTTGGTTAGTTTCAGAGGAAAGCCAAAAAAGGACACCAAGCAACACGGGGACCCAAAGTTTGAGGCACACCCGAGTCGCAACTGGGCCCAAAAGAAGGGGCCTTGCAAACAGTTGCATGTTGCATGCTTTGGAAGTAGGCTTCCATATTTTGCATAGTTTTCCCAGAACCGCATAAGGTCGGTTCGGGGCCACGCCGATTTTGGCACGTCGCGCCTCTCCACTTGAGGGATGCCAGACCTCTGGCCGGGCATGTTTTTCGAAACTCGAGGACTTTAGCTTCGGCCGCTCGGGCGAAGAAATTGACCCTAGAGGGGGGCTGGTTTCGGATTGGTTTAGGGTAGGGGTTTGGGCTTCAGGTTGGTTCAGGGTAGGTGTGGGTTAGTTAGCTTAGGGCAGGTTTAGGGTTGATTTCAGGTTTGGTACTTTTTAAAGGCTGCCACAGTTCCCAGGTAAAGACGGTAAGGGTTTTGCGAACAGCTCGGTGGGGATTTCTCGTGGTTGCCTAGGTGCGCCTATAGGGGTGGCAGCTGAGTCCGAACCCGGATACCCACGGTTTCCCGCGTTTCCGTGACGCAAAATTCAAACCTCGAGGGTTAAACAAGTTTCATAAGATCTTGCGGAAAAAATCGCAGACGGAATGCCCAACGGGCTAAAGCGACATATGGTGCCTTCGAATGGGACCCTCGAGGGGAAGAGAAGGGAACAACCCTATTTCACCAGATATCCGGGGTCAACCTCCATTTGCTGAAATGCACATGTGTTTTTTTCTTCCCCTGTTGGTTTTAAAAGGAATTCATCACTACTGGAAATACTTTTATATTTTTCCCAGGGGTCTTAAACAAATGGAAGTAGGTGGAAGAGGCAGCTTTTCGCATCCAACACTTTTTTTTAAAGGCGCGCTTCGATGCTTGTCTATGGGTCAACCCGTCCAGGGTCCGCGCAGCGCGGCCAAATATGAAGGAAGCTGACATGGGGCTCTAGGTCGCCGAAGGAATCCGTCGGCACAGCTTACTTGAGGCACGCCCCTCGGAGCCAACAAAACGAACAGATCCAGCTTCAAGCAACAAAAACGGATGCGCGAAAAGACAAGCCAAGAAGCATATGCATGAGCAAAGCGCAAAGGGGCACACAAGCATGGAAGCACTCGGAAAAGACACAGACCACGATCAAGCAAAGAAAATTGGCCAGCAGAAGGTTAACAGAGAAGCCCAGGTTTTGTCCAAAGGTACCCTTCCTCCAGCCCATAAGACCAACCGAAATTTGCCGCCGTCTTCCATCTTCCTTCCGTCCGGTGGAGTGACGTCCTTTGACCCGACGAGATGGAGATGGGCACGTTGGACGCGCGGCAGAACTACTCGGGCACGTACAGCGCGTGGCTCACCAAGATGAAAGGCCGGCCGCACGAAGCTTTCGCTAAGAGAAACCAACAAGGTTCATACCCATATTCTTATTTGTAGTATGCGTTGTACCATGTTATACCAGTTCGCTAAGGAGCGCTTTGTGAAGCAGTGAAGTTTGGCAGAGGCAAGGTCAGCCAGAAACTGATGCAAGGCCATGTAAGCCAAAGAGAATATAGGGAACTATGCCATGCCTTGTGTGTCATACCCATTGTATTTATTTGTAATATACGTTATACGCTCCTTCCCGATAATGCAGCATTTGTGGGAAGACTAATTTTCTCTTCAAGGGACACCGGGCCCCTGTCAGGTGCCGTGTTAGTGGGAGGAAGGGTACCCTCAGTTCCCCCGAAAAAATCAAGTTACCAAGTTGTTCGTCGAACAATACGGGTTTTAACCTTTTTAAATCAGAGCTTGAAGTTGAACCAGCTGGCCCTTGCGCTCGTCCGTGCAACCCTTTGGAGTCGGGAAACCATTCGGTGGTTTTGTCTCTTGCGACTGCAATCTGGTCGAGATATTCTCCCTCAAAGCCGAAGATTCGCTTTCCCTCAAGGATGGGTTTGCTAAAACGTTGGAGCCTCTTGGGACCAATGGATGCAGCCCTTCCGAAAGTGGAAGCAATTCAAGCCAGTTGCGAGGGGTCTTGGGGGGTGCAACAAACTGCAACTTAGCAGTATTTTGGCAACTTAGCAGGTGGATACAAGAGAGCATGGATCACTCACCAAAGGCCACTCCCCGCGACCGGTGGCTGACAAGCAGAATGCATTCCGGGCGAATCGCCTTTTTCTTTTTTTGGCGTGGGTGTCCAACTTATTCCCATGGAAATTGTCGGTGGGTGGAAGGTTCTTCCAGTTTCTGCGCCACCGGTACATCCCCGCGCAACCCGCCTGCGGTTCCTTTCGAGTGAGCCACAATCAAACCCGGGTGGATGAAGCTTAGTACAGCACGGTCCCAACCACAAGTAGCTGCGGATATCCGCCGTCTTCATTCCTTCCGTTCCGGGATCGCGACCATTTTGGTCCCGGGTTTTGAGCGAGTGACTCAAGTGAGACCCCTCCCCAGCCCCCATGCGGCCCATGCGCAGGGGAGGGCGCCAGGGCCAGATGGTTCTCCAGCACCACGAAGCGCTACTTCACCCTGGACTTCAATGCCCACCTCTTCTTCTACGCCCAGAGCGACCGTGGCCGAAGAGATTGCAGGTGGCACGCACCCAACTCTGAAGGGTTGGTGATATCGGTGATGTCCATTAGAAGTGTGGCCACCAAAGGGTGTTAAGTGAAAAGTTGCCACTATACCCCAATTTCTGGGGGTTTGGAGGTTTGGGGGCAGTGGACGCCATCCCAGAAATCCATGGATGAGACCTTGAAGCTGGCAAAGCTTCCATTCAACCTTTGACCCTTAGTCCCAGCAAAGCGCCCGGGCCAAGGACCGACTCGGTGGGGGATCTTTAGGGAGGGGGGCTGTACCTGAAAAATCTTGACGATCAACCATCGTCAACCAACATTGGTTTGGTGCAGAGTTTGGGTAACCCTTGGGAACATGGTGTGTAGGTGCTGTTTCCCCCGAAAATGTCTGGAAAACTCAGCAAGGGCCCCAAACAGTCATGGGGCATCTATGCCAGGATAAGCTGGATAAGCCCTTGATAAGGCCTGATTGATTCGTTGATACCGTGGCCTTTGGGCTGCAGGGACCCTGGAAAGACTGCGGGAGACGTGGGTCCAAACTCTTCCCAGGCATTTGGGCTCCTTTTTGTTTGTTTGTTTCGGTTTGAAATAGACACCAAAGGGGACTGCCATTTTTGCAGTCCTATGTTGACATACTCAATTGCCCAGAAGTAAGCAGACTTGGTTGCCCTTCAACCAGTGACCAGTGGGCCTCGTGTTTTGCGGTTCGCCCTTGGTCTTTTTCACGTAGGACCGAAGGCTTGAGATGATGGATCTCAAACCTATGGCGCCAATTTTTAAAAGCGATGCTTTTGAGCCTGAATCGCCGACCTCAGGGGTATAAGATCCCTTTAGGGTCCTCTCTTGGCTTCCAACCTGGGCGCCACTGTTCTGGCAGAAATCGAATCGCCGGGAGTTCGGAAGCAGTGATGGTTGATTCCTCTAACTTTTTTGTTTTAGCCATTAACAATATATAATTTGATGGACAAAATGCTGCACTCTTGGTCCAGTCGGACAAGCCGGGCCAAGGTGAGAGCCAGAAGACGGTGTCCCAGCCCATCCGCTTCAAGGAAAAGTGGAAGTCCGGATTGTTTTTTGTTTGATTCGACCTCCTGGTACTGGGCGCTTTTGGGAACCAAGCCCACTTTTGAGGGGGTCCCCCCCCCACCTATTAGGACGGACGGGTTGATTTTTCATTTGGGGTCAACATCAGATTTATTCGAGGGGTTGATTCCCGGAAAGTACCCCTAGAACAACCCTAAACCCATTCATCGGCCTGGCTCCCTGCCGCAGGACATCGTGGCGGCCGATCAGCTGCCGGACGCTGGGGTCAAGGGCCGGGACCCTCGGTCGGACGTTGGGAGCTGTCAGCCACTCTGACGGCTGATGAAGATCCATAGAGGTTCCCCTGAAGCTGTGCACATGTTGGATGGCCCAACCCGCGATATATTTGTTTCCGTTTGAAAGACCCCGAAGCGGCCCAGGGGAAAAAAGGATGAATGCAACTTGCCTTTTTTTCTCCGCCATCCTTGGAACCACATCGGCAAAGGGCAAGGGAAAAGGCGCATTTTCGGCATGGAAGGGCCCCAGAAGTTGTCTGCTGTGCACATGTTGGATGGCCCAACACACTTGCAAAGCAAGCCGCGAAACTGGGCTTTCCTCCACTGTGCTTGCTGTTTTGAGGTGGACGAAACATCACGCATATTCGAGCGCACCCCGCCACCCCGCCACCCCGCCGAAACCCGGCCGATGGATTCGAGGCGAGCACCCCTTCGGGTTCTCGGTCCTGACGGTGGAGCGGACCTACGAACTCTTTACCCACTCCTACCAGGCGAGGTTAGTGGCAGCTGCGAAAACCTACCATAGGTGACTAGGTCCCCCAGCTAGGTGCCCTTTCTGACCCCTTTTTTGGGTTGGGAGGGTTCCCCTACTAGAATCGACTACAGAAAAAAAAAGGTACCCTTATTTTAATTTTTTTATTGGAGGCCTAGATGATGTAAAAGCCGGTAAACATGCCGACATGCCTGGTTCGCTACCTCTACTGGCAGCTGGAATCACTGGAACTGGTCGTCTGGACATGCTTTGTCGCTCCTGTGGGGCATGGCTCAAGGAGTGGGCCTAAAATTGGGGCCCCTGCGACTCTGGTGTACTGGTTATGGAAGCAATTAAGCGTCAGATGGGTATAGTTAGTGGATTTAGTTACCACTATAGTAGGGAACCATTTGTTTTGATTCTTGAATGGTTCTACCTTGGTTGCCTATAGTGGCAACTGGAAGCACTGGGCCAAAGTGTGGCAAGCTGCATCGGAAGTGTCAGGGTGAAGTATGATGAGGGCAACTCACGATCCGAAGAAGCTATCAACCTGTAAGCTCTGGGAGAAAGAGGCGTCTGACAAGGTCCCCCAGCTAGGTGCCCGACCTCTCATCGATTTGATTTTTGGTTGGGAGGGTTCCCCTACTAAAATAGACTACAGCAAAAAAATAAAAACACATCGGGTACCCTTATTCTAACCTCTCTACTGGAGGACCTAGCTGAGATTACGCAAACTCCACCCAGACAGCTAGGGGCTTGTAATAAGCCTTGTAAAGCCAGCTTCACGCTCGTGGTGTTGTTTTGCCGCTGGTTTCCTACGGTTATTGATGAGCCCTCAGAGAGTCTGGCCTGTGATGCCACTTGTTCCAACTTCTTCTGGAACAGATTGTCTCCTTTGGGTTTCCCTTTGATTTTGTCTAGGACTTTATTCCTGGCGCCCCTTCAAACATGAACCGAAAATGGGGAACTCCCTGTTGCTTCCGTGGAAATCCGCTAAAAATCGGTTTGAGTATAATGCACACACCCCCAGTAACACGCAAAGTCCTAGAAAACTTGATTTCCAGGTCCCCCGAGTCGGGAAGGGCTTTCAAAAAGGCTTTGTCCCACGCCTCCCGAGTGCCTCCAAGCCCAACCATTTTCAGGATGTTGTTTTTTTGGCCTTTGCCTGATACAAGACTTTTGCAGGGCCCTTACTTCCGCATGTGGGGAGTTTCCCTCCCAAAATGGAGGGATGTTCCCAGTTGGACCCCATTATCTACAAAGTATGGCGACATCTAATTACGTTCAGCGAGCGGAAGTGCTTTTCCTCTACTAGAAAATAGGTTCCCAGTCCGCAAAAGGTTGTACTTTGCATGCCTGCAACAAGAGGTGCCTACCGTCACAGTTGAATTCCCAAAAAGAAAGATGGTGAGGGTGATGAGGATGATGAGGTTGATGATGATGATGATGATGATGACGACGATAAAGATGACGATGACGATGGCGATGGCGATGACGATGGGGATGACAGGGGATGATGGGGTTGATGGGGATGATGAAGATGAGGATGATGGGGATCATTGGGATGATGATGATGATGATGATGATGATGATGATGATGATGATGATGATGATGATGATGATGGTGATGATGACGATGATGATGATGATGATGATGATGATGATGATGATGGTGATGATGATGATGGTTATGATGACGATGCCGATGATGATGACGATGATGACGATGACGTTGACGATGACGACGATGGCGACGATGGCGACGATGGCGATGACGATGACGATGACGATGATGACGATGACGATGACGATGAAGATGATGATGATGATGTCGATTTCGACGACGATAGTGATAATGATGATCCATTCTTCCCCTGCGCCTCCCCTTTTGCGGCAGACGGGGGATCAGCTAACTCCCCCGTGTTCCCCTGCGGAAACCATCGATTCGAGGACGCCGAGCTTTGGGTCTCCGCACTGAACGCGGCCCGGGACATTGCAAACGGCAAAGTGCCTGGTAGCCAGGCGCGCACTTTTTGTTCTTCTCCGTTTTCTCGGACGTTTTGGGCCGTTTCGGGAGTCACCTCAAGTGGTGGAGATGAACTTTGCACTTGTTGGATCAAGTTGTTGTTGTTTTACGTATTTTGGTTTTTTGGTTCTTCATTTTTACTAGGGGGCTGCCCTGGTCCCTTCGAACCCAGGATTGACACACCCCTGGTTGGGTTGACGAATGGGGTGTCCCAGTTTAGAAGGGACCCTGCATTTTTTGCGGGGACCACCTTGTTGGGCCACCCCTTGTTCGCGAGCATGCTCGGGTGGCTCGGGTTGGGCTGGTTGCGGTTCGGGGTGAGGTTGGGATGGATGAAGGGGGGGTTTTGCAGTGGGCTGGTTGCGGTTCAGGGTGAGGTTGGGATGGATGAAGGGGGATTTTTAGACTGAGACGAGTTTGTGTTGCTTGTCTGAAGTTTCAAGGCTTCTCGCAGACTTGGGAAGCCTGGCCAACGTTGCCCTGCCCTGTTGGCCTCTTTTGCGAGCAATGCGCCTGTCATGTAGCCCCCATGGTGTACCTCCAGCAGCATAGCCAATAAGGGTTATGGTGTCCTCAATTCGAGGAGCCACCTAAAAGATGCCACACAGGTCAGTTCGGTCCCACCCAACTTTCCCATGTTGTCCAAAAAACGTCAAGTTGTCCTCCACAAAAAGGAGGAAACGGGAGGAGGGCTTGCACGTCAAGGATCCCCAAACACTCCGCCTCAAGGACAAATATTTGGGTGGAAGAGGGGCTAAAGCCTGTAAAACGAAGGCGACCCTGTAAAACGAAGCTCCATGTTTTCACCTTTTGATATGGCTGTGGCTCAAAATTAAACGATCGGAGGGGCAAACCGCAGGATTGGCTCCATGTTTCCACTTCCCAGGGCAACCCATCTTGGAGTTCCGTTTTTTTGAGCCACAGCCATATTGGAGATAGCTCATGCACGTTAGAACCAAAACCGGGGTAGATGAAGGTTAGTACGGGACGATTCCAACCAGAAATAGCTGCGGATATCCGCCTTCTAAATTCTTTACATGGCTCTGGGATTACGACCATTTTAGTACCAGGTTTTGAGCAAGCGACTCACGCGCCGCGTCTTTTTCTTCGAGTCGATTTTTTTTGCAAGGCGCCCAGCTCCACGACCCATGCAGGGAGCGTGGACTACGGGCGCGGCGCCCGAGATTTGGCGAGCCGAGTGCTCCCCTCGAAGGGCTGATCGAACTAGGTCCCCCAGCAATTGCTGCCCGACCTCTCACTTTTTTTTCTGGTTGGGAGGGTTCAACTGCTAAAATAGACTACAGGAAAAAAAACATGGGGTACCAACTTATTCTAACCTCTCAAATCTGGAGGACCTAGACAAGGATAGGGAAATTGGCATAGTTCTCTTTTGGTTTCCCCTTTGCCGGGGCCAAGTTGCGACCCTTTGGATCTTTTTTGCAAGGGATATGGGAGCGCTGCTGCATCCATACTCGCTACCTAAGCTGCAGATGGCGGCACACCTTCTTTTGCACTTTCCTGCGTGCATGGGTAAAACGAGCTCTCCTGTGATGAAGGTACCTTTCCTGAATTGACGTTGGTGGCATGTGCGACTGCAACCATATGGCTTTGTTCCTGTATAAAAGATTCCTCAAAGGAAGGATCGCTCGAAAAAATGCTGGAGCCGGTAGAAAAATGATTGGGAAACCTCGTTATCGGAAAGTAAGTGATGTTGATATACCTCCCAAATAAAGAGAAATCCCCCGCAGACGCGTCAAACCAGGTCTGGAAATGTGCTTGAAGTCATGTCCCTTTTGGTTTCCTTTTGAAACAGGGGAAAGGGCTGGTTTTGGAAAACAACGATGGTTGAAAAGAATGAGGAATCACCCCCTAGAAATTGTGGAAAACATGTGAATACCCCGTCCACGAACATGGGTTCCCCTCAGAAAACAAGGTGGTCTTCCAGGACCCCTCGGTCAGCTGCCAGTGGATAGGGTAACATGCATTCTCTGTGTTTCATTCCTCGAGCCTGGCTTGGGAATGTTGTCATTTTGCACCCGATAGACTTGGTTGCTCTTCTCAGTTGCCCAAAGCCGACCTGTTCACCTTGTGGTTTCCCTATTTTGGTCCACTTGTAGTCCTGACATCCAAAGGTTAGCCTTTGTTTTTGGGTCCTTTGGGCAACTGAGTCTTTGCTTCGACCTTCCCCTTTGCACTTCTGGGATAGTTATCGTTTTCCTGCTATCACCAATCTGAACAACCTTTTGGCAGGGGGTCAGTTCAACCAGATCCAGCGGAGGATATTCTAATGTTGACCGCACATTGGTCACCGATGGCGAGGGCTTCAGACAATCTGGTTCCGGCATATCACTCTCAACATGTTAATGAGTCTTAGCACATCCTTTTGGAGGTGCTTTCCCTTTCGATTACCATTTACAGTAGATGGTAATATCATTTGAATGGACCCATCCAAAGGCGCGCAACGTGACCCCCATCTGCTTTCGCCGGCCCAGGTCCTCTTCAGTCTCCGAAAACGGCGGGGAGCCTAAAGCAGAAAGTCGCGAGGAAATTCGGAGTTTGAATGGAATAGGTTTACTCAAATGACGGCAAACTGGGGGGGGGGTGGTCTCTGGAGTTTGAACTGGTCCTGGATGATTTCTGAATATCAAGTTAGATTTTTGGAGTCTCTTTCCAAATTGAGGACAACTCTTTCAAATTTTGTATGAGTCTCTTTCTGACGCGAGGACTGGTTTCTCACACCAACGATAGGCTTTTATCCCCTGCAGGGGTCATTTTGGCCACTGGAGGGCTGAGATCAGAGATTTGGGGAGTCCTTTGGGGTTTTGCTTGCGTTGCTCAATGCCGGGGATTCCCTTGGTGCAATTGGTAGGGAATGAGAAATGGAGTGAATCTGGGGGCCCCTTGAAGGAAACCACCAGTTGGATGGTTTATAGGGGTCATTGCCTCATGCCCTACTGAGCACCCGTAAGTTCTAGACTAACTCAGCTCCCTTGAAAAAGCGGGGTGTTCTCATGAATGCGGGGTAATGATTGATGACCCCCTTTTTTGCGAGTGTCTTGGAGACTCTCGGGGAAAACCGGAAAACTACCTGCCTTTCTTAGGGGAGTACCCAAGTGGAGTCTTCTTTGGGACCAGGCTTCTCTGTTTGAGGCCCCAGTCTGATGATAGAATTTGAACTTTGAGCTAGAATCTAAATGGGAGTTCCATTCCAAATAGACAATTCGTTGCAACTAAGCTGGATGTTAACGATCCTTTAAGAAGGGCAGAACCAAGATTTCGATTCTAAACTAGATGTGAAATGGGAAGTCTTTCCTCAGAGAACTAAACCAATTCTTTGAGGAAACAACTGAACTAGATCTTCCATTTCAAACTTGATTTCAAGTAGCTTTTTTTAGAATAGGATCGTCGTTTTTTTGTTTTTGTTTTTGGAATCTAAGATCCTTTTAGTATGGACATAGTCCGCTTTAAATTTTCATTTTAAATGGCACTTCACGTAGGAGGTCATACCCTTCATTTTATTGAGTTGTCTTTCCCAAATAGAATTTACTTTTCATCCAATAAGGACAACCACAGTTCCAACTCTTACTCTAATTAACATTTGAAACAGGAGTTCCCACAGCCAATGCAAACATGTACAAGGCAAAATTGCAGGTCCAATACACATACCAAGTACAAATCTGAACAACACTTGCATGGAGAACACAGCCTTTCATGGCGTCCAACCAAACCAAAGAAGCTGGCATCAGACAAAGCACCCCCCACCAAACCCAAAAAACAACTGGCATCAAACAAGGGCAACCCCCCCCCCCAAAAAAAAAGAAGAGAAAAGACAAATAAACACACAGCTGGCGGTTTCATTGGAGACAACACGTGATGGTCAACCTTGGGAGCACTGTTTTGCCCGTGACATGTGGCTACAAAAAGTCCACAGGAGCTCCATTCTGTGAGGCACACATTTGGGATCGGTTGAGGCTATGTCAAAGGGACACCACCAGGAAAACCAAGCCCCGAGTTGGATGCAACTCCTTTGCGAACGGCGTTTGTAAGAACCATACTCAGGTGATGAATAGAGCTTCGTGTGTCAATCACATTTTTCCCCCAGGTTTCCAAGCTTAGGCCCATTTCTTCCGGAAACAGGGGCGCTCTCATTTTTTCCTCAAACGAACCACAACTAGTCCCCCAGTAGTGCCCTTTCCGACCCCTGTTTTTGGTTGGGAGGGTTCCCCTACTGAAATAGACTGCGGAAAAAAAGTCGGGTACCAACGGATTCTAACCTCTCTACTGAAGGACCTAGACAAAACCTGTGGGGGTTTGCGACTTTCTCCGTCCACAGCGGGCGGGCCGATGCTTCCTGATCTCAAGGCGAGCGCACGCGGGCTCCCTGGGAGCCCCCGCCCGTGGCACCGAGGACGGGGACTCTTTCGGCTGGGGACGACCAGTTTAGCTTAGCTTCCCCAATTCCTGGGCTTTAGTCACTTGATGGGTTTGGATCATTTGTGTGGAAAAGAGAAAGTATAGACAGTCACTTTTTGGGGTTGCCATTTGTGTGGTATAGAGAAAGTGTTGGACCATTTTTGTGGTAAATAGAAAGTAACTCGTCTTTGTTTGGCCCATCCACTCGATCGGAAGTGAGCTGGTGAACCAAAGGTTTGCACTCGTTTTTCGCCAATCAGGAAGTGAGAAATGCACTCTCTGGTCTTTGGGAGCCCTTTTTGGGATGGCAGACCGGGCCCATTTGGTTTAGCTCAAGCGAGGCTTGATGCTTTCCCGGGGGTAAACCGCCTAGATGCGCACATCTTCTTTGGGTCTTTCGGAGGCGGCGAAGAGATGTGTCGTTAGGATGGGCATGACCTGCTTTTTTGCAGTGTTTGTTGATTGTAATGTGAATTGAATTGTGTTATGGATGGATGAAGAAGTTTGATGGTTTTCCTGTTGCTTGGACCAGAACTGTGTAATAATAGGTGGATTGATGCAGTTGATTTGATGTAGTTTGGATTTGAGTTGAGCTTGGTTTGAGTTGTTGCTGGGTTTTTGATTTGATTTCAGCATGATCAAGATAAGATGTTCATGGATTGGTACCATTGTTTTAGTTGATTTGATTTGATTGTGAATGCAATTCAGCTATTGATGGACTTATACGTTACCTTGATATTCCGATTTGATTTGACAATCATTTGGTTTTATCGATTTGCTTGCTGGCTTGGTTGGTTGCTTGCTTGGAGCCGCAGGTGGCAGGAGCCGGCCTCCGCCCTGAAGTCGGCGGACGCCTCGGGGGCCGCTTTCCGTTTTCCGTGCGTCTCCACCCGCGGGAGGTCCCAAGTCACGCCTGGGATACGTTTCAGGCGTGGCGGGGTTCAAATGAGCCATGGACAACCATAGACCCCCAGAAAATATTGACCCTTTCGGGGTTTTTCGGACAAGAGGATTTCCACTTGACCCAAAAGATGGGTGTACATGAACCTTTGTATGTCCGCCTGAAAGCCGCAGAGGGAGAACAATAGTATCCTCCGAACACGCGAAGGCCGCGTTGGCAGGTTGGGCTGAGTTGCTGAAGCAACGCATCCGCACCCTTCCGCAAGCTGAAGCCTGTTCTACGTGTCACCTAGCAACGGATGTTTCGGTGCAAAACGTTCGTCATCTTTGGCGCGAGTATTCATTCTGCGCCTGGTACCGGCCAGCGCCGTGGCTCGAAACTATGGGCCGAGGGGTTGGTCCCAGGTGTATTTATGTGTGTATTTATGTACGTATGTAGGTATGTGCGTGCCAATCTCTCAGCTGCGAAACGTAGCCAAGAATAAATGAGAAATGGGTCTGCGCCGAGACAAGGCCTGTTTCTCACGTGGGCGTGCGTCACACGCTAAGGACTCATTGTTGGCTCGTTTTTCTTGGCATCCATCGTGAAACCGCCGCCATTGACAGAGATTCCAAGCTTGCTTTGACATGTTGCCTGGATATGCACATGTGATCTGCCATTGAAGCTTAGGCAGTTTTGTTTTCCAACGCTCAAGAGAAACGCGGGCGTGCGTGAGTGCGTGAGAGAGAGAGGGAGTAGCTTTTGGACTTTGCATACGCGGTGCGTAGTGCGCGTCCCTTGCGCGACCTACGTGTGAGACAAGCTTCTAAAAGCCTGGCTGGATACGCAGTGCGGTTGACTGCTCTCACTGTGGACAGCCATTCGGCACGAATGCCCGAGCAACGGTCAATGGGAGTGAGGGTGTGAGGGAGTGAGGGAGTGAGGGAGTGAGGGAGTGAGGGAGTGAGGGAGTGAGGTAGTGAGGGAGTGAGGGAGTGAGGGAGTGAGGGAGTGAGGGAGTGAGGGAGTGAGGGAGTGAGGGAGTGAGGGAGTGAGGGAGTGAGGGAGTGAGGGAGTGAGGGAGTGAGGGAGTGGTGAGTGCATGAGTGCATGAGTGCGTGAGTGCGTGAGTGCGTGAGTGCGTGAGTGACAAATCAACTGTCCAAGTAAAACAGATACGGGCACCTTCTTCAACCCTGGAGAAAGCTTGTTTTTTCCCCGAAATTTATGAGGGGTTCCAGCTTTTTCCTTGTTTTTGCCAGGGTCAAGCGGAAAGCCCAGGTGGACGATGTAGTATTGCCTCCACCCCCTCCGCAGCAGGACGGAGCAGTACTCAAGGTGGTCACAGAATCGGGACCTTTGCTTCGCCTTTTTCTGGCCAACCCCGAAAAGGGCGACGAACCGTGGCAAGTGACCTCCAGAAATAATCAAATCTCCCAGATGTTTATGTTTTTTCTTTTTTTTCTGGCGAATAAGTTGTTGAAGCATTTGAACAATTAAGCTGGTTCTGGAATTCCGAGCCCCGCACCCTTGGGGAATGTTCTATAGAATAGGTTGGGTGAGTAGAAGAATGTAGGGCCGTTTTAAGAGCAATTGGAAAACACATGGGGCTGTATGGTTATAATTGCCATTCGGCAACTCAACGTGTAGCACAAATAGAACAATGAGACACAATAGTCTGGTTTGCCCAAAAGGGCACCCGCTCTTCTGCGAACAAAACGAAGCATTGCAAAGCGGTCCGGCCAGAACTAGAAACAGTAGCAAGCCCTCTGTTTTCTATCTAGTTGGAACAATTAGAACAGGTAGTCAAAAGATTCGGGAAGCTCCCAAAAGCAGACACATTTTGGGTATTCAGAAACGGCTAGCACACTAGAACCATGAGAAAGATGAATTTGGAGCCCCCTAAAAGGCACCCATCCCTTTGGGAATGCTGAGAACAATTAGACGCACGTAAGCCTTGATGTCCTCGAAGCAACAATGATAGTTTGTAGAATCGGAATAAAAGAACATGTTTGCAGTCCACGGAGAAGGCACAAATTCTTTGCGAGTACTTAGCACAAATAGAATACATATCACATATACATGTATAAACATGCTTATAATTGAATTTCCGAAGAACGGCACTCATCCCTTTGGGAAATTAGAGTACTAAGACAACATTGACATATGTTTTTAATTGTTGTGCTTTGCCTAATCAAGCAGAACAAGTGGACTAATCAGAGTAAGTAGGACACACCATGAACATGGAATCCTGCAAAGAGGCACTCCTCCATTTGCTAGTGGGACATATTAGAACAATTGTGAAACAAATGAACAAGCAGCATATGATTCTTCCAAATGTTTTTCTTTTGTGCAAAAGGCACCCATCTCTCTGGAATTAGTTAGAATACTTAGAACCATGCCAGGCTGTGCGTTCTCTAATTACTCCGCCAACAAGTTCGAATATTTGTTGAGAGTAAACAAGATAGTTAGAAGCTTAGCCGAATTTGAGAACCATGAGTCTGGAACTGACACAGAGTAGACAGCGCGCCGTCTCTGTGGCAAATCTGGCTATACCTTTTCTATTGACACAATTAGGATATTTCAATCAATCAGCAAAGTTGAATCTGCAGTTTGCCAAAGGCCCTATCCCTTTGGGAATTGAGAATGAGACTGTCAAGAATAAACAGAATCATTAAACTGGAATGCACAAACTGGCAGCCGTTCCTGTGAGAACAATTGGAAGTACTAAAACACATATCACTATGTGTGTATAATTGTTCCATTTGCTGAGAGATAGCTTAGAGCGATCAGGAGAATTTGAATATATATATATATATAGAAACAACCTAGACTTCCCAAAAGGCACCCGGCCCCTTCGCAGGAACAACACATTTGGAATAGTAAGAATGACTAGGTCCCCCCAGCTAGGTGCCCTTGTCTCCCCTTTCTTGGTTGGGAGGGTTCCCCTACTAAAATAGACTACAGAAAAAAGGGTACCCTTATTCTAACCTCCCTACTGGAGGACCTAGATGATTAGAGTGATGAGAGAAAGGAATCTTCTCAACCCCTTTGGGAATAATTCGCATATTTAGTGGCGCGCTCGTTGGGCGACATGCTAGCAGCAATCCAAAAGACAGACCAATCCGAGTGCTTGGAACAATACATTTGGAATTTTCTAACAGGTATCCGTCTTTTCGGATTACTTAGAATGCTTGGAAGCAAATAGTGGCTTTTAGGTTTTCCTGTTCTGAAAAAAGATATAATGATCAGAAAACACATGCTTGTTAAGCTTAAACCAATTGCTCTAGTTCTTCCAGCTATTCCAGCTAAATAACGAAAGCAACAGTGAGCTAACACATGTTAATTGCGTTGGTTTGTTAACACGATTTGCTACAATAGTTTGCATCATTTGGAGAATGCTTCCAGAACTCCCCGGCAGGCCCCCTTTGCTTTGGGAACTCTAAGCACAGTGAGAATAACGAGTGAAGTGAGCCATGCAGGATAGCTTGAATGATTTGAATAGCCCTTTCCTAATTATTCGACTGCATTAGAGTAGCTAGAACAAGTGGAAGCAACATGAATCTGGAATTCGCAAAGCGGTCCCCGTTCCTTTGGGAAAATTTAAGCTAATTTGAACAGCTTTAAGTTTTTTCCCCCAACAGCTGAAAGCTTTGGGGTCTCAGCCCAGATAGGCTCCGGGGTGTTCCACCAGGGTTCCACCAGGGTTCCACCGGGGTTTCACTAGGGTTTCACTAGGGTTCCATCAGCACCAAAAAGAGCACCGCATGCTGTTGGGGATATCACCTGAGCTTTTTATTTCTTTTGGGAAACCATATTGCAGTTCTTCAAAAGGCATACATCCTTTTGGGAATGACTAGAACAATTAGAAGCATATAGGGCTATGATAGAACAATTCGGGCACACAGAGTTCTAAAAAATAACAATGAGTTTGGAATTCACGGGAAGGGCACATATTCTTTGGAAGTACTGCGAAGAATCAGGATATTGCGAACAATTTGAAAGCACTAGTCTGGAATCTCCTAAAAAGCCATCTCTTTGGGAATACTTAGGACATGAGAATGGCTAGGAACATTCGAATAAGTGGAACAGTTCGAATGGTCCGAATAATTGGAATAGGTAGAATCACTCAAATTTTGAAACATGAGTCTGGGGAATGAACAGCTTGAACAAGAAAGGTGGCGACACGAAGGGGGCAAGTATTCCCTGCCCAAACTGAGTAGTGACGTTTTATTCTCTCTTTTTTTTTTGGGGGGGGGAGGTTCGCAAACCAGGGAAGCCCTAAATTTGTTTGTTTCCTTTGGTTTCCCTTTAAACTGACCACACATTTCGTAGCCTCAAGAAAAAACTGGGTTCTCACAATCTTGCACACGCATGAGTTCAAGCTTGTCAAGGTTCAGTTTTGGATACGCCATGGGCCATGCAAGTAATGTTGACCCAGGATTAATAAACCCGTCCCGTTATTAGGGGGGTGTTCCCTCCAAAAGTGGTCTGACTCCCCACTAAAAGGGGACACCCCCCTATGAATCAACCAGGGGTTTATTCATTTGGGGTTGACATTATGTGCCAGCCAGGCCTTAGGCCTTTCAAAGGCCAGTGTAGTTGCAGTGCCGGTTGCAGGTGGAACCACCCCACCTGGTTGTAAGCAAGCGGTCACATGTTTCCAGAGCCTTTGGCAAGCAAAGGGAAACATGAGGTATGGCAAACATCCATAAACCAAGCTGAATCCAGTTTGAATTTGCCCGGGTTTTCATCCCCAAACCGAAACGAACCAGGGCAGCGTTGGCTTTGCCAGGCTCCCCTGGTGTTTCTGGGGTCATTTTCTCGTTGGCGTTTTTTTGGGGAGAACAAGTTCCAGCCCCAACTCCGATTTCGATGTTGCAAAAGAGTGGCTTCTCCAAACAGCAATCAACTTTTGCAGAAAAAAAACAGAACACCACTTCGGCAGAAAAGAAAGCCCAAAAAAAGGCCGCCGCCGGCCCCAGTTGTTCGCCCCTTCTGACGCCAGACACTCCGATCTTTGCGCGAGGACCCCTTCGCGGCGCTGGAAGAGCTGGCGGATCTGGGCGATGTGCCCGAGAACGGCTCCGCGGTGGACCCGGAGCTCCAGGCCGGCGGTGCGAGCCGTTGAGCCGTTGAGCGTGGTGGTGCTGGTGCTGGTGCTGGTGCTGGTGGTGTGATGCCCTGTTCATGGTTGTTGTTGGGAAACATTTTGCATTTGTTGCTTATTGTGGTTTTCATGGTTGACATCCCACCACTTAGCTGCTTTATTATGATTATCATTGTTCTTATTATTGTTATTATTATTATTTTGCTCCCCTTCCAACGTCAACCAAGCTGGTGGTGGTGTGATGCCCGGTTTCCCATTGGGCAACCAGTACTCTCTCACTCAAGTGGGTATGGCTCAAAATGAAAAGAGCTAGGGTCTAGGGTTACGCAGGTTTTGGGCTTTGGTTCCATTTACCAAGATGCCCCATTTGTGGTACCACTTTTTCGAGCCACAGCCAAGTAAGCTCGCATGGCCTCTGTGGGCGCAGCTGGTTTATTGGGGGGAAGGGGGGCAACCAGTCTGAATGGATGTCAACCAAACTCCGGCTCCGCGAGCTTGGGGGGTGATTTCAGGCGGTCGATTTTTTTTTTTTTTTTACCCGGGTTTCAGGGCGGTTAGTACCCAGACAAGGTGGGTGCAGGTAAGTAGAACACGCCTGGTAGAACATTCTGGGGGACACTTCCATTTCCATTCTGAATCCAGGGATCCGAATTTCTTTCCAGAAAACCATCAGAACTCCAGGTTGGAAACAGATCCGGTTGTTGAGAATAGAACGATTGTTGAATATCATGGACAAGGAATGAACCCCTAGAAACATGGACAGTCCAAAAGCAAGACAGCTCCGCTCGGGAGCAGAACTACCCGTGACCACAAAGGGACTAGCCTCGGGGGGTGGGTGAGCTGCAGATTCCAGTCAGTTATTCCATGGTTGTTTTTGGGGCACATTTTGCATTTTTTGCTTTTTGTGGTTTTCGTGGTTGAAATCGGACCACTTAGCTACTAAAAATTAATTGTTTGGTCCCTTTCCAACGTCAACCAAGATTCCGTCTTGGTGCCTTCCCCAGCCTTCACACGGAGCCTATGTTCGTTTTCGAAGCTCATGGTGTCGGTTGTCTGGGAGCAGCCGTGGCGGCCCATCCGCGTGCTGGCAGCACAGGAGCCAACCAGAGCCCCCAAAAGCCGTCAGCGGCTGCTCACAACAAGGGGACCAGGCGCGGGGTTCCAACTTCAAGTGCTGCTGCCAGAAAGCCAAGTCCAGCAACACCGCCTCAGAGCTGCTGAGGATCCAGCAGTTGGAGTCATGCCACATCGCTGATGCTTCAAAAACATGCAAGGCTGACCAAGAGGGCCGCGTGTGCCGTTCTTGGGCACTCATTTTGCCATCCTTCCGAGTCCGAGTCTTTCCGTGGCGCCCGTCCCTGCTCACTTGTTCCAAGTGATCAATGCGGAGCTTCCTTCTGTGTGTTCCGAGTATCGTTTTAGGGGGGTTTAATAGATTGCGGTTGATTCCTCGCTGTACTTCAGGTAGGTATGCAATGGTCTAGGGCCTCGAATCCTCGAGAGCACAGCGAAAGATGATCAACTCACTTATGATACTTGTCCATGTGCTTTTTGGTTTTTGGGTTTCCCAGTTGGCCAACCTGTTCTTGTCATCCCCTCACTTGTTCTTCAATGCTTCCCGCTCGCATCCAAACACCGGACCTGGCCTTTTGAGTTCCTAACATTAGCAGGATTTCTTGTTGTGGTCCCACAAGCCTGCACAAATTGCGAGCTTTACCCTCCCCCAGGCGATTCCATGGAAGCTTCCAAGACCCCTTTGAAAGACTCGTTTCCCTTTACAGAGGCCTCTTGGCTCTTCCATGTTAATTAGTCGAGAGTGTATTTTGCTTGGATGTTAGGACTTTAACTTCTTGCCAACGAATGGGTTTTTCCCCACATCTTTGTGTGGGGTTCTTACTTTTACCGCTCGTCGTCCGCGCGCCGCGTCTCCTTCTCCTCCTCCTCCCGCCCTCCCTCCTCATCACTGTCACTCACTCACTCACTCACTCACTCACTCACTCACTCACTCACTCACTCACTCACTCACTCACTCACTCACTCACTCACTCACTCACTCACTCACTCACTCACTCACTCACTCACTCACTCACTCACTCACTCACTCACTCACTCTCACTCACTCACTTACACTCACTCAACTCACACTCACTCACTCACACTCACTCACGCTCACTCACACTCACTCACTCACACTCACTCACTCACACTCACTCACTCACTCACTCACTCACACTCACTCACTCACTCACTCACTCACTCACTCACGCTCACTCACACTCACTCACTCACACTCACTCTCATTCACTCACTCTCATTCACTCACTCACTCACTCACTCGCTCACTCACTCACTCACACTCGCTGACTCACGGCAGCTGTCTAGAGGGACAGGATGTTGTCGCGCGCGCGGCGGGGGGTGTGCGAAATCGTGGCAGGCGCAGCACTTTGGCGATGCCGTTGCCGAAGTCGTGGCAGGCGCAGCATTCTGTGCATCTGGGTGTGTGTTTGTGTGGCAGGGGTCGCATTCGGCAGCTGTCTAGAGGGACAGGATGTTGTCGCGCGCGCGGCGGGGGGTGTGCGAAATCGTGGCAGGCGCAGCACTTTGGCGATGCCGTTGCCGAAGTCGTGGCAGGCGCAGCATTCTGTGCATCTGGGTGTGTGTTTGTGTGGCAGGGGTCGCATTCGGCAGCTGTCTAGAGGGACAGGATGTTGGCGCGCGCGCGGCGGGGGGTGTGCGAAATCGTGGCAGGCGCAGCACTTTGGCGATGCCGTTGCCGAAGTCGTGGCAGGCGCAGCATTCTGTGCATCTGGGTGTGTGTTTGTGTGGCAGGGGTAGCATTCGGCAGCTGTCTAGAGGGACAGGATGTTGGCGCGCGCGCGGCGGGGGGTGTGCGAAATCGTGGCAGGCGCAGCACTTTGGCGATGCCGTTGCCGAAGTCGTGGCAGGCGCAGCATTCTGTGCATCTGGGTGTGTGTTTGTGTGGCAGGGGTAGCATTCGGCAGCTGTCTAGAGGGACAGGATGTTGGCGCGCGCGCGGCGGGGGGTGTGCGAAATCGTGGCAGGCGCAGCACTTTGGCGATGCCGTTGCCGAAGTCGTGGCAGGCGCAGCATTCTGTGCATCTGGGTGTGTGTTTGTGTGGCAGGGGTCGCATTCGGCAGCTGTCTAGAGGGACAGGATGTTGTCGCGCGCGCGGCGGGGGGCGTGCGAAATCGTGGCAGGCGCAGCACTTTGGCGATGCCGTTGCGAAATCGTGGCAGGCGCAGCACTTTGGCGATGCCGTTGCCGAAGTCGTGGCAGGCGCAGCATTCTGTGCATCTGGGTGTGTGTTTGTTCCCCACATTTTTGTGTGGGGTTCTTACTTTTACCGCTCGTCGTCCGCGCGCCGCGTCTCCTTCTCCTCCTCCTCCCGCCCTCCCTCCTCATCACTGTCTCACTCACTCACTCACTCACTCACTCACTCACTCACTCACTCACTCACTCACTCACTCACTCACTCACTCACTCACTCACTCACTCACTCACTCACTCACTCACTACACTCACTCAACTCACACTCACTCACTCACACTCACTCACTCACACTCAGTCACTCACACTCACTCACACTCACTCACACTCACTCACTCACACTCAGTCACTCACACTCACTCACACTCACTCACTCACACTCACTCAAACTCACTCACTCACTCACTCACGCTCACTCACACTCACTCACTCACACTCACTCTCATTCACTCACTCTCATTCACTCACTCACTCACTCACTCGCTCACTCACTCACTCACACTCGCTGACTCACGGCAGCTGTCTAGAGGGACAGGATGTTGTCGCGCGCGCGGCGGGGGGCGTGCGAAATCGTGGCAGGCGCAGCACTTTGGCGATGCCGTTGCCTCTGTCGTGGCAGGCGCTGCATTCTGTGCATCTGGGTGTGGAGATGCCATTGCCGAAGTCGTGGCAGGCGCAGCATTCTGTGCATCTGGGTGTGTGTTTGTGTGGCAGGGGCAGAAATTTGCGGCTGTCTAAAGGGACAGGATGTTGGCGCGCGCGCGGCGGGGGGCGTGCGAAATCGTGGCAGGCGCAGCACTTCGGCGCTGTCTAACGGGACAGGATGTTGTCGCGCGCGCGGCGGGGGGCGTGCGAAATCGTGGCAGGCGCAGCACTTTGGCGATGCCATTGCCGAAGTCGTGGCAGGCGCAGCATTCTGTGCATCTGGGTGTGTGTTTGTGTGGCAGGGGCAGCATTTGGCAGCTGTCTAAAAGGACAGGATGTTGTCGCGCGCGCGGCGGGGGGCGTGCGAAATCGTGGCAGGCGCAGCGTTCGGCAGCTGTCTAACGGGACAGGATGTTGTCGCGCGCGCGGCGGGGGGCGTGCGAAATCGTGGCAGGCGCAGCGCGCGCGGCGGGGGGCGTGCGAAATCGTGGCAGGCGCAGCACTTTGGCGATGCCGTTGCCGAAGTCGTGGCAGGCGCTGCATTCTGTGCATCTGGGTGTGGAGATGCCATTGCCGAAGTCGTGGATGAGCTGCTCCAAGTTGGATAGGCTGCTCCACGGCTGCCCTGCCAAGCCCTCGGCGCTGCTGATGGATTCACAATGTAGGCGGAGCGGTCCGCTTTCTGTCGACATTCCAGCCGCAGCGCGCACCTTCATTGGAACCTTTCAGGAAGGCAGGCCCTGCAGGTTCCCCGCGGAGAAGCCTTGAGATGGACATCTGACTGAAAAAGCTTGACTTCATCGTCCAACGGATACCACAGTGCTATTTCTCTTTGGGAAAGTGTCCAGATCTTCTCCGATGCTGAGCTGCAAGATGACCTCCTGAGATGCACGTGCGGCGCAGCCAATAATCTAACAAGATGGACTAAGTTCGAGAATGTCTCGAACTTGCTTTGTTTTGTTGATTAGCGGCTCGGGCTGCAGTAGGTTAGCAACGCCTGCGATGAAAAGAGCGCGCTAGACCTGCTCTGTAATCGCCCATACAAGGGGCGCACGGTACATGTGTGTGGACATTTGAACTCACATCCTTGGCAAAAAACATAGCATGTGGGGTTATCCGGTCCTTTAATCCATTAAACCGCTAAAGATTAAACATTTGTAGCAGGGGAGCAGAAAGCAACCGAGCTTTCTCTTCCACAGGGCGTGAATCCGCAGATTCGCCCACCGTTTTTTGTTCGCTGGGGAGCCCCCTTTTTCCGCCGCGGCTCTCGAGAGCCGCGGCGCACGCCAGGGCGAGCTGCTGAAAGAGGCCCGCGCCCGGGTCACCGGGCAGATGACCGCGAAGCGGAGTCTCAAGGACCGGGGGGCCGGGGCGAGACGGCGAGACATCGAGACGTGAGGACGTCAGGGGGCGTGGCTTCCGGAACCGGCGGGCCGCACTGTGCTTGGAGGCCTTTCTAATTGAAAATGATGGGTGTCATTTGACCAAGAGTAAAGGGGTTTTAAGGAAACAACCTGTTTGTCGTAGAAAAACGGTGGCATAACCCCTTCGATAAGGGGTGGGGGGGGTTTGTTGTTGGGGGGCTGCGGGGTCGAACGACAAGTGGGGGGGGGGGTGTTGTTCAACCCACCCCTGCTTATCGAAGCGGTCTCGGGTGTGGCTGCAAACAGCCGCGCTGTGCTTTGACTAGGTCCACCCCTTTTTTGGTTGGGAGGGTTCCCCTGCTAAAATAGACTACAGAAGAAAGGGTACCCTTATTCTAACCTCTCTATTGGAGGACCTAGTTGAGTTGTCCTATTGAAAATGATCGGTTTCATTCAACTAAGAGCAAAGGCTTTTGTGGAACAAACCTTTTGTTGCACAAAACAGTTGGTTTGACTGAACAAAATGGTGGAACCAACCTGGTCCAGTTAGGTTCACATGTCATTTACATGTGGAATACAGTCTGATTGTTTTGCAAACGGACATGTGCCCAATGCCGAAAACGGCCGGTTTTTGGAAAGAACGATGCTTGAAAAGAATGGGGAATCAAACCCTAAAACTATTCAAAACAACAAAGAATAGGACAAATCTGGCTGTGGACCTGCCATGGCTTGCCCGGGATCCACTGGCTGGAATTCGTCAAGCGGTTCCTTCGGTTTCACGGTCCAGTTGCTTCCACCAAAGCGTGGGCTCGTCGAACGGGAGAACCCGTGCTTAAACGCCCCAGCATCCTGGGGTTACTCGATTTTTTGCATCCAAGAGGTACTTTTCAGAAAGCAAGGGCTCGGGTCTTGGAGCCATCCTGTCCGGCTAGCAGTTTTTGTGGACCGAACAGCATCACACACATGGTTAGGCAGCAATCTCCATGCTTCTTTGAGTTTGGTGAGTCTATCTCCACCATAAAAACAAGTTTTTTTTTGTTTGGTCTTTCAGAAAGCGCTTCCCTTTTTGAGGGAATCTGGCCGCGATGCCACTGGCCGTATCTCTCCAAAAGTTGGGGGAGGGTTTCCCTACTAAAATAGACTACGGAGGAAAAATCGGGTACCAACTTATTCTAACCTCTCTACTGGAGGACCTAGCCTCTGTCGCGAGGAGATCGAAGCATCTCTGACGCCAGCGCCCCCAGCGCCGATGGAAACTGCATCGGTACCGAGCCCCGCCTTCCCCCCCACCCCGGCGACCGCCGGCATCGCCCCCACGGCCGGCATCGCGCCGCCCGCGGGCATTGCCCCGACGGCCGGTATCGCGCCGCCAGCAGGCGCAGTGGGTTTGGGCTCAGCCATTCAAAGAGGGCCAAACCCAAGGGTTGACTACCAGTTGGTAGGTGACTTCTTGCATTCAGAAAAGAAAAAAAAAAACACAGAACTCAATTGGGATTTTGTTCATTCGTGGCCAGAGAAAGTCTGTTCAACTTTGAAATGAGTTCCGGACACAATCTGCCGTCAAAAGTCGACACCTTTTTGGGTATCTAAATTCAGCAAGGGGTTGATCACTCGACCGTCCCGGCCCTACCATTCCCAATTAAATTGGTCAAAAGGACCGCAGCTATTGTCTTCTATTGTTTTTAGTTGGTTCTCTTTTAGGTACCAGTCTTGTACCCTTGGTCCAGTCTTAGCAACTCTGCTTCAGGCCAACTGGAGCACGCATCGAAACAGTTGCTCTTACAGGGGAAGAGGATCCTGGGGCAATTCACGAGGTCAGAATGGCTGTTTGGGAACGGATCTTTGGACTTCAGCTTCTTCTTTTTTTAATGTGGGGACCCACAAAAAGTGAGACACCTTTTGCAGAAGGATCAGCGACCCCCAAGCGGTAATTATTTCCTCGCTGGGCGGGCGGGACCCGCGGGTTTGGACAACCTCCACCTTTGGGTCCCCACACACAGCTTGCTTGAAGCGAGCGGGCCTCGTGGTGCCCTGCACTGGGAAACCCAAGCGCAGCATTGAAGGCCATTGGAGCGATGTACTCTAGGGGTAATGTAAACCTTTCAGGAACACTTGAGTCAATCAAAACCGCGGGTAGAGGAATTTTAATTCCCAGGTGTTGATTGTGGCGCACTTGTGGATTAGATCACAATGCCCTCTAGTGGCTGTCGAGTGTTCCAGAAGCACCCACCCCCCGTCCCAGTGGTCTAGTTGAACCTAAACACCAAAAGCGCAAAGCCTGGCTCTACAAAAAGTCAGGTTCATTTTGGCTCCTTGAAACCGTACAAACTTGTGTTAATTACAACTACCCCCGGACTTAAACAGCAAGCCCCGCTTTTGAGCAACAACGCCCGTATTCGATCCGTACAAAGCCCAACCTAGACTTGACCCCCTCCTCATCCCTCCTCCCCCCGCCGTGTTCCATATGCTTGGGGAAAGTCGGGCTGCTAAAAGCCCGGGGGGGGGGGGGGGTCCAGCTGATGTTTAAATGTTCCTGTTCCACGGGTGTAAGTACATGTTTCCGCCATATGGGTCTATTTTTGTTTGAGGATACCCTTTTTGGGGGTTGGCTTATATAAAGGGAAACAAGGAAGCCACTTATTTCGGGGGTTCAATATTAACAAACTGTGGTTGAGGAACATCTGGGGTCGACATTGTTTGTTCCCGTTGGCTCCCGACCAATGAAACTAAGGACGTTGGCATTCTTAAGGATCCTAAACACCAAACCACCGGGCTCCACCACTTCAAAGGGAAGTTGAGGAATCGGAGAACTCCAGACCACAGATATTTCCACCCAACGTTTCAGGGGGGTCTTCCACCGCTTTCGCCAGGCCTCGGGGGCGTTGCCCCCCCCGCATGGGGCGCGGCGCTGGCCGAGCCGCGGGTGGATTGGTCGGCGGAGTGGGCCCTGACCTCAGCGCCCGCCCCAGCTCCGGAGTGGGCCCCAGCGCCCGCGCCGGAGCCCGCGCCGGCGCCGGAGCCCGCGCCCGCGCCGGAGCCGGCGTCCGCACCGGCGCCTGGACAAAAATATAGGTGGCGGTGAGTCTTTGGTTTGAGCTCTTTTTTTTAAATCTTTCAGCTCGGAGGATCCGAACCATGTTTCAACCAGAAGCGACGGCAAGCCGGTCGCCGAAAAACTAGACTTTTCCCCTGCACTCCGCTCTGAAGGCGCCGCCAGAAGATGACTGGGACGCGCCGGATGCAGCCCCGATGCCTCAGGCCGAATCGGATCGATCCGAGCCGTTGGGACCCTCTCATGACTCAACATCCAGGATTCCAGCCCCCTACCCCACCCAGAAACCTTGCGGTTTCATCCAAACCTCAACTCACTTTGCTTTCTTTTGCCTGGGAAATGTCGCAGTGTCCAACTTGCTGCATTCCAGCTCAAAGGGACCACGTGTCCCCCCGAGGAAAAACAAAAAAAAAACAAAAAACGCCACAAAACCAACCCTTCAGCCGTCTGACTTGGCCGTCTTCGGCTCCTCATTTTCCCGAGCCGCGATGCTTTTTCATGAGCCCAGAAGGTTCAGAGCCGAGCGTCGAAAACGAACAGCTTCGAAAGGGTGTGGTCAGTCCGGATGTGCATTTCGAAACATGGGTCTCCCAGTTGGCATCGTGGCTGTTTGGCCAGAAATAGATGTCTCGGTATCTTTGTGTGTGTGTTGTGTGTTTGTGTGTGTTTCGAAAGGTGCTTCTGTTTGTGTCTTTGTTTGCGTGTGTGTGCGCGCGTCTCCGTTGGTGTGTGAGTTGTTTATTGCAATGGATCCTTTTGGATCCGGCTCAAAAGTGGGAAACCCGCCGGCCTCGCACAACAGCGCAGGCACCAGTGCCTCCGGTCAGTGCCGACCCAGACGTGGGCGATCTGGCGCCTTTGCAAGATCTGCTAGTGTGCGTGAGTGCGTGGGTGGATGGGTGGGTGGGAGTTTCTTAACAAAATGAGAATTTCATTAAGGGCGGATATGTAACCCATATGAGGTCCACTGCACCCAACAAAGCTTGAGGATTCTTTTTTCAGTTTACAGGGAGAGGCGCACCCATAAGGCTACTCCGAGCCTCTACAAATGGACCAACATCCGCTTCGTACCCCGCGTCATTCCCTTGCCTGCTGAGAACGAAGCCCCCCAAGTCTGGTGAAGGTTCTGAGGGAATCAATTCCAGGGTGGAAGAGAACCTTCCCAAGCAAGCCACCAGTTGGATGTTTCAAGTTGGATGGCTCATGGGGGCCGTTTTTTCGTTGCCTGCTGAGAGCCCGCAGGTCAGACGTCAGCGAGTCTGGTGAACTCCCGAAGGGAGCTTCCCCTGACCTCCTTTACAAGGTAAATGGGTGTTGTCTTGATTTAGGGGACACACAAAATGAGTGGTTGCGACAACAAAGGGGTACCAACTCCAAAGAAAGACATGCCCAAATGCCACGCGGGTGAAGTGTGGGCAGCGGCCGGTCGAAGGAAGCTGAGACAAAAATACGGTGGACACCCTGCCCCCATTTTGCATTCCACCAAAAGGGGCCACCTTTTCAAGGAGTGTTTCTTCTTTTTTTCCCGGACCCCTCAGTCAGGTTTCATGTTGGATGGAGTACCGAACAACTCACTCCCCGAGTTCCGTTTCGAAGTTTAGTCGCCCTTTGGTATCATCATTTTGGTGGGCAAACAACAAGCTCCAATCTTTTCCTGGCCAACTCACTCGATCAGTGGGTTGGGGTCCACCCCATGTGTTGGGTCTTGACTCCAACGTGAACATGGAACTTGGTTCCGGCAAAGGCACCTCTGGCATTTTGGTTTCCCTTGAAAGCCACCAAACAACGTGGCGCCCTAACAACAAAAACCAAACACACCGGTAGTTGATCCGGTGCTTGGTCAATTGGCCAACTTCTTCCCCACCCCCCCAGCCTAAAAAAAAGAGCAACAGGCTATTCACCATTCCGGTGGAGCTGCACTCAGAATCTGGGTTGAAGCTCAGGGGACAGTCTCAGCCGAACAGAGCTGCAGCCCACACTTGAAAGCTGCTCTTCTGATGGTCTTTGGCTCCTTTGCGGCTACGACTCTTAGGGGCTTGTAAGGCACAAACTCCCACCGAAATCCGGTTAGGTTTGGGGGTGATATGAAGGACAAAGATATTTAGAAGATGAAACCACCGAGCTGTTTCCTACGGTTGCCACTCGTCTACCCAAAAATGCTGGATTGGGATTCGGAGCTGGCTTGCCACTTTGAAGCAAACCATGGCCAAGCATTATTCCGCAAGCTAATGTCGACCCTGGATTCATCAACCAGGTGGATTTGGGGGTGTTTCGGTGTTCCCCTTAGAAGCGACGGATGACCCTCCCCCATCACCGCCCCCACGACCCCAAAAAAAGGTTTGCTAGTCTTGGGTTTCAGGCTCCAGGTTCTGTTTGGATGTCATGGCTTCCCATAGGTCTAGGAATCTTGTGAGTCAAATATATCCGGCCCGGACTGGGTCCACCCCTTCTTTAAACGCAAAAGCACACCTTTTGTGGACCCAGAGGGTGCTACCAACACGGGAAAAGAGTGGGGGGAAGAACAGGAGACCACACAAAGAGCATGCACACCGTTTTCTTGATACCCTACCCGGAGTCTCCTTTTGACCCTGAAACAATGGGATACACCCAAAGTTCTCGGCTCGTGAGCATCGTTTAAGGGTGAATACCCTAAATATACGGCAGGGCGGGGCAAAAGTCTTGCACACAACAAGTCATTGGTTCGCATTTGAAGGGACACCAACAGGAGGTTGCTTAAAAGGCAATCATCGTTGAAGAATCAAAAAAGGGGTACTGTTTGACCGGCCCCGCTACCATGAAACGTTTCTTGTTTCAGGGCTCTCCTTTTAATTCAAAACCAGCCCAAAGGGTGCCTTCAACTTGGGTGGTTCTCAGCCTTCCCGAAGGCCTTTCAGCCTTTGTTGTGTTTGGTTTATGGATGTCCGAATTTAACCCGCGAAAAGTGTTTTTTCTTTTTTTAAACATTTTTGCTTTGGATTGCCCAGTCAAGAGTTCTTCCTAGGACGATTTGGTGGGGGAGATGCTGGCGACCTCCACGGATGTCAGCGTGGTTGGGCACAAGCGTCTTGAGCTGACCGGGGACCGGGAGGGGCCACAAGGGGCTGGATGGGTATGGTCAAAATGAAGCCACCATGGACCGCAGGTTTTGGTCCATGTTTCCACAGGGTTCCAGTTTGGGGTCCCTTTTTTTTGACCAGCCAGATGACTGGAGTTTCCTGGGGCCATGGGAGGGGAGAGGGAGGATCCCCCACCAACACCCTCATTGAGCCCCTGACAAGGCTTTATTTGGGGCTGATTTATCAACCCCTGTTTATCAAAAGGGTGCTTCTCCCCTGGGCGAAATGCAGCGAATCAGACCACTTTTGGAGCCCCCCACTGCCATTTTAGTCAACAGGGGTTTATCAATCCGATCAACATTGCTCTTTTCCGCTTACGTTGTGTTGACGAAATCCGGACCAGAAACAAACATATGTGTTGGAGTAGATTGTCTCAGCATGTCATGAACGGCCAGAAATAAGACAAGGCAGGCCGAACGACAGTTCGGGGGGGTGGGGGCGGGGGGCTGCAATGTTGCTGGGCAAGTGAAAGACTTTGCACATGGTCTTGATTTGCGACCGATTTCACCCATATCACACATACATGATAAAGGTGCTTTGCTTGGGGATCCCGCCCTAATTTTTGCTTGGCGAATTGTTATAATTCCCCCAGACAGTTGGACAAAAGTTGGCTTACCACAGTTAGCCGCCAGATCAGGTGATTCATTTGGCATTTCTGGACCTGCCTTGTGAAACAATTTTGTTGAAACGGTTCCCGCCTTTCCTATCCATCCACGCGGAGGCTCCAATGCACCTCAAAAGGAAACGCTCTTGGACTTTAACGGGGAAGCCTCTGCCATTTAGGGGGATCCCCTTAACAAGGACAAACCCATTTCCGACTTTGGCTTCAAGAAACCTGAAGCCCCGAGCCCTCGTGGCCTGTGCTTTGCTCAGGTTGCTGAACAACTTCCACTGCATTGGCTGCGACTTCCAGGCTGGATGCCAGATCGTCGCACCAAAAATCTGACCTTCATTTTGAGTCACCTGTGGCTTGCCCACTGTCATGGGCACTTGGGGCTTTTTTTGCAGCATGCCCATTTGCTCCAGTTGCGGAAACAGCTTGATTAGCATCCAAGATGGTAACGGGGATCGAAGGGGCCCAGAAGCGGTCCACTCGGAAAAACCAGGAGACTGGAATCTGGTTCCCACCGGGTTTCCACACCCCACAAAAGGGGCCGCCGTTACCCTCTCCCTTGTTTTGGGGAGTTATCGCTTTTTGGCAGACCTGTGGGCTTCGTGCCATTTCGTGCCAACATGGGAGCCCCTTTTCGGATTGGTCTTGAACAGGTGCTTTGCGCAAGGTCGTTTGCGAGCTAGCAGAACCACGCAGGTGTCAGGAGAGACAAAATCAGCCTTCCGACTTACATTTCCGCCTTTCCCAAGGGCACAGGAGGCACTCCAGCCCCAAAAAAGCGATCCAAATCCACAAAAGAGTACTTGTGCAGTGTTTGGATCCTTTCCCTTGGTTAGAAGGCCAAAAATGTGGCACTCCTTTCGCTGAGAGTTAGGAACAAATATTAGAATGAAATGGTTTCATAGAGAGGGTGACTCCACAAACAAGGTGAGTTTGATGGCTTGAAGGTGATGGTCTGCGATGACTACATCTGGAGCGATGACGTCGAGTACATGTCATGAGCTCAGCCTTAGCAACGCTGGATCCAGTTGCTGAGTGCTTACAGCCAATCCACTAGAGGGGTGTGTCGTTTTTTTGAGGCCGGGGTGCTTTCACGGGAAACTTGAAGGGAAATCCGCCGTCTAAAGCTAGGCAGTTCTAAAACCATATGGTGAGTATCTAAGCAAACGGCCATTCACAAGTTTCAGGCTCCAGAAAGATGAGCCTTCCAAAAATAGATTTAACGTTCTACGAATGAACCAGTTTACTTGTCAACCGGAGCTTCCATCAGGATGAAGGAGGATAGGCACATGCAAAACCATGGGTCATGATACCTTCCTCATTTGGGTGGTTGACACCTCACGTGTTGCCAATCTGTCAAAGAATTTCCTCCTGAGGCGATGCTTTGCTCACGGAGACCCTGAGTCCTTTTCGACTCTGTTCCTCTTTCAGGGGGCGTGTTTTTGGCCCGATGCGCTGGGTCCGACTTGTCCGAGTCTGCCTCAGGTTTTTCAGGAACAACTACCCAGACTTCATGAAGCTAAGGACGCGGCGGTTCAACGGTCAGTCCCTCCCTCTCTTCTGGGTTTTGGGGGGGAAGGGTGGCCCGGCTGGTGTCTGAAAAGCGTTTCACCTTGGGGTTGAGTTGCTTCCGACCCAACACTCAGACCCCAGGGTGACAAGGTAACTTTCTGCAGACTTGCGCATCACGTTCCTCGAAGATGCTGCTGCAGCTGGTTGGACTCCTCTGTGGATTTGCCAGCAACTCTTTCTACCCACCTCGTGCTCCCGCGGTTTGAGTATCTGGGGTTCTTCTCAGATAAAACAATCTGATGCTAGGTTTCCTAGTAGTGCCCTTATACCCTTTTTTGGGGGAGGGCTCCCCTACTAAAATAGACAGGGTACCCTTATTTTAACCTCTCTACTGGAGGACCTAGGATGGTCCGGCCATGTTGGGCCAGGGGCCCTGTTTTTGCTTCTGGGCCCGACCTCAAGTAAGCTGGGCGATCCAAAATCGGAACTTGGTGGCTCCCAGCCATCCAGCTTTCCTTAGCTTTCTAGCCTTTTAGTTGGTTTAGTGGTAGTTTCCGTATACCCACTAAGAGTCAGTCACTTTGAAGGGGATCTGAGGGCAGCCCAGGATTCGGGCGCTTGCCACAGAAAGGCGAAAGAGAAACCCGGCGAATCGGAGAAAATCCATGGGCTCCCCGCTCGCAACGGGTTCCCTCGCAGGAGTCGGCTGGCGCCAAGGGAGGGCTGCCGCGCCTATTGCTGCCAGCGCCTGAAAGAGAAAAGAGAGTCTATGCCTGGCTGCCTGGGTCCCCCAGTATTGCCCCTTCTCACCCCTTTTTGGTTGGGAGGGTTTCCCTACTAAAATAGACTACAGAACAAAGTTGGTGCCCTTATTCTAACTTCTCTACCGGAGGAACTAGATGCAGTCGCCAACATTGGAGCCATAAGGTAGGGCCACAGGTGGGGTTTTCGCGCCATGCCCCTTTTTTTGGAACCTTCCCTTTCCGCCGCGATCGGTTCAACGGGATTGAAACTGGGAATTGAGCCCCCTGAAAGAACGCTATGCCACAAGACTGGTGCTTGGGTACCTTCCCTGCCCAGCAACAGTCGTCAACAGGGTTTGCTATTCAGGAGGCGGTTCTCGTGGCTTTCTTTCTGTCACTGTTACTGGGCAGAGTCACTCAAACCATCTTGCTGGTGCTCACTAGGGAATGAGGGAATGAACCTTGGGACTCCCTCAAAGGAAACCATCTATAGGGGATGGTCTATAATGTTAACCCCGGATTAGTAAACCCCTGGTTGATTAATAGGGGGGTGTCCCCTTTTAGTGGGGATTCCTCACTTTTGGAGGGACGCCCTGATCATGGGACAGGTTTATTACTCCTGGGTCAACAGGGGTCATATCCTCATTCCCTGGGAACCAGCCATCTATTGCAGGCTCACGAGCAAAACGGTGGGGACTCCATGAGGCCAATGCTCCTGGAAGTCGGCAGCGACCGGGGCGAACCTCCAGGACAAGCGCCGAAGCGCTCTTGGCGGCTTGTCGGTCTGGTTTCCGGCGGCAGCTGTGGTCAAACGACCGGTGCAATTAGGGGGTTGCTAGGGAGGCCCATTAGCCCCCTATAAGACTTTGCATGCCCTTTATGAAGATGCTACTTTTGACCATGACACCTATGTCGGTGCCTCGTTTCGAAGTTGAGGGGACAATCTTTGGTTGCATTTCGAAGTTGAGGGGACAATCTTTGGTTACCCACTGATGGACAGAATCCACTCCAATTCAATTGAAACCTTATGAATGAGACAAGTCGCCTGCCAACTGGTGCAATATCTTGTCTATCCGCAGCAGCCTGTCCATTATCATTCTGTCCATTATACACTTCGCGGTTCCCAGCCATCCCCTTGGCTTTAGTGGTTGGGTTTCCATTTAATCAACAGCCATTCACTTTTAGCAGGGGATGAAAACGGACAGCCCGGAAAATTATATGGGCTCAGGTACCAATAAGCCCTCACGCCTTGGAGCAACTCCCCTCGGTGACCATGAAATGAGCTACCCCAACATCACTGCACGTATGTGGGGCAACCCCATGACCTTCTAGGTCCCCCAGTGCCCTTTCTCACCTCTTTTTGGTTGGGAGGGTTCACCTGCTAAAATAGGCCGCAGAAAAACACGGTACCCTTATTCTAACCTCTCCACTGGAGGACCTCGTTTTGGTTGTGTCACTTGGTCTTTGACCAAATGTTCACAAGGGCGTTTGCGGTTTGTCCAACTTGTTGTTTAAAGAGGCACATGCAGGTTTTCGTGTGGGTGGCATGCACGAGCGGCGGCAACATCATCAGAAACCAGGGTGGTACGACGGTATGCCTGTATTGTTGGGGGTCATTGCGGGTAAGGATTCGCCCAAGCCTAGGAGATTCCAAGTGAAGATGCTTTGATCTCCTCCCTCGTGCGAAAGGCATTGAGATGATTCCGCCCAAGGGTTAGTGCCTTTCGCCCCTGAAGTCTCCCTTTGGCGGGGATCGGATGTAATCTGTTTGTGGATTTTTTTCTGAATAGCAAGGTCAGCAAGCATGTCGCAACAAGCAGTCGAGCCAATTTGAGCACGCCTGTTGGTTAGCTCATAACAGGGGTTTTTATTTTGATTTTGTAACGAGGAGGTGCGCCGTAGGTGTTCCTCCCTCCCCTTGGCTAAAAAGGAAGGCAGCATGCAGAAGATTCAGCGGGCGGATCTTGCAATGGTTTCCCTGCACCACAGGTGAAAGACACGGCGTGGCTGGCGAAGCAAAGGTGTTTGTTTTATCCAATGGGATCTGCAGCTCTTGTTCACCCGGTGAAAAGCAGCTCTTATGGCTGAAGGTTCTCTACGCAGGGATTCCGTGCTTTCTGCCTCGGAATTAGAGTAGCTTGTGCAGATTTGCTGTCAAGATGTGGCGTATTTGTTGGTTGCCCTCAAGCGACATTGGTGCAGTATCCCAGCCGGTCGTAGGCTCATGAACCATGAGGCAAAATGAAGCAAGAAGTAAAAAGGATAACTTCCATTTGCTTATTTTTTTTTTCCCCTGATGGTTTTAAAGGGAATCTATCACTACGTGATTTTTTTCCCTGGGGTCTTGACCAAATGGAAGATAAGGGGCAAGTTCATAGGTTGGGAGGTGAAGAAACCAGCTCACTGGGTCAAGGTCAGTTTTCTTGGACTTGGGAATACGGTTGCGCGACCTTGTCGATCCGTTTTTGCGAATCGGCGAGGCGGTTTCCATGTTCGACCTGCCGTAGGTCTCATCCAAAGCTTAGGAAGTAGGCAAATTTTGCTAGGCTTCTGGGAGGAGCCATGTACCTGCAAATGGCTTCCATTGCGAACTGATGTCAATAAGCTATATAAGCTCTGGACATATTGGTTGACGGCTCGGTCTACTTTTGGATATCCTGTGGGCAAGCGTGAGAAGCTCCTGCACGAGCTCCAGCTTAGACAGGATCCCAACAGAGTTCTTCGCCATTCGCTAGACGTACTTCTTGGCTTAGCCGCTTAGTCTTCAGCTTTAGCATTCAACCTTTGGCGCATTTTGCTTGGGCGTTAGGACTTTAACTTTTTGCCAACTCATGGGTTTCCCATTAAACCACTGCAAGTTAAAAACTTTTAGCAGGGGAGCAGAAAGCCACCGAGCAACGCATCTTCTCCGCCAAGAAACCCGAGACCTGCCCGCCACAAAAATCGGAGGAGGTGGCTGACGGCCTGCGCTGGCGGAAGATCTGAGGGCAAGCGTCCAAGCGGCGGGAACAACTCGCGCGGCGGCTTCCTTGCCAGTGAAGGTGATCCGAGTGAAACCTTCCCACAGAACCTTCCATCTGCGTAAGAATATTGTTTTTATTTTCCCTGGCTGGTTTTGAAAGGAACTCATCACTACTGGACATATTTTCTATTTCTTCGTCGGGCCTTAACCAAATGGAAGTAACGGAACTACCCCATGATGTGTTTTTGTTTCACTAGCCGTTCTCAGAAGCGAGCATGCCCATCTCCTCCCAGAACGAAAAATACGGCCCATGTTCTCCCTTCCGCGTTTTTTTTCTCCTCACGTTGGAAAGGGAATGGACCGTTGCCGCGAATCTTGAGCTCGCGAAGTGCGTGATTACATCAAGCCAAAGGCTCGGTGAAAAGAAGCTTCATGGAATTCAGAGTCAAAAGACTGTCGAAGTTCGACGTGATCACACCTATATTGTTTATATTTTATTTGTATCACGTTTTCGTGAAAGCTTTGAGCATGATAGATATGCCAATGTAACATGGATATGTATAAATGTACACGCATAGGCATCTTCACAGTTCTTGGCGTGTATTGGTTGAGTTCGAGTCACTCTCTGTGCGGTTCAGCAAAGAACCAGGTTTCTCGCTGCCAATTTGATACCCTTTCCGAATAGGATTCTACTTCAACTAGAATTGGAATTTTGAATATAACTTAGTTGGGATATAGTTTTCAAACATTCGTTTGTGTTCAATTACAGCTTATGTAAGCACATCCTTTCCAAATAGGAGCTACATGAAAATGTAAATATAGTTTCGGGTAAACTTTAATTAATCTTGAACAAATAAATTAGATAGGAGTTTATTCTCAAACATAATCTAAATGTTAAATATAATCTAATATGAGCACAATTAGCTTTTGATAATAACAGCTGAATAGAGACTACTTCTCAAACATACTTGATATTAAATATGGCTAAACATTTAAGGGACTTCTACAAGGAAATTCGAAGTACGATTTGTGTTGTTTACATTCTGACCCTATTTCAAGGGAAGAGAGGTTCAAATTCTAAAGCTATCGTTGTATTAAAAGTTCTATCTGCACTGGAAAACAACATTGAGCAATTGTGGACAGGTAGTTCAAGAGGGGGGTGCCGGTGTGTGAACATACATACATATGAACATATATATATATATACATATACACATACTCACAGAGATATAGCACCCCTAATGGTCCTGCGCCTCTTCATAAGATACTGTAAAATGCAGTGTGATTGAGCATTACACCTTCCTTTATTTACCTCCTGGAAAAGGGTCAACATCAGCATAGCTGACATGAAACACATCGCTCACCAAAAGCACTTGAAAGTTTGTCTAACTAATAACTTGAAAGTGTTTCCACTGGATCGCTAAGCACTTGATGGGATGGAAGTATTTTACCACGGGATGGACGATTCAAGATTGAAGATTACACAGGAAACTTTCCTGAGAGTTGACAATCCTGGCCAAACCCAAACAACATTCAAGTTATTCTAACACTTGAAAGTGCTTTACCACTGGATTGAGGATTCAATATTGAGGATTGCACAAACAAGAGCTTTCCTGGGAATCATCCATCCTGATCAGCCCCTAAACATGTTCAAGTTTTTATAAAACCGCAAACGTATTTTTCCACTGGATTGAAGATTCGCGATTGAAATATTTCGCAGAAAGCTTTCCGATAATCTTATTGAACAGCGAGAGTATTGGGACAAACCTGGAATCTGTACAAGTTTTTAAACAAAATATTGATTCAAGATTCAAGATTCCCAGAAAGTTGTTTTTCAGATTTTGAATATTGAATCTTGAATCCATATTTGTTCAATTCTGGGATTCAAGAATCCAGATTCCCAGAACATGTTTTCTCAGATTTTTGACTCTTGAATCTTGAATCCAGATTATTTTTATTTGTTTGAAACACATGGGTTGTTCTAATACTCTTGGATGATTTCAAACTCTTTCAGATTGCCGATGCTGATGTCATTGCTTTGATACATATGTATGCATGCATGCCCCTAATTTTGACACAACATCCAAGAAGCAACAAGGCAATAAAACACTGGACAAATACAGGTCAACCACACCAAACCAGGGTCCATGGAGGGTGACCTTGTATAGATACACATTCGCATGCGCATCCACCTTGGCAAACTAGAACACCCAAGAAGATCTTTAAAAGGTTTCTCATTTCCAGTTACAACCAAATCCACTTTTTTAGGGTTCCCTTTTTGGGATGGTCTTAAAGAGAAACCACAAGGACACCCACCCATTTTGGGGGTCCCTGAAAAACACACACCCATATATCTGCCGACCCCTTTTTCCAAAGGGAGGCGCATGGGAAGGGTTTGTATCCGTCCTTGTCTTCGTGATGATTATCGTCACCACTGATGTTCGACTTGGAATGCAGGTGATGCATAGTCATGATTGTTATGATAACTGCTGCTCATGCTGGGGATGCATAGTGATGATTATCATCGGGATGTCGTCACGGTAACTGCTGGTGATGCTGGGGATGCGTAGTGATGATCATCAGGATCATCAGGATCATCATTGCTGGTGATGCTGGGGATGCGCAGTGATGATTATCATCAGGATCATCATCATCATCGACTTGACATGTAGGGGATGCAAAGTGACGAATATCATCATGGCTGCGGACTTCTTTTTAATGCAGAGGATGCGTAGTCATGATTGTCATGTGATGCTGGGCATGTCAGGATCACAATCATCATCATCATCATCATCATCATCATCTGGAAATGCAGGGATGCGCAGTCAGGCCGGGTGTGCATCGTCATCATCATCATCACCACCTGATTAACAGCTTACTTCTCGCGAAGACGAAGCAATGACACAAAGTCCACGCTTTGCATCCACCGCAATACAACGAAGTCTTGCGAACAAAAAAAAAGTGCCACCAACATGGTTTTGCTGCCCAAGTTTCCACACACCGGGGGCACTTCTTGTAAAATCCAACAAGGTGCTCATTATCATGCGAATTAATCCTGCAGTAGCTTGATTGAGATGCAGGGCATGCGTCGTCATAATTCTCATAACAAGTGCTGGTGATGCAAAAAATGCAAAGTAACAGTTATCATCATGACTGCTGGCGATAATACGAATGCATAGTAATAATTATCAGCATCCCTAATGTTGGGGTAGTAATGTGCATCATCAAAAGCATGATCATTATCATGGTGCTCTTGTTTTTCATATATGCTTTAAGTGTGCCGTTAAACCCGACAAACAGCGCGTAGTCATAATTGTTATAAGCCGGGGCGGGTGGCGGCACAGGGCGGCAGCCCTTAGATCCGGCTACGCCTCCTAGGGTAGCATGTCGCCGCTAGGCAATTAGCCTGCTAGCTTTAGCTATAGGGGCTGCACCCGGGAGCCGCCGACCCTGTTGTGAGGCGCTGCCTAAATCCGGCACCTCTGCATCACCAGCTCGGGCTTGCGGTTTTGCTTGCCTGTGGGAAACCCTCGCAAAACATCGCGTATATGCAGGGTTTAGGCCATGTGGCTGACATCATCAGGGTCTGGGGTTGGGCCTGTGATGCTTCAGCGGGGCTTGGTCTGCATCATCAAGACTTCCTTCCAAAAGCCTCTCAACCCATGAAGCACTGCCGGCGATGCTGGGTCCTCGCTCTACAAAACGCTGTAAATACCGCCAAAAACTGCTGTGCTGAGCGTTGGGCTGTTGTTCTGTCCGTTTTGCTTTTGCTGTGGCTGGCTCGCGTGCTGCGCGGTCCTTGCTTTTTTCCCGTTGGTTTTCGGGCCTTCTGGCGCGCGCGCGCGACCCCAGCCACAAAACGCTGCTATTTACGGTGTTTTGTTGCATTTGCGTTTCCGGGCTGGCTTGCGGGCTGTTCTTTTTGGGCTGCTGTTTCTGGGGCCTCTGGCGTGCGCGCGCGCGACCCCATGTCAGGCTTCTGGGTTGGGGCCCGGCTTGGGCCCAGAAAGCTGGCATCCCCGGCATCATCTGGGGTTGGGGTGGGCAACATGCACAACCTAACCAGCCATATCATAGCACAGGATACGTTTCTCGTACAAAAAACATGACATGACGTGGTATAACTTCAAAGAGGCGTAGCCGGCTAGAGGCCGCAGGCCCAGAATATATATATATATGTGTGTATGGCATGTTTATGTTATCGTGTTCATATGACTACACATTGTCACACATAGCTACAATTCAACGCAGCGCAGTGCTTCACAATGTTACCAATATGTTGCAAATCATAGAAGTCGTGTTACTGTCCGCTGTGCGCATGTATTTCTCTTTCTTTCTTTTTCCTTTTTTTTTTTTTTTTGGGGGGGGGGGGGCGGGGAACACGCTGGCATTGTTCAACCACAACGCATGCTCAAATGGTTGTATATGCGAGTTCCAAGTTTCTTCTTTTTGTTTTTTGTACAGGTCAATGCCATGCGTCAATGGTTTATGTTGGTATCATGGCGTTGCTTGAAGCTGGCTCGTTCCCCAAGTTGCACTGTATCTTGGTGGGTTTAGTGGGGATTTGAGGACAGCCCATATACTATCTATCTCCGTGCGTGTACATGATATATTATGCAGATGATGGGCCAATGGATTCAACTTTGCAGATTGTTTTCCGACAACTTCGTGGAACTCATGTCTTTCTTGAATCAAACAGGGGGGGTGTCTGTGGCCGTCCTTGGACTTCCGGGGCTATGTCTGCGTTTTTTCTCTCTAGCTTCTTCCATTCCTACCTACTCTTGCATCAGGTGTGGAAGACTTTGGGGTTGCAAGAGTTCAGTGATATGGGAATCATTCTTGAGCCATTCCAGTTTCAGCATCGCGGCCGCGCAGCGATACTTGTGTCAAGAAAGCCATCGAGTCATAGGCTGCCCACCCAAACATGTCATTTCAGCCGATGCATCCAGCTCGGGCCAAGCTGGAAGTGGGACCGAGGAGCCCAAAGCACAGACCAAGCGGAAAGCATTTGGCCCAGGGGTCGATATCATCTGCCAAGCAAAACCCAAAACTCCAGGCGAATGATGTGACTGATGTGTTTTTTGCCAGGGATTGGGTGCACTTCTGAGATGTGAGAGTTGCCATGCGGCCTTGAGGCTTGCGCGAAGGCCGGCTCGGAGCTCGCCAAGTGAATTCAATAGCTGCGTGCCAACCACTGGACCTGGTCACGCGAGGTTTTCTTTGCCCGGAGAGACCTGTTTTGCTGAATCCAAGAAACCCTACCCCTGTCGACTATCATGGCACCTATGGTCCGCGGGACAATGGTCCAGGACCCCGAAACGTCAGGATCCAAACGTGGGGGCTAGGAATCCTTCGTTGGCACTGGGCTTCCTCTGACCCGCGGGAATCAGTGAGCAACAACACATGTCGGTGGGCTCCATAAAAGGGGAAGGCGTGGAATTGAGGGGGCCCAAGGGCCGAATTGGCAAAAGCATGGCCAATGTGAGCAAATTTCTGATGGCGGGGACCCTAGTTACTTTCGCTTCATCCGCTCCTTAAAAGATACATCTTGCCCATTTGAAACATGGCGTTTTCAACACCAAAGTAAAGGGAAACCACCATTTACAAGTTGCAATGTTCAGGTGTATAGTGCAAGGATCCCAGTTGGAGGTGTGCATGTTTCCACCCATTTCCCTGCGTTTTGTTTGTACCATGCCCATTTTTTTTGTTTTTTTTCTCCCCACCGGGAGGTCCCCGTTCGCTCGCTCGTGGCGAGACCTTCGAAGCGATGCGGCCGGGGCGGAAGAAGGCCATGGCCCTGGAGGACCGGTGGTGTTGACACGAGGCGGCGGTCTATGCCTTGAGGCGGTGGTGGTCAAAAATAGGGCAGCCCCAAAATGGGTTGAACCCTGGTAAGTGGAAACATGGTTTTTCCAACACCTGCGGTATTCCTGGTGGTTTAGTCTTGACCCATGCCCAGGTGTGCTCACTTCCTGAACTCCAGGACTTGAACACTTTTTGGGAAGACCATTGTTTGTGGTAGATGAGAAGCTTCGGACCTTTTTTTGTGGCCATCCACTCAAGTGAGTGTGTGATGTCGGAGCCCTCCGCCTATCTTTGGGGTTAGAACCCTCCATGGGGTTTCTTCCCGGGCTTTTAGAACCCGAGAAGCCAAGAACCAGTTGGGAGTTGTACTTTTAAGAGGGCCGTTGGCCATGTGTTCCCAAGGTATCCCCCGAAAGTTGGGGGGTCTTTGGGGGGAAGGGGGCCGCGGCATCTTGACTTGGTTGGGCCCACAACCCGCCCTTTTGATCACCAATCTTTAACCCGCGGCCTGGCAAGTAGGCTCGAGTTTTGATGGGTTTTCAGCAAGTTACCTTTGGACCTTTTTTTTATTTACTAAGCCACCGATTTGGAGTGTATGACATCTTGGACAGGTATCAGCTAAGAGGCAAGCGAACAAGGGAAACCCTTCCAATGCGGACTGGTAGCAGGTAGACCAACCTGTAAATGGCTGGCTCTTGACTTTCAAGGCTTAAGGAAACCATCCATACCCGAGGAGGTTGGGGATCGAGCAAAACTTGCCACCGCCTCGCCCATGAAGAGCTCAAAGGATGCATCCAATCACCTGATTCGCAGGATCGTCGAGGTAGCGTGGTAAATGTGAGCCTCTCAACATTGCCCATGCATCCTTCTAGCTGTGAATTGGTGAAACTCCCACCTACTTCAAACAGACCCCCCCGCAAGGTGTCCTCCAAAGCGCTTCTGACTACGGACGGGTTTTCGGGGTAGAAACCTCTGGAACATGTTTGAATCAACCGCTTCCTTCCTCGCGCTTCAGGGACTCCCCCCCAACATCCCCCCCGCGCGGCCTTGGGGGCCTTCAAATCAGGTCCTCGGTTGGAGGTTTGTGGGGAATGGACATTTGTAGGCGCAGCATGCATTACAGATGCAGCGCATTCTTGGGTTTGAGCTGCCAGAACCCTTGAAGACTTTGAATTGGGCTGCAAATTGGTACCAAAGTAAGTCATCGCAGGAGAATCATGGTTGCAATTGTTTCGCTTCTTGTGAACTACACACCAACCAATACAACACTGGTCCCTTAATGGAAGTCCGGATATGGGAGCGCCAAATAAGCCTTCTAGTATAAGGATTGAATAGGCCTATTCCTTGGCGTTTTGGGGAGTCCAACCGGTTTTTTCCCTGAGGAGTTGTTGCGATTTTAGTGTGTAGGTTGGCCCTTACTTAGATTTCTCCACACGTGACAGCCAGGTTGTCAAACAAACAATAAGGTGTCTGTCCCTGGTGCCACACACTTCTCCCATCTTGTGGCGGCCGCTAGATGTTCTATAATTTCCAAGTTCCAAAAAGGTCAACCCAAAAGGACGGGCGCTGTTTCTCTTCACATCACTTCCACATCCTTTCATGCCCGCTCGTAGTGTTTTCTCAGGTCTGTGGATTTTGTTCACTTGCAACAAGTGTTTGGACTTTCGATTTTGTGGCAAAATGGCTTTGGTCCGCGAATTGCCAGCTCTGTTGGTGTGTCCGATTCCTATTTTGCGAACCCCGCCCCAATTATCTTCTATTTCATTTTTGTCCAACCCCTCGACAGTTGAGGGAACCCTTTGTGGTGGTTTGGATTAGTGGTTTCGGATTTGACCCCCTTCTTGTAGAGGGTAAATTTTAGTTTGGTTTTTCAATGGCGTGTGTCAGCCGTCAGCAGTTGTTGCAATGTTGAACCGCGCTTGGTGTCTTATGGTGGCTCTGTCTGAGGTAGGACTGAACTTCTGGTGCTTCATAATCCTTGTAAAGTCGGGAACCCTATACGAGGCTTGCTTGGTGGTTTGGATTGGAGGTTTGGATTCGGATTTGAACCCTACCTTTTGAAACCAAATGGGGAAGCTGTCCCAAGGTCCACACCACCGGGCTCCAAACCACCAATTCGTGGCAGGGTGATTGAGGTGGATGGCATGGAGAATGGTATCTTCCATTTGCTTAAGATTTTCTTTTCCCCTGTTGGCCTTAAAAAGGGAATCTATCACTTTGTGAAATACTTTTATTTTTTCCAGGGGTCGCAAAATCAAAAGGAATGCTTTACCAAACCCGGCTTCGGACATTGGAGAACTTCCGCCTGGGGAAGGGCGAAGCAACGGTCTTCGGGGCTTCGCCTTGGGAAAGTTGCCCGGCGAGGACGGCTTCCCTAACGCCCTCGTTTTTTCCTCGGTTCCCTAAACGCAATTTTCGGGCTTAATTAGTGGTGGGGTTTCCGAATTTCACCCACTAAAAGCTAAAGTGTAGGGATTTTCCTTGGTGGTTCCCAGCCAGTGGTTGGGTGTCCACTTCGCCAGCCACCCCCTTAACTTTTTCGCTTTTTCGCTTTTTCGCCTTTTAGGGTTCGGCAGGTGGGTTTCCATTTCGCCTACCACAAGCTTTTTCGACTTTCAGGGGATCTTCGCTTCGCTTTCGCGAGGACACGGAGCTCCGGTCCCTGCGGATCCCCTCCACAGCGCACCGGGGCGCCCTGTCGCCCTCGAAGCACTCCTACCTCCCCACGCTCCAAGAGCAGGCGGGAGGGAGGGGACGAAGTGGAAAGTGCCAAGTAGTTTGTTCTTTTTGGGCTTGTGCCCCTGTTGCTTCATTGCTGAAATGAACTCTTTTGTTTTATGGTGCCCTTAGTTGGTTTCAAAGGGAATCTGTCACTAGTGGAAAGAAACATATATTTTCCAGGGAACGAAAAAGCACACAGAGGATGAGGTCCTGAAACAGGGAGAGGGGGGCCACCCGTGGCATCCCCGCCCGGGATCGCGTGGCAAGGTTCGCAACACTTGCCACACCAAGCACCCATGGTTCCCTTGAAAGGGTGCACGAAGAGGGCTTACAGAACAGTACACTTTTTTCCCCGCTTAAACATGTTTACAGCAGGGCAACTATTTGTTGCCCCCCTTCACAAAAGGACCATTTAGAGGTGTGCGCGACAGCAGTTTAAGCCTGTGTGAAGAGGTAGTCCCTTTTTGGGTCTTGAGAGCAGCCCTCGTGGCTTTCCAGCACCTCCAGAAGCCAAGATGTTCCCCGGGTAGCGAGGTCACCGCTCACCGATCGGCAAGACGAGCAAGTTGAGGCCTTTTGAAGTTTTGTTGATATAGCGAACGGTCCAACTCTTAAAAGTAGGAGGGCCATGTTTCCACAATTTCCATGGGTTGCCCCTTGGGCAAATGGAGAATGTCTAGCTCACGGGTGGGAATTCAGAGGTTAAGCCAACGGTTAAGCTTTACCCAGATTTCTATCACGTGTTGTTTGCCTGGAGTTCACACGTGCCTTGCCCACTTAGCCACCCGTGGGTTACCTTTTGGCCGGGGTCAGCTTCATCCAGCTTTGCATATTTTCCGTTTGGCAGGCGAGGGAGGACAGGCCGGGTGTTGCGTTGCGTGGCATACCGCTCGCGATTGTGGAACACTAAAACCCAGGGATCTAGCAAGATGCTGGTCCTTTTTTCGGCTGGACCCCCAAAATGGCTTGGCTTCGGCTTTCCTTTTGGTTTCCATGAATAGGAACCACAAAAGCAAGGTACCCTCAACAAAAAGACACACCCGTAGTCTACCCTCTTTCAAACAAACCGACAAATGCTCAATAAGTTGGCCTTGCGGTTCCGGTGGTGAAATGAGAACCAGATCGTCTCCAATCCTCGGTCAATTGGAAGAAAGGTCGCCTTTCCTTTATGGCTATTTGGTAACCGATTTTTGGACTTTAACCTTTTGGTTGAAGCCTTGTGGATTTTCCAGAGGGGACCCACAACAAGTTAAAAGCTGTTTGCGGAGTGGTCTCGCCAGCAATCCAGTTTCCTTTCCTCACTTCCTGAGTCCTTGGGGACTTCACACTTTTTGGGAAGTCCATTTTAGTGGTACGTAGAAAGTTTGGTTACTTTTTTTGGCCCATCCATCCACTCAAGTGAAAATCAGTTGGCTTGGGCTCGCCGCTTGGCTGCCTCGAGACTTGGACTTTTCCCCGAGCAGAACATGGCGCGGGGCTCCCGCAGCAGGCATACACTCAGCTCCGTTTTTTTGAGAACCCCCCTGAGGAGTTGAGCAAGGGTGGAGGAGTGGTTACGCCTGGAATGGGATGAAGTGCCATATATATATATATACATATATATATATATATATGTCGTTGGAGGGTTACAAAGCCTGCACAGTGTTTTGTTGTTTTAATGTGTATATTAAGCAATTCCTTATGCGTTTGCACATGGTTTTTTGGACGTATACTATATACATATACATATAATACATATACATATATATATATATATACATATATGTATAAAGTCATGATGCACTTGTATGACATTTTTCCCTACTGGGCGGGTTTTCCCATCGCAGGCTGTTCCCTGGCTTCGATACGCCAGGCCACAGCTCGCCATCAGCGTCAAGGCCAACGACCATGCCGTGCAAGAGGCGCGCGGCTTCGCGTGGAACACGCTGGGCGTGAGTCGTCCTCTGTTTGCAGCATATTCGATGTCCTGCCTCAATTTTCGCTGGCAGTACGTTGTCGTTGTTAGTATCGATATTGTTGTTTATCCTAAATGTGGCATGGAGATTCCTCTCGGTATAGCAGACTTCTTCCACGCGGAGGCGAAGGGTGAAAGGAAATACACCTTGTACTGGGGGTAGGTGCAAACATTACATCACTATATAGAGCAACCTTTTGTTTTCCCATTGGTTCCACAAAGTTGATTTTCATTTCCAGATCTTGGGCAAGCATGCCAACCGGCGGCAGAAGAAAAAACGCGGTCTGTGCACCTTGCCAACCCTGACAAAGACCTCAACCCCTAGGGGCACCTGGCCTCTTTTGGCAGGCTAGCTCACCCCGACTCGAGTTTCCCTTCTGAGAGGTTGAGAAGGTACCCTTTGCCTCAAGAAGAAGCTTAGGTGGTATCCCCAGCCCGGAACCCCCTGGAACCGGAACCCGATCACCCCATATCTTTCAGCTGGGGAAAGCACAGAGCAAAAGGCTTGCCGACTATGGATCAGCAGCCTACCCAATTGGTCGGTTATTGAACACGGTTTAACAAATCGCGATGTTGGCTATGGATAAGCAGAAGACTCTCCAGTTGTGAATCATCAAAGCCTCTTCAGTACGCCACCCCCCCCCCCCCCGCCCGGCCCCGGCCCCATCCAACCATCCCCCCATCCCAGCTTCCCAGGCCCAGCGCAGCGCGCGGCCGGAGACGCAGCCACTGACCGACCTCTCGGCGGATTTGCTGGAGAGCATGAAGGCTGTGGGCCACGGATGACCAAAATATGCGTCTCACAATTGGGGGGCTTTTTTTTTTTCCTGGGGGTCGCTGGATTTCCCCAAATCAGCAGTTGATCAAGTGACTGTGAAGAATTTGATCGGTCATTATGGGGTTTTACATCCGTTGCATCCGCAGTGTGGCTGTTCAAGCGTGAAAATGTGCGAGCAGCGCACTTGGACGGTTTGTTGTTTCCTTTTGGGCCCCAAACCGGTAACCCTTGAATCTATAGGTTATCAGCCGTAGGCCCCTAGCTCTAAGCAATGGACGGTTCCCTTGTGCCAGTTGATGGATCCAACATGCCTGTGGATGCTGCCGGAGTTAGCTCCGACAACGCCACCGGCAGCGGTGCGCGAATGTTCGCGTCAAGCGCTAATGCGCAGTAAACCGCACACTGATGAATTCCCTTCAACTGCACAATACCGCAATCTTTGCTTTTGGGAATGATGCAGCCATTAGGTCTGAAGCCGAAGCCTTGCATCAAGCAGCTGTAATGCATTTGCAAGCGGAGAACCGTGAGGAGCTCCGTGCCGCACAGAATCAGCTGCATGCACACTACGCTGAGTGTGTGCAAGCCCAGTCGCATAGAATTCGTGAATACGAACAGCGAGTGAGCGATGAGTTCATCCAAGAGGTGAACTTCGCTGAAGCTAGGATAAGCCAAGTGTGTGAGGAAAACGCCCAAGCATTGCATGAAGTGGAAATGGGACACAAAACAACTGAGTTTAGGCAAGCCATCGAATCCACCCTGGCGGAAGCCCAGCAGCTCCTTCATGAGCAAGCCGCAAAGCACGCCGATGACACAGCCCGTGTCGAAGCGAAAAACGCCAGGATGATCGATATGATGGCCTACCAAAACGGGCTTCTGCAGGACGAGCTCGATGAGCTGAAAAGGTATCAGAAGCAACACGACCTCCGCGAGGATGGATCGAAGCCCAAAGGGGTAGGTGATACCTGAGAGGATTCACCAGAGTTGATGACCGACGACATGAAGTCAGCTCGGTCCCAAAGGTGATGGTTCTCACGAGCATGATGAAAGCCGTGGCACCCACTTGAAGGAAGCCGAGGGATACACGTACATTTACACTGATGCCGTTCACAATGCATTTTCCGAACATGCCACCATGCAGCCGTTGCTTTCGAGTAATTGTGCTGCTTCGTTTTCGCAATGAGCGGCCCAACGGCTATGGCGCATCCCGCGAGGGATTGCGATCCGGCATGGAGGCGGTGGATGGAGAATGTTGCTACCACATCGGTATGCACGAACGGCAAGTACGACGCTAACCTTGCCGCTACGGTCAAGGGCCTCCTGGAGACAACCTCTGCACAGTCGCTTATCCATACATGGGTGCAGGACCAACCGCATTATTTGCAGTTGCTTACACCCCTGTTAACTATTAGCGAACCTTACTTGAAGGTTGTGCAGGCTCCTCGTGTACCAGATCGCGACCTCCTTATTTATTTGACTGTCGCTGACTCAGGACTGTCAATGGTTTCGGGCAAGAAGAAGAAGCTCCGCAAATATGATTTTGCGGAACGCTTGGATGCTTCTCGCCCGGCGCGTGTCGGTGCATGGAGGTCAGAAATGCTTTGGGGTAAAGGCCTGCAGCAGCTTTGCAAGCGCATGGCCGCCCTTATCGACGAGGTGCGTACGGACTACCCGACGGCGACCATCGTTCCTATGATCTATTGGAACGGCAATGAGCTTGTTGGGAAGGACGGCATTGAGCCCAGCGGCACCTACCCGTTCGACCACCCCGCCGGCGAAGCCAGTCAGCTGCTGGCAGACACCAAGAGGCACCTGGCCTGGACCAGGGATTTCGCGGCCCGCAAGGGCTGCGCATGCCTTGGAGTCATGACCGGCGCGAAAAGCTATCTCTACGGCTTCTCTATGATTTGGGACCGTTACATGACGGAAGTCCGGGACTTTATCATCGGCGACCCCAATCATATGCTCGTGTACGTAGACGCTACACCCTTCGTTGAGACCATCGATTTGCTGGACAGGTATCATATGTGCTTCAGTGACGACAACATCACGAAGACCGTCCAGTTCATGCGCGGAACCCATCACATGTTGTATATGCTTTCAATCTTGCGCCCCGCAATGGGCAGCGTAGCCGAGCTGACACGTTCGCACGACTGTACCGTGCGTCCGATCGATGTGCTCGAGCTGCGCCACCAAGAAGATTGCACAGTCAACGTTGAGGTTCTCGCGTACTGCAAGGAGACGCTAACGAAGTGCGGTGTTTCTTTGTCAGAGATGATCGGGCTCCCTTTCACCCGTGAAGAAGAGTCGGCAGCCTCTCGATTTCGCCCCCGTCAACCCAGCCGAGTTTGCAACTTCAGGTGAGCCTTCCGGTACAGATGTTTCCGAAAGTGTTCGCCCGGCGCAAGCCGGTGCAAAGGCGGCTGCGGTGGCAAAGAAGGACGAGGAGGTGAGCAGGCCGGTACCACTCGACTCCTACGGGAGGAGCGTGACTGGGGGCCATTATGACTGCTGGGTGTATAGCGTTCATGATGGCGTGAAGTATGTCGACTACGGCGAGGGCCCCAAGAGACTCGACATCATCAAGCAGCCCTCTTTCGATTACGACCCTTCCGTCAGGAGAATCAGTGATGAATACCACCGTTCCCTGACATGCATCTCCAAGATCCTTCGTGGTCGCGGAACAGAAGGATGCGGGTATGTGATGGATGAGGATGGCTACATGGACCTCGAAGACTTGGGACTCGCGCTTCGCAAGGAGCTGCGACATCCCATTCCATGGAATATCCAGAACATCATGGATGGACAAGAAGCAGAGGTTCATTGGCCTTGGTTGCCCGGACGCAAGCCGGTGCGGAGACGTCCCATGTTCTCATTGGCTTTTCAAGCTGAAGGCCTCTCAAGGCCATGAGGACTGGCTCCAGATCGACGACTCCGGCATCGCGAAGGAGTGGTACGTGAACCCGGGGACTGACCTCGGGCGCTGGTCCGGCTGGAATGTTTGCAGCAATCCTCCAACTGTGCTTTATCACCGCACTGAGAAGCGGAATTTCGCTAATATCATGCGGAACGGACTATTGCCAGGCGGCGGAGATCAGCATGAAACAGGCCGGCCACACGTCTTCTTCGCCGACGTCCTTAGCACAAGCGAACACTACGTTTCGGGCGTACGCGCAAACAAACCCCTGGAGATACAAATTGACCTCAGAATGGCCATTCGTGCAGGGCTTTGCTTTTTCAAGACGGAGAGCGATGGCGTCCTCACGCGCGACAAGGTGCCCAATTACACGATTATTTCGGTATTGGACGCTACAAATGGTGATTTTTGGTACACTCGCTCCGAGCAATCGGATGCAGGTGCACCAGCTGAGGCGAATGAAGATGAACCCCAGGGGATGAAGCGCGATCAAGCTGTGGTTGATGATCGCTCAACGGCGCTGGAACGTATTGCTACGACGCGCACAAATGTGGCCTCTCCTCGCGCCCCGCAAGGGGAAGCGAAGAGGCAGAAGACTTTCAATCCAATGGAGAACGTTGAGTTGAATGTCGCCACGTGCCCGGTTTGCAACAACAGTGTCTTCGAGGGGCAGGTGCACTGCTCATCATGTGGGCAGTTGTCTCCCCTCAATCCACGCCTGTTGAAAGAGCAACAGAAAAATTACATCATGCAGCGTTCCAACCTGTTGAAGAAGATGGGCCTCAGCACCCACGTCACATCTCAGGTCCTTGCATCTGTGGGAACATTCGACCTTCGCGAGGAGGATCGTAACAGCATCATTTGTGGCTTGAACTCCCCGGACAGTGCTGTTATTCAGGAGGCCCGGAAGAAGCTCAAGTCCGCCCTGAAGAACGGCTACCACTCTCTGCTTGACCGCTACGAACTCGATCTTCAATACAGGGTTCGTATGCTTGAGGTGGGCCGTCGGGAGGCGGACATGCTCCGCATGGAGCTGAGCGCAAATCTCGTCTTGGCTGCTCCAAAGCAGTCGCAGGCCCAGCGCACTCTGGGAGTTGGCCTTGGTTCAACTTTGGAGTCGCGAATCGCAAGGCTCGCGTATCTCAAGACAGATTTGGAGTTCCTGCCCAACGAGCTGCAAGAGGCGTTGTCCTCTCGCTGGATCGTGATGTTCCAAGGGATGCCTTACAGCCCGAGAGCTTTCGTCAACGTGGTGATGGAGCAGAATAGGCCCCGCAGCATTGGTTGTTGGAACGGGATCATTCATTTGCGAGGCAACACGTTGGACGACCTCCGCAACGAGATGGACTGGATTTTCAGCCAAAATGAGCGGTATGCACGTAACTCGATTGAATTTTCGAGGAACGAAAGCAGCAAGCACCTTGCTCGCAATGCAGCCCGCTATGCTGAGACGAGTGCTCCCGCCGCCCGCGAGGGTGAGCATTGGAGCCGTGGCAGCTGGCAGAATTGGTCCGAATGGAGCGGATGGGGTGACAGTAGCGGTAGCTATTCATCTTGGCGGTGGCGCTAAAAGCGCAACCGTCATGGTTTGCATGAGAGCAATGGTTCCCCTGACCTTCTCCCTCTGTTGTGTTACTGTTTGGCTGCTTTGTGAAAGGCCCCTTTAACACGCAGAGGGGGGTGAAGAATTTGATCGGTCAGTTATGGGGTTTTACATCCGTTGCATCCGCAGTGTGGCTGTTCAAGCGTGAAAATGTGCGAGCAGCGCACTTGGACGGTTTGTTGTTTCCTTTTGGGCCCCAAACCGGTAACCCTTGAATCTATAGACTGGTGGTGTCCCTTGAAGCTGCCACTATTGGCGGTTCCAACAAGGGAACTGGAGGCAACCCGGTGTGGTTCCTGAAAAAAAACCAAGAAAAAGGGTACCAACTCCCCAAACAGCGACCCCCAAGTCATGCAGGTGAAAAGGGAAGCCGAACCGAGAGGCCAATGTAGGGGCGTGTGTGGAGAAACGCCAAAGGTTGACCCCACGGTTTCATCGTAACCAACCTGTTTATGCAAAAAGGGGGTGGAAACCCGTCCACGAGTGGTCAGATGAATACTAACCTTGTTTATTTCTATGGGGGTGGTTCTTGGCCCCTCCAAAAGTGGTCTGATTCCCCACATTTCACCCAGGACACCGGGACCCCATGAATAAACTGGGGTTGGTTAATATGGGGTCAACATCACATGAGTGCGACTTGGTTTTGGTCTTCTTTACGCTGCACTCTGGTGTCGAGGGTGCCAATTTCCCTCGTGTGCAAAGAGTAATTGTATTGGAGCGTGTTCAAGGGGAAGAGGAACCCCACCACCCTTGTTTCGAGAAACAACTCGCAATCTGACTGTGTTGCTCCATGCCTCTAAAGTACGGTCAACACACATAAGGATAGACATTTGGCTGTGGCTGAGCCAGGGATACGCTGGTTTTAGTCTTTGGTGTCATTTACCAAGGTGCCATTTCTGTACGTGTTTTTGAGCCACAGCCATTTGGATAGGGTTTCCTTTGGCTTGCTGCATTTTTGGAACGATCCCCAAATTCAGCTTGGCCGAAAGTTTGGCTGACCTTAATATTAGACGTTTATAGGTCAAGCACAAGGAAGCTCATGCGATGCAGGGCCCTGAGAAGATGGGAAATATTCACGTTTACGATGCCCTTCAATTTTAAGTTTTATTGAACCCGTACTTGAGGATTCCTTGTTTGCATTTGTACTCTCGTGGGTAACCACCATTCAAACGGCTAAGGGGACCATCCCTGACCACCCATAGTAACCGGAATTGACTGGGAAACATCATATCTAGTCTTCCCAGGCTTTGTAAGGCCTTCTGTGGGTACAGAAGTCCGTTTCCGCCACAAGGCACGAGGGCAAGGTTGCTCGGAGCAAAAACAAAAGATGATTAACCGCAAGAAGACGGTCGGTGCCTGTGTGCTGATCGGGTCTTAGCCGGCCTGTCAGCATTGGTCGAACGGATGAGCGAATCACAGCCTGGAACATACTGGCAAGCAAAAGGGGGCACTTTCTGTGATACCCAGGGAATCCCTCTGAAGGTAGAACAAAAGCAACTATAACACAACGTCCTGGGCACGGCCCGCTGCTTAGAGCATTATTTCTCACATGCTCATGTCAGTTCGTTTGAAGGGGTTTGTTCTTCCCGGCTCGGTCGCGCTTGGGTTTGACCGTTAAGCTTTCAAGCCTAACCTTTTCAAGGCTGTCAACCCTTTAAGCCTTTCAAGCCTTTAACCTACGAACCCTTTTGACCCTTTCAAGCATTGAGCCTACTAAACCCTTTGTACCCTATAGCCTTTTGTGCCTCGTAACCCAAGTGGCATGGGTCGAAATCCAAATCGTACCCCCAGTGAACATCCCAATCCAACCACTAAACTAGGTTCTAAAATGGGCGGTGATTTTACCTACCAACCAAAATGGGATCCCAACACGGTTTTGACAACCACAGTCGAGTGGCTTCCACGTTCGCAGGCTCGGATTTCGACCTCGGATCGCGCAGGTGGAGTTCCTGGACCAAGGCGGCGCCCTCAACGGCGAGCAGTTCGTGCGCGCTATGCTGAGGACCTCCGATGGGGCGCTGCAACGGGAGCATAGAGCCTGATGAGCTGTGGGTTGGCCTCCTTCCATTTGCTTAAGAGTACTTCATATTTTCTCCGGATGGTTTTTCGAGCTGTAGGTTACCCTCCTTCCAGTTGCTGAAAATGAGTATTTGTGCTTTCTTGAGTTGGTTTTGAAGGGAATCTATCACTACCGGATTGTTTTTGGATGTGTTCCAGCAGGCGACAACGCAAATGGAAGCCTCCCGCCCACTGACATGGCACCTGACAGGAGGTCGCTTTAAGAGGATATTCATCTTCCAGGTGTCTTCCCACAGGTGCTATGTTAGCGGCAGAGAGCGTCCATTTGATTTTAGTTTGGCCGCCCCCTAAATGGCCTGGATTTTTCTGTTTTTCATGTAAGCCCAGCCCCATTGTGAAGTGGGCTGGTAACCTCTTCTGGACACTTGCCATTTGTCAGGAACTCGGACCTCACCGCAGACGCGCAGGACAGGGGGAGGGGTCGGAGGGGAGAGAGAGAGAGAGAGATTTGCTGCTCTGAAAAGACGTTTTGGATCATCAAACTTGGTGTCCTTCCAGGTTGGCCATGTGGGGGGCGAAAAATCAAGCCCAAGGGTCGAAGAATCTGGGGAGAGTTCAGCGACCTTACCAACCTTCCATTTGCTGAAGAGTACTTTTTTAATGTTCCCCTGTTGGTTTTTAAGACATTTTTTTCACCAGCTGGACATATTATATTTTTTCTAGGAGACTTAAGCAAATGGAAGCAACCGCTCCCCCAAAAACCTCAGAGTTCTGGTGTCTTCAGGGGGCGTTCGACCTGTTGCAAGCGGGTTTTCACTCAGGGGTACAGACAAATGGATCGGAAGAGTTCAGTTCACGGGCTTTAAAACGGCTGAAGCTGGTTCTTGGGCCAAAGGTTGCGGCTGTCGGGTGGCTTCCGAAAGCCTCACCGCGGTCGCGCGAGGTTGAGGTTGACCCGGCCCCCCCCCCCCCACGGCTTTGGCTTTGCGGGGCCTCGCAAGGTTTGTCTTTCACTCATTTTCCATATCCCCGCACAGCAGATTGATTTTGACCGCCTTTCTGATGTTTTGGTGGGATCTGAGTGGCCGATTTATTGCGTGGCACGGGCTGGGTCGGTCGCCTGGGAGAGGGGCCAGATCAACTGGACCCGCTTGAAAGCAGCTGCTCTGTCGCCGGCGGCTGCTTGGGGTTCGCTGCTCTAGGGGCCGGGGGCGTAGGTGTCCTTCTTTTTTCTAGGGGTTGATTCTCCCATTCTTTTCAACCATCGTTCTTTTCAAAAACCGGATTTGTTTCCCCTGGGTTTTTGATGGTGTCCTGAAGAGAAGGATCCCTGGAAAGAATGGAAATGGAAGGTACCCCTAGAGTTTTGGTTGTTTTGCTTAACAAATAGAAGGCCCTGGTTTACCTGGTGGTTCAATCATCTACCAGGGCCATCTACTTTCCAAGAAGGACACCTATGGCCGGAGGCGTCAGAGTTGGACCCAGCCGTCAAGGCACGCGACAAGAATCCTACAGCCAGACCACCGGATTAAGCAGCCCAAGTCTTCAAGCCAGCCCTCAGATACCAAAGCGGACTCGAACCCATAGCCCAGCTTTAAGTTAGCCCTTGCCGTTTCCAGCCCCAAGCAACTAAACCTGAACTCGCTTGCGAGGGGATGTTGCCCAAGCCATAGGAAGGCGAGGCCCGATGCTAATCCAACAAGCCGACGGACATTCAAATGTTAGGTTTCCACCATCCCGGTACAAGCACTGAGGAGTGAGCCACACGGCTATGCCAAAAGCCGCAAGGATAAAAGCTTCCAACCCTTTGGAAGTCATCCCTGCTGACTTTGTCCAACGCCGACCTTTGAACCTTTTGATTCTCGGTTTTTGGCAACCATTTTTCGTCAAGGTCCCAACAGTCAGGGAGGCCGTGTATTTCCAAGTCCTGATGTTCCGGACAGTTCTGGTTGCAGAGGTCTTTTCCCTGTGATTGTTTGAGACTCGCAGCAGTACGGACTGCTCCTTGATTTATCTCCATTTGTTCGGGCTACCACTCTAGGTCCCCCAGCTAGGTGCCCTTTCTAACCCCTTTTTTGGTTGGGAGGGTTCCCCTACTAAAATAGACAACAGAAAAAGAATGGTACCCGGGTACCCTTATTCTAACCTCTCTACTGGAGGACCTACCACTTAATCCACAACGCACCACTAAAGCAGAGCCTGCGGAGCAGTAGGGGTTCCCCCAAAAGTGGAGGATCCACTATCGGGCACTTTGCCATGAGTTCAATTCTGACCGATGGCACTCTGGGGCAAAGATGAAAGATGTCTCCCAGGACAAGCACCAAATTTAAGGGTTCCAGCCAGTGATTCTGGGAACGGTGTGAAGTTTGAACGACGAATTACCCAGGTCCCAATTAAACATTTGTTTCAGGGGAGGTTATTTTTGTTTGGCCAATAAGCAACGACCCTACAATGCTACAGAGCCCCAAAGACCAACAGCACCCAAGGGTTAGGGCTTTATGACAAGGCCGAGTAAGGCCAGTAATCGAAGGCAGCTACAGGAAGTTCTACAGCAAATTTACCAAATTCCCACCCAAAACAAGGATCTTCAGTGTTGTTGGCATGTTGTGTTTCCTTTCTTTTTTAGCTTTTTGGTTCTGTTCATTTTTTAGCAGGGGACGGCAAGAACACATGTTGTTTGCTACCATGCCAGGGGTTGGACAGGGATTTTTTGCAGAGTCCCTGGCCGGTTTCTTGGAAACTGTGTCGGACTCTCACAGGAGACAAACGAGCCGGTCCTGGGAGCGGCGAAAGCGGCCGCAGTGATGGACCGCTTCTTCTGCGACGGATTTGGATGGGGCCCAAATGACCGGGGGCGCTCTTGTGTTTGCTTGAAGATGCTGGAGGAATGCGAAGCGAGTAGGTTTATCTGTTCGGCGGGGGGAGACTTCCACCACCCAAGGCCTTGAGCCCGGAAATGGGACATCTGAAAGCGTCTGAAAGCTCGGGCTCCTTTGCAGGACCTGGTCAAACCTGGCAATGGATGATACCCCAAAGGAGAAAGAGCCTTGGTGATTGTGAAGGGTGTTTCTCCAAAGGGGCACCTTGGTTTCTTCCATTTGCTGAAATGAATATGTTGTTATTGTCCCCCGTTGGTTTGAAAGGGAATCTATCACTATTGGACATTCTTGTATTTTTCCCCAGAAAGCTTAAGCAATTGGAGGGTTTCCTTTTGTGCTTCCCATGCATTTCGTCCCAGATTTAAGGCATGTGCAGATCCGAGGGCACAAAAGGATCACTCTTGGACATGCCCCCTGTTGGTTTGAAAGGGAAGCAACCACTCTTGGCAAGGTTTTTATTTTTTTCATTTTTGCCAGGAACGACAACACGAATAGAAGGTTTCCCTCCGAACAACATGTCCAGGACCTTTTCTCGCACGTGGATGTGCACGGCGAGGGCTCGGTGAGTTGGGAGGATGTCTCAAACTACTTCATCGAGCAGGGCATGTCAGGCGTGAACAAAACACGGGAAAGGGGAGGTCGTTGTGCCGTGGTGGTATGCTATGTGTTGCGAGCTATGATTCGGTATTATCTTGGTATGATTTGATATAGTCTGCTATTGCAAAGTATTTGGTAGGTCATCATGACTTCAGTGTTTTCCCCAACAGCTGACCTCTGGGGTCGATAGGCCCAGATAGGCGATCAGGGGTTCGGAAAGGAAGCGTTCAGGGAAGTGTCCGGAGACTCGGTTCCAAGGGGGCTGGGGCAACCACCTGGGCTTTGTCCCAACAACTCGACGGTGCGAAGTGCTGAATGTGAAATGGGTTGCAACCCATGAGCGGATCCTTCGCCTTTGGGGCTTAGCTCCGGGGGTGACCCGAGTGAGCCCAATATGACCCGAAGATCCCTTTTGCGCTGAGGAGGAATGGTTGAGTCATACAAGAAGCCGTGGATGGTTGCGAAGTCCGAATCCAACGCACCACCGTTCAGAAACCCGGGAGTTTGTCAGATTCGATTCCCCAATGGAAATACCCACCCACAAACCGTGTGGTTTCAACCGTGGGCTTGAAAGTGGCCCGTGTTTCTGATTCGATTCCCCAACGTAAATGCCAACCCACCTTCTGGTTTCAACCATAGGTTTCATTCCGTGGCGCGAAATCGGAAATATCGCGTACCTCGCAAGGCGGGGATGAGTTCACTGTGGACAGCATCAAGACCTACGAGGTGAGTCAGGTGAAGGATGTGTCGAAGCATGCCCCTTGCCACGCCTTTGAGAGCTTCCGGAGGATTCAAAAGTGGGGACCCTCGAAATCGGTGACGTTTTCCTTTTGGCTTCCTTTGGAAAACCAGCCCAACAAAGGGGTTCCGCCCAACAAAACACGTGCATACCCAAGGATTTTCTTCCCAGTGCATGGCGTTTCCAGACTGGCAACCAATTGGACTTTCCAACTTGAATTGTTGAATCTTGTTTTTTTGGGGGGTTTCCTACTACAGAGGTTGCTGAAAGCACTGGGCTTAGAAAGCTTTTGTACGTGTTGTCTCTGTGAAATGGCTGGGTCTGAAGCTAAGTTTAAAATCCCCGGCACTTGCAATTTTGAAAAGGTGTCTTGTTGGGGAGCCCCCCAAAATGGAGGCGACATTTTTTTTTGCAAGGAGTGGCTCGCAGCTTAGCAAGGGCTCCAAGGTTGGTTGGTTGGTTGGTTGGTTGGTTGGTTGGTTGGTTGGTTCGTTGGTTCGTTGGTTCGTTGGTTCGTCGCAAACCAGCAAAAATACAAATAGCACCGGCCCTTCAGCAACAGTAAGCACAGCTGAAACAAGCCCCAAAGCCTGACGCAAGCCAGCCCGAAGCCACCCCAATTTTCCCCAAGTTCAACCATGAGCAGCTAAGCTCAAAACACAACGGAGGGCCATTTTTTTTAAAGGATTTATTGTTTATTTTTCTGTTTTTCAGGGTGGGTGGCTTTTCGGCTTTTTCACTAATGTGGTGCTGCCTTAGGATTTTGATTTCTTCGTCTGTATTCGTTAGGCTTATCTTTTGTCAGGTGCCGCCTTTGGGGTTCTTGCGGGTTGTATTTTGTTCCCAGGCCATTTCCCGGAAGGGAGACGGCCTGTCTCATGTCAGACAGCCATCTTGTTTGCCCTTTGGTTTCGTCTTGAATCTTAGCTGGGCATTTTGTCTGCGACCTCACCTCCGAGTGATGGTTCCTTTCCCAGGGGCTCCATTACTCCGTGGTGAGTGATCACAGTCCGACCTCTCAGATCTCTCGCTCTCTCTCTTTGTTGGGGGACCAATTCATATCCCCAAAGATTTTGAGAACTTGTTGCAAGGGTCGAACGTTCGACCCCAAGCCAGCCAAGAGCCAAACTGGTGGCTCGAGTGAGGAAACTCCGGTGGAGAAGTTGGTCTACTTAGAGCAGATCGACTCCTTAGCCCCGCGGTTTGAGTTGAGACACGCTGGCAGGCTCGGCTTGGAGTAAGTGATTTACAGAGGCCAAAGAAGGCCAGTGCAAGAAGCCCACACGCCAAGTTTTGGCCAAAACGAGCAGCTCGTGGCCTCTCGCGACAGTGGTTCTACACGGGTAACCGGGTTTGGCGTTTCTCTATCGGTTTCAGGTGTTGGCCCATTTGTCGTCAGGGTGTAACCCAATTTGTTCGTCAAGGTTCCACGGGTTGAGTTTTTTTCCAGGTTTTGGGGCCAGAGAGGTAGACGGTAGACATTCTCCAGGGAAGCCTGCAATCCCCACGAGGCTTGGGTCAAGCTGCCTCGGGCAAAGCAAGGTCAAGTTGAGTTGCTGGGGACGCATTCCAAAATGGGGACTACCCAACCGCAAGACCTTGACATGTGTCGAACCGACGATGCTTAGCAGCAAGCTTGGATGTTTCACCTTGGGTTGTAGTGGCTAGAAGTGAAACATCAGGGGTTGGTTCGTGATTATAACTGGGAGTTTGCATTCGGAGTTACCAATGTTTTCCCCTTTGAGTTTGGCCAGAAATGGAAGTGGCCCACCACAAGTAACCTGTTCCATGTGTTGCCGAACAGAGCCCAGGGAAAAAATGGGGCAGCAACAGTGGGAACACCTCGTTTGTAGGGATTTTGCAAGGTTTGCTCAGGCCTTGGGGGGGCCATTGGTTGGTTTAGTTCTGGGCCCGAACATTGGTTGGTACATAAGTTGGTGTGAAGCTGCAGCACTGCTCTTTCTTGTTTGGGTTGTTTTGGCACATGGGTTCTAATAGGGCACCCCCCTCTTTTGGTCGATGTTTGGGATGACCCGTTTTGTTTGGCTTCTACGAAACGGGCTCCCTTCGGATGCTACACACACACACACACTGCTCCTTGGCGATGGGAACTCAATGGAGTCGCACTGTTCAACCCAATTTCCGGGCCTCCACTTGGATGTTCAACCAACTTAGTAAGCAGGTTAGAACAATGGATAGAGGCCTAACTGGGGTGATCATCCCTGAAGGTTGAGCATCCACCCAATTTCTTGGGCAGCCAATTTTCTGGCAACCACCTGTCAACCCAGTTTCTCAAGGTGTCCTCCATATTCCTTTTTGGAGCCTCCAACGGTTGCACTTTCAATGGAGACCAGCAAATTGATCAACTGGGGAAATCCAGCGACCCCACTTTGATGGAGAGCATCACCCAAACCCAGTCATCCACCCGATTTTCTGGCCGCGGGCAGCCACTTTTCAATCCAATTTGGCCACCCACCCAATTGGGCCACCAGCTCTGGGCTCACCCAAAGCGACCCTTCTTGCTCCATCCCAATTTGCTGGCCACTCAAACATCCACGCAAAAATTCATCCAGTGACCCCTGTTTCTGGCCCAAACCCAATGAAGTTGGACCAAAGGAGCATGCGGAGGCTCACCCCGGAGCAGACATTTGGGGAACGACCACTTGCCGTTCCGGAAATGTGGGACTTGCCCGGAGGCAGAGAAATACCTGGTACACCAGGAAGGTGGAGAGGTCACCAGCTCAAAGCGACCTCTTGCTCCCCGATTTGCTTGGCCACCCAAACATCCACGCAGAACTCATCCACTGACACATCATCCGCCTTTTGTCGAACAATGATCGACCCCTCGTAGTGAAGGATTCCTTTTTGAGGTGGTCGCCTCAATTTTCTCACAAAAGGTGGCAAAAAGACACGGGCACGGGTCAAATTGCAACCACTAGGGGACCGCAGGATTTAGTCCATGCTTCCACTTACCCGGGTTCCATTTTGGGTACCTATTCTCGACCCACAGCCACACCCCTGCACTGATCCCTGTTTCTGAGGAGCTCACCAGCTGGCTCACCCCACGCGACCTTTCCTTTGTTGCATCTTGCCAAGGGATGTTAGGACTTTAACTTTTTGCCAACTAATGGGTTTTCCGTATCAAGCCACTAAAAGTTAAGTTTTGAGCTCATTAAGCCACTAAAAGTGAAGCTTTTAGCTCATTAAACCACTAAAAGGTAAGCTTTTAGCAGGGGAGCAGATTTCGCAACGCGACCTCTCCGCTGCTCGAGGTCTGCCTCTCCCGTGGCTCCCGGAGCTTTCGGCTCTACGAGCCGAAGCGCTGCGCGCTGCAGCACCAGGTCTCCGGGCACCGGGGCACCGCGGGGACGCCCAGGTGGCCAGTGGCTGGGTGACTCGTCTTGTCTGTTTTGTTGTTGGATCCCCCAACATGGCCTTGAGATGGTCGGGTTTTTTGCGTGGTTTAGGAAAGCCCATTCAAAGAAAGAAGCCAAAAAGAGGAACTCCAAAAATTGTCAAAGTTGGTCAGAGAACTTGGGCAATGAGCCAAAAGTGGGGGTGGTGTCCCCAATCCAAGATGAGTCTCTTTCCCCAAGGAAAATGAACCCCGAATGGACAAAATCCAGGCCGATTGACACCAGTTGGGCTGGATAAAGCCCTATACTGGTTGGTAAACCACCTGGGGCGGGATATGAGTGTGTCTATTTGAAGCAACGGCTTTCCTTTAGGTTTCCCTTTGAATCTGCCTCCAGCAAGGGGTACGCTCCAAAAACGACACCGGTTGGGGGAAGGAGAGGCCATTTTTACATTGCGTTCCTCCATTTCCTATTTGGAACTAATAAATTGCAACTTAGCAGGAAATCCAGTGACCCTGTTTTGGGGTTGGTTTAAAGGGACACCAACAGAACAAGCTGAAATCCCTTATTTTTGGGGTGTGCACAAGTTTTTGAGATATTGTTGAATTTGTGAGATCCAGAATATTTTATATGAATAACGTTCAAATATTTGGGAAGTTTGAACCTTATTGAAATCTATATATTTCTATATTCAATAAGGTTCAAATTCGCGTTTTCCCATAACGAGCCACCAAACCAATAAGGTTCAACCTTTTACCGACGCCTTTACCGAAGGGCGGCAAAGATAAGGTTCAAAAAGTGGCACCGATAAGGTTCAACACTGTTTCCAAGCACATACCCCGATAAGGTTCAAAACAGTGCCTTGGAGAAAGGCCAATAAGGTTCGTTTTGAGAGCTAGAAAATTGGACCAAAAGCCTTCCAAACCCGCATCTTCAAATTGCTCATTTTTAGGAAGGCTTATTCTTTCATGACAACCGGGGATGATACGGGAGACTACCGAAGACTACAGGGATGATACAGGAGACTGCCGAAGACTGCGGGGATGCTACGGGAGACTACCGATGTTTACGGGGATGATGCGGGAGACTGCCGATGACTACGGGCATGATGCGGGAGACTACTGATAACTAGAAGGGATTTCCGGGGGAGTGGTTGTAGGGTAGGGCTTGTCGAGTTCTTGATGAATCCTTTACATGGGAACGCGTGAAGCCAGACACCCGAGGCCCAAATGCAAGATGGGCCAGCTGTTGATAAATCCTTTGCGCGGGAACACAGGAAACCCGACACCCGAGGCCCAAATGCAGGATGGACCAACTGTTGATAAATCCTTTACATGGGAAACATATGACATCAGACACCCGAGGCCCAAATGTGCAGGACACACCGCCGAAGACACGAGAGATGACCCCCGTTAAGATTCAAAACCGGGCGCCCGATAAGGTTCAAAAATTGAAGGCCCGAAAAGATTCAAAAATAAGGTTCAAAATTGGGGCCGGGGATGATACGGGAGACTGCCGAAGACTGCGGGGATGCTACGGGAGACTACCAATGACTACGGGGATGATGCGGGAGACTGCCGATGACTACGGGCATGACTACTGATGACTAGAAAGGATTTCCAGGGGAGTGGTTGTAGGGTAGGGCTTGTCAAGTTCTTCATGAATCCGTTACATGGGAACGCGTGAAGCCAGACACCCGAGGCCCAAATGCAAGATGGGCCAGCTGTTGATAAAGCCTTTGCGCGGGAACGCAGGAAACCCGACACCCGAGGCCAAATGCAGGATGGACCAACTGTTGACAAATCCTTTACATGGGACACATATGACATCAGACACCCGAGGCCCAAATGTGCAGGACGCACCGCCGGAGACACGAGAGATGACCCCCGTTAAGATTCAATACCGGGCGCCCGATAAGGTTCAATAATTGGAGGCCCGAAAAGGTTCAAAAATAAGGTTCAAAATTAGGGCCGGGGATGATACGGGAGACTGCCGAAGACTGCGGGGATGCTACGGGAGACTACCGAGGACTACGGGGATGATGCGGGAGACTGCCGATGACTACGGGCATGACTACTGATGACTAGAAAGGATTTCCAGGGGAGTGGTTGTAGGTGTAGGGCTTGTCAAGTTTGATGAATCCTTTACATGGGAACGCGTGAAACCAGACACCCGAGGCCCAAATGCAGGATGGACCAGCTGTTGATAAATCCTTTGCGCGGGAACACAGGAAACCAGACACCCGCGGCCCAACTGTTTTTGCGTGGGAACACAGGAAACCAGACACCCGAGGCCTGCGGTCTTCAATCCATGTCCGCTGAAACGCCCTTGTCGATTGACGGGGGCCCCCAGAACGAAAAAGGGACGGAATTCACGCCCCTGGGCAAGACTTGCCCTCACCTGGCGTAAGCACGCTGTTGGTGCCTACGGAAGGTGGCATATACCTCATCCGGCGACAGGTCATCATTTGGATGATGTCTCTTCTGAATGAGCGGTGGCATGTTGGGAACGTGCAACGAGTTGATTGTGCCTTTTTGAAGGCCTTCCGCGATTCCGCTGATTGTTTCAAGGCTTCGAAGCATGAGTGGTCTGGCATAGTAGCCGACGCGTTTTTGACTGCAACCAAAGTATCGAAGGAAAGGCATCTTACCTCGAAGGTGCAGTGGGAAGAGGTCCTTCCCATAGAATTTCTTAAGTTGCTTATCAAGCGCGTCAAATAGGCGGCATGCATCCTCCAAGGCACCAGGAAGGAGGGCCAAGGGCCCTTGGTCTGTTGGATACTCGTAAGTCACCCGATTTGCAGATCTAGCGACAATGCGGGGCAGTGTGGTCTGTGTGACCAGCAAGAAGTTGTACACAAGTTCGACCAGGGCAATTCCTGGGTCCTCAGGGTGCTTGATGTTCGGCCACTGCAATGTTGCAGCCCATTCACATAGAACAACAGTAAGTGAGGCGCCGACTGGAAAGAAGCTAGCTGATCATCAGTCAGCTGAATCGGTGGTAGGGGCGCACACTCTTGAGGCTGCCATGCTTTCAGAGCTGTGGCAGTGCAACGGTTTTTGCTTTCAAGCTTTTCGGCAATGCGCTTCTTGTCAAGGGCATCGAGGCGCACTTTGTCAAGTTGAACCGCAAGTTCAAAGAAATCTTTTTGGAGCCTGGTCTGTTTCTTATAAAAAGCGCACACCTCAAATGCACGAGCTGCAAAGACACCCGAGGCCCAAATGCAGGATGGACCAACTGTTGATAAATCCTTTGCACGGGAACATATGAAATCAGACACCCGAGGCCCGAATGTGCAGGACACACACACCGCCGAAGACACGAGAGATGACCCCCCGTTAAGATTCAAAACCGGGCGCCCGATAAGGTTCAAAAATTGGAGGCCCAAAAAGGTTCAAAAATAAGGTCGGGGATGACACGATGACTACGGGCATGATGCGGGAGACTACTGATAACTCGTTGAAGACTGGAGGATGACACAGCAGACTGCCAGGGATGACACGGGAGACTACTGATGACTGAACTCATAAGGTTCGTATTTTGACACATCGAACTTTATGGGCATAGAGAGGCTCACAAAGCAATTGAACAGCTGCATGGCAGCCAAAAGAACGGTAGAAGCTTACTTTTGGACACAGGGGCACCGACCCTTTAATTCGGTAGGGTCACTCAATACCTAGAACTTTGTGCTTCCAAATCTGCTTGCGGAGTTTGGTGCCCATTGTTTGAGCGGCCGGGTGAATCATCCCGGGGCAAAAGCCCGAAGAGAATCGTCGCATGAGGATGGCGGCTATACTTTGATACCCCGGCCTGTGAATCTTGCTTGCAAGCTCTTCCAGGTGTGTCCACCGTAGTAAGGAAGGTGGGGTCATCCGAAGACTGTGACGTCAGGCAGAGCGTGGCTCCACTTCGGTGGAGTAAAAGTTACTGTCGCGTGCCCCGTGAAGGCAGGAACATGGCGCCAAAAATGACAGAAAAAACAAAATACAAACCTTTTGCTTTGCATTCCTTTACGTGGGAACACATGAAGCCAGACACCCGAAGCCCAAATGTGGGGGACGGACCAGCAAGCCAGCTAGCCAGCAAGCCAGCGAGCCAGCGCCCAACAGCCCAACAGCCCAACAACCCAACAGCCCAGCAAGCCAACGAGCCAGCAAACCAGCAAGCAAGCCAGCAAGCAAGCCAGCAAGCAAGCCAGCAAGCAAGCCAGCAAGCCAGCAAGCCAAACAACCCAACAGCCCAGCAAGCCAACAACAATAAGGTTCAACCTTTTACCGACACCTTTACCGAAGGTTGGCGCCGATAAGGTTTAAAAAGTGGCAGGGATAAGCTTCATAAACTTTGGTCAATCTGCGTCCAAGTGTCTTTGCTCGAGCAATATCTCAACTTGCCTTCTAGCCTGTTTGTCAACGCAATGGCCTGCAGTGACGCGGTTCTTGACTCCCGGGCCCACCTGCTGGTATTGGCACTGGAAAAGAAACGGGCGTTGGTCGACGCGTTCACCAGGGAGCTCTGTGTGACAATGCCACAGAGGCGCCCTGCAACCTGCTTTTTCCATCGGTTTGAGAAATTAAACCTTATCGGGTCGATCATGTCCACTTTCTCGACTGGGGGCCGGTGAGGACTTCGTGGGCTGGCTTGAGGAAATGGTGAAGGAGAAGGGCTCGCCCACGGTTGAGTCTCTCCCTCTGTCGTGGGGCAGTCCTGCGGCGGGGGAGCTGGTTGAGAGGGTCCGGCGCATCGCTGAGAACGATGCGAAGGAGCCCCTGATCGAGTACCTGTTGGCCCAGCTGCCCTCAAGCTTCTAGGCGGCTAGTACTAGGCAAGTACGTAGGTAAAATGAACTGCATCCTAAGCAAATTAATAGCAACAGCCAGCAAATTATTACTAAAATCGTTCAGCAATCCGTCGAAATAACATCTTTTCCTTAACACTTTGCCACTGAGGCGAAGCCATTGGCTACTTCAAAATGCTGTCCACTGCAAAGGGCACGGCTAAGAAGCGGGCCAAGCTCAACAGCGCCATTGATGTCCAGGAACAGGCTCTGCGCAAGCAGCATGCTGAGGACCGCCGGTCCTTGTTTGGTTGCTTCACAGGAAATCGATTTTTTTTCAACCTTATCAGACCGAAAAGGTTCGATCTCTTTGCCTAAGAGTACGCGCGGTCCTTTGGCATGCGCCTAAGGACAACAAGTGCCTGTTCCACGCGCTGGCGCGCTGGGGTGGCGGCACAGCCAAAACATGCGAGAGGCATTGTGCTGGCAGATCTTGGGCAATCCAGGCCGCTACGTGCACATGTGTGGCTTGGAGAGGGAAGAGGACGTGGCCTGCTATGTGGAGAATATGGCCCTAGAGGCTTTGTGTGGGCATTTTTTTGCCTGGGAGCGGTAAATCGAAAGACGTTAAGAACGCAAACATTTTGGGATTCCAGGAACACCTCACAAGAGGTCAAGCAACAGCAAATGGAACACCAATGCCACGCACCACAACCAGATAAAATGGTCACATCTTCTTTTGCTTTGCTCTTGTTTTTGCTGCGTCGCAGTGGCGCCTGTGAAATTCAGGAATTTCGTGAATGGTTCGGCTTGGCCGTGACCGTGATCTCCTTTCACCCGGTGAGCGGGAAGTTCGAGTTCTCTCAAGAATTTTTGCCCGCTGAAGGCACGGGCTGCGGTATTGGCTGAGCCCCCGTTGAACTTCATCTTCCCGATTTGCCTCTTCTGCTTGGAATCCTGGTTAAACTGTTGCCCCAGGTGGCGCTCATGGCTACACCAGGACCCTGGCATACACGGGGCGCAATCAGTACGATGTCTGGAGGAGGACGCTCAGCTTGACAAGGCGGCTATGGAGGATGAGAAGTCAGAGCTGGATGACGCTGAGGAGGAGGTGAAGGAGCATGCTGAGCTTGACAAGGAGGCTTCATTTTTCCTTTCGTTGAACCTTATCGGGCTTTATTTGCTCTTGCGCCGCAACTCTCACACTTTGCTTTCAACTCAAGCCTTCTCCTTTTTGTCTTAGTCAGTATCTCTAGAGGCCAAGCCGGTGGAAAAGGAGCCAGTGAAGTCAGACCCTCCGGCCAAACGGGGCCGCAGCAACCTCACGGATGCGGGCCGCTAAAAGCACCGGCGCGCCTGCCAGGATGATGAGGTGCGTCAGGACGAGCTTGATCGGTTCCGACAGCTGACGGGGAAGTCCATGGGACAGGGTGGCGCCGATGAAAGAATCCTCAGCCCTGAGACCCAGGATTCTTGGCGCTTATTGAACTTTATCATGTAGTTCACGTTGAACCCCTTGACAGTTCTGAACCTTATCTTTTGGCCTTTAGGAGTTACACCTGGGCTACTACAAGCAATTTATTCCCCATGTGCTTGCGGAAGGGCTTGTGGTGGAGAAGCCCGTCGGCGTGCGCGAGGCTGCTACCAAGAAGCACATCACCTCTTGGATGGGCCGCTTGGAGACGCAGACGACTTCACGGGGCCTAGGCTACACTCCTGACACTGTGGACACCATGTCTTGGAGCTTGGGCGTGGTGATCAAGGTGTTGCTGGGGAAGCACCCGGATCTGGAGCGGAATGCTGGTCGGCAGCAGGCTGAGCGGCTGATCACGCACTTGAAAAAGGTGTCCAAGTCAGTCCGGGAAGCCCTGGTGCACTCCGGGTCCTACCTTCCAGCGAAAACATCTGATCTCAAGACACCGCTGACTCTGGAGGACAGGAAAGGGAAGAAGCCGATAAGGTTCAGGGATTGTTTGTTTCGCATTCCAGAATTTTCCTTGTCAGGATATGATGGCCAACCGCGAAAAGTTCATCCGGCGGACGGCCAAGGCGGAGACAGGTTCGCTGCGGCGCGCGAACATGGAAGCGGGTATTCTCGCTACTGACTTTATCATCAGGAGCGCTAGTGCGGGTTATAGTGTTGGATTCCTGGTTCGCGTGTGTTTGTCTTCAAGGGTTGCCTTGGCAGGACCTTGGAGAGACCCAAGACAGCTCACAAGATCGTGGCCGGCCGAAATCTGGACATCGGCAAGGACGACAGCATGTGGGCGCCTGTGGGCATTCGGCCGACAAAGACATCCAAGGACTGAACCTTGAACGTAACCCGGCAGATCAACCTTATTGACGCAAGATGGCCCATTGTTTGTTGTAACTGCGTAGGTCAACCTTATCGGGAAAATAAGACTCTCTTTTTTTTCGCGCAGCCCTGCAGGATCGGCGCACGAAGAGGCAGTTTTATGTCAACCGGAAGCACTTGGGCGAGAAATGGACTAAGCGCTGCCGGAAATTTGTCAAGAAGCATTTGCCGCCCTGGCAAGCTAGACCCTCCCTGGCCCTCCCTTGCAAGATGACGAGGATCCTGCTTCTGTCAAGTCTTTGTTCTGCATGATCCCCATCGACGATTTCCGGCGGAGGATTTTGAAGCCGGACACACAGGCTGGGTCCAATGATTTGGTCACGCAGTCGCAGATGCGGTAAAGCACGAGGGACTCCAGGCGCGGGTTGGCATGCGATATGTCAAGGCACATATGCGCACCCGGCACACGGATCAGACTTCCCAGAAGCACTACCGCCAACAGAGCGGGGCAATTCTGCACGATTTGTATGCCCGTGTGGCGCCCGATGTGTGAACCTTATTGTGCCCTTTGTTTGGTCTTGAATTGACCCGGTGTGCGAACCTTATTGCGCCCTTTGGTTTGGAATTTGGAACCTTATCGCCCCTACCCTCATAAGATTAAATAATATAAGCCAAATCTTTTGTGGTAAATCATCCACCTAAGCAACTGGAGTCAACTTGCGCCTGAACTGTGACCAGCAACCAGACAGCGGAGTGAAAACAAGCTAAGCTGCTGTAAGAAGGATTTCGCAACTTCGAGCTCTGGGCGGGGCGCGGCGCCCTAAATACGCGTGTTTTTCCCGTTCGAAAGGTGTCTGCCTCATCGCGGCGAACGGGTCTGCGTGAAACACGCAGGGAAGCCAAAAGACACCTACCCGAAGGTTGAGACCGGGGCATTGCCGAAAGACATTGCCGCTAACTTGCTACAATGAGCATTTTTTACCTTATTGACCTAAGCTTGGAAGGGTCATTTTTCCAGAGTTCGTCTCCAATTTTGAACCTTATCGGCATTACAGGTGTTTTTCAAGGTTTTGAACCTTATCTGCGCGTGCTCCGTGGGAACTTTTTTGGTGACAAGGCTTGGGGGGCGATAAGGTTCAAAAACGCGTAAAAATTGGAACCTTTTCCCCCCAGGAAGATTGAAAAATAAAAAGAGACAAACAACCGATAAGGTTGAGCCACTTGAGCCTTATTAATTTAGGATTTGGATATGGATTTGGAGGGTGAGTCCGGGTGAGGTTTGCGGACTCATGAGAAGTACGGCCAAGATATGCGGGAACCGGAACATGGGCCAAATAGACAACAGAAAGGACACCAAAAGCGGACTAAAAGGATATACCAAAAGGGGACTTCTGGTGCTGAATAGACGCGGCAAAACTTCTGCAGAGAATCCCAGCGCTCCAACTCAGGCCACGCGGCTTGGGATACAATTCAGCTCGCCGATGTTTAGGTGATCGATTCGGGGGCAGGAGCTCGCCATGTGTTTTTCCACCTGGGGACTGAAAATGAAGAAGCCAACGTCGGATCTGACGGAAGGAGGTCCAAGAGCATTTTCCACTTCGAGGGCCCTCCAGTGCTTCCACGGGTTGGCGACTGAAACAAAGGAAGCGAACCGTATGAACAATGGGAAACAAACATCAGACAAACGAGCGATTGTTTCCGGAACGAATCCGGGTGGTGAGTTTATTTTGAAGATAGAGCGACTGAACATGAAACAAGCTTGGCAACTCACGGGGCCTCAGTGCGAAATCTTCCAACAAGCGGAGGTCCTGGCTTCCACCCTAAGTATCCCAGCCTTTGGGATCTCCCCCAAGGCCAAATAAGACCACAGGGAAATTTGGGTTTTTGGGTATTTGGGTTTTTGTGTATTTGGTAAATTGGGTACTTGGGCATTTGGGTATTTGGGTATTTGGGTGTTTGGGTATTTGGGCATTTGGGTGGGTTTTGGCTTAGGACCCAGCACAAAGGTAGGTCAATGACCTCCATCTACCGATAGAGGGGGAAGGGAGGGTGGGGCGATCTAGTCTTCCCTCCGAGAATGGAGCCATAAAAAGGAAAGTGGGTTGGATTGGTGGGTTAGATTGGTGCCAAAGTGAAGCCAGCAGGAAACACCAGGCCGAACATCCACCCATCTCCAAGCCCTCAACAAACGGGCCAATACACAACCCAAATACCCAAGTACCCAAAACCAAACCCCAAAACCAACCAACCCCACCAACCCCACCAACCCCAGCCAACCCCACCCAACCCCACCACACCCCTCCGAAAAGCCCCAAACCTCTCAGGTCATCAACTGCTGCTACGTGGACGCCTGGGCGCAGATCGCCACCACGGCCGCGGACATGACCATCTGCTTCTGGGACTCCCACCTCCAGCTCCGCAACCGCCTGGCGGCCAAGGAGACGCCAAAGCCGCGGCCGATTTGTTTTCTTCCGCCGTCCGTCGCGCGGAGTGAGAACGCAGGTTCTGTCATATTTGGTATACAGCATATTTATGATTACAAGTACTGCTGTTGTTATGTTTATTATTGTTGTTATTAGTGTTAGTGTTGTTAGTGTCGTTGTTATTGTTATGTTGGCATGCAGTTATGTGGATTCCATCTACATATATTTTTATACAGCAAACTCACATATATATATATATATATATACATGCATACATATGATTCATTTTATGTTATAGCCACAAGCCACGGCAAGGAAAGAGCGAGTACACAATCTTCACGAGGTGGCCACAAAAAGGATACATATTTCTTGTTTCCTTCAAGGTTAGATACCCAATTTTTCCTTGGGTACTGGTGATGGTTTGAGGGAAGTGGCAACACTCTTAGAGGAGCCTGCTTGTTTATTACGCCAAATTTGCTCGCAGGACAGGGTTGTGAGAATTGCCTTTTCACTTCTGTGACGGAACACCTTCCAACCTTGCTGATTCTCAGGCCCCTGATCAGACTTTAGCATGTTGTTAGCGTAGAACACTCCCGAACAGCATATCTGGAAGTCCAACATGGCCCTGTTATTTATATACATATATATATATATAGATCACAGTATTTCTATTTCTGTCTTTGTTGGACTGTTCTTTGGCCATGTAGAGTTTGGTGCAGATTTTTGCAGATTTTTTCTTGCGCAGGACGTCCAGCTGTGCCTACAGTGGGACACGGTGTCCAGAAGCCTCTTCAGCGGCGCCATAGATGGCACACTCAGCAGATGGGTCTGGGGCCCAGAGCCTATGGCCCCCTTGAGAGGTCCATGAGCTATGCAGAGGGACCAGGAACCCTGCATCTTGGTTTGGCTATCCCTATGCGCACAGAAAGGTAGTTGTGCAACATCTACTTTCAACCCGGGCGAACACCGTATTTCCGTTGCCTTGGAAGTGTCGTTTCTTTGGAAACTGGCAAGGGGTTTGTCTATCCACCCCAAAGGAACACCCTAAAGGAGCAGAAATCTACTTGGCCTTACATATTTCCCCAGCGCTTCAGCTTCCGAGGACTTGAACAACATGACCCTCGCGGACCTCCGGAAAGGGAATCACAAGAAGGCAGCGGAAGGGGGCGTGACCTCGACCTTGTGGGTGTCTTGTTGTGGAATCGAAGAGAATACTTTGTGGCTTTCATGTTCCTTTTTGGGATGAAAGAAAGTATTGGCGTTTTTTCTTTGGGGCCTCGCCGGCTGTTGCGGTTTGTACGGACTTGAAACAAGGGCAACCCCACCAAGGGGGGGGGTCCAATTCTAGGAACCCGCAAATGCGAAGGTCAGCCCTGCTTTTCGATTGTGTGGGCTCCCCCTGGCCCAAACAGTCAATCAGAGGAGTGCGTTCTGGGGCCCTGAAAAGTGTGTTTTGTTTTGAGGCGTTGTGAAAACTATTTCTGGAGTGGCTACTTTAAGCCTCCATTTACAGGGAAGTTCTGAGGATGTCACATCCATGAGATCATGATTGGAAAGAAGGGAGCCCGACTTTTGCACCGCTCGTAGGCCATCAACGATCTCCTCATGGTGCATGACATCAATCTGCTGGCCTCGGCGTCATCGGCCGCTCGCCAGTGGTTTTGGGGGGAACTTCGGCCACTCATCAAAATTCCACGGGCGCTGTCCGATGCACGCGAAAAGGTGGGCAATGTGCCAGGGTCATTATTTTGACGGTTTCCGACGGTTATCAAAGACAGAAATGGTTGGTTGTTCCTTTAACCCACCACTTCGAGGGTGACTTTGACCATGCTAAAATAAGGAGGCCAGTGTGCCCTCTGACTGGTTGGCTCACAGCTTTTTGCTACAACTTTTTTGTTGCTGGGCGATTTCAGCCTGCGAAGTTTCGCACAACAAGTATGTGTTGTCCATGGTCCATGGTCCATTTCGGAGGAACAGAGACTGGGCAAAAATGTCGGCCTACCTGCGTACCTGCGTCCCTAAGAAGTGGGCCCGGGGGAGAACAGATGGACCGGACATGTGAATCGATATGAGAACGTTTTGTTCTAGAAGCAGTTCTTGGTTTGCCTCCAAATGGAACCCAAAAGAGCCCGAAAAGGCTTCAGGTTGTCCTCCAACATGTTTGACTTTTTGGATGTTCCGAGGCATCTCACGTTTCCTCAGAGTACTAAACGGTGAATCTCTCGAGTTTTCTTGTCCTTTGGTTGCAAGTGAGCGATGGCGCTCTTTGATTTCCCTTGACCTCAAGCCCCAGAAGCATCCCTTCCCAAACTCCTGAGCTATGTCGTTGTTCGGGGAAAAGGGTGTCCTCAAAAATGACACACCCATTTGGGTGTCTGTTTTTAGTGGACCCCCCAATATGGTGGTTGTCCCTTTGGTTTTTCCTGCACAACCAACCCAAAAGCGGGTTCTCTCAAAACAAGCCACGCCCATTGGTGAGGGACTCTTGCCGCTTGCCCGATTCCAGGTGATCCCTGAGACATTTGTGTTGCCATTTGGTAGCGGATCTTAAACAAAAAGAAACAAGTTTTTGGGTTGACACTTTGTAGAGCAACCAATTCAAGCGAGTGTGCCATTTGGCGCGATGGCCAAATGAGTCTTTGATAGTTGGGCGGCGTGGTTGTTGGTTTGGCTCGCTGGCATCGTAAGCCGGCGCTCCCCATCGGCGTGAGCAACACAGTTTCGGCTGCAGACCTTCCGGAATAAGACCAGAGTTATAATTACAATCTTGACTCGAGCCACTAAACTGTGGGCTTGGTTTGATATACTGCATTCAATTCATACATCATATATATGTATATATATATATATATATTTGTGCGGCCCCTTTCCAGCACCCTGTCTTTTAAGAGAGGTGGCTGGACACATCGGCCTGCATTTTTCTTGTTGGTTGATGCTATGATCCCTCAGTGGGCTTCCGGTTGTGGAACCCAGGATGGCAGCATCCTGATGCGACTTGGCGGAGATACTGGTCTTCCTTTTGCTGATCAATGAGTATTTTTTGTATTTCGCCTGTTGGTTTTGAAGGCATCTGATGATCAACGAGTATGGGTTGCATGTTTCCCTGTTGTTTTGGGAGATTATCACTACCAGAAGTATTTTCACATTTTTTCCCGGGGGCGAACACGTAAATGAAAGTTGTGCGCCGACTGGATCCAGAGAGTTGGTTTCAGGCGTTTGTGTTCTCCACTCGCCTTGGGGAAAAAGGTGTCTTAAGCTCCTAGAAAGTCTAGGAGTGTATAAAATCCGCTAGGAAAGCTGGCAGTGATTGACCCACACTCCTGTGGTTGGGGGAGTTTGCGTTGTTTGAAATTGTTTGGCCGACGAGTGGGTCGCAGGGTTTCCAGAAGTGTGTGGATCACAGATCACAAACCAAAGGTTGATCTACCTTGCCAGGTTCCGATTAGAGGGTGCAACATTTTGAAGGTCCAATGGTTGGTGAGGGACACCGCCCAGTTGCTTCTTTCCTGGCTCAGCAATACAACTAGCAAGCGCCAAGCCTCAAAGCACTAGCCAGGCCTTAGACAAGGCCACACGAATTGGTGCACTCGAGGTGAATTTTCCTGACAGGCACCCCAACAATTGAGCTACCCTCCTACCAATTACGATGGAACCTGACAGGGTCCCTTGGAAGGGAAAATGGTCCAAACCAGGAGCCCTCGAAACGTCAGGTTCCATGTTGATTGATGGGAGGGTACCACAGGTTCCACTCCGGGCAAGTTGTAGCGACGCAGCTAGTCGACGTCGCCCCAAGGCTCCATGCTTGGTGGTCCCTTTTTCTGTGTTGATGAATCTTTGATTGTCTGCCCAGATTGCTTTCCCCACAAACGGTTTATGAAACCCGCAACAAAACCTTTCAGAACCCCCCCAAAAAGAGGCAGCTTCCTTTTTCCCCAGCCGTGTCCAACCAGGAAGGCGGAGTTCCTTTTTCATTATCTTAAGCTAAAAAGGGGCGCCAGCTGCCACAACCCACCGTTTTGTTTTTTTCTTGACGCCGCCCGCGAAAACCTCCGGCCAAAACCCGGGCTAGAGGTGGGATACTGCGATGATGAAGCCGAAGAAGACCTTCAAGGGCCACAAGAAGGCGCGCCCGGCGCTCGGGGTGAGACTAGGTCCCCCAGCTAGCTGCCCTTTCTCACCAACTTTTATGGTTGGGAGGGTGCCCCTACTAAAATAGACTGCAGATAAAAGGGTGCCCTTATTCTAACCATCTCTACTGGAGGACCTAGGAGATCTTCGGCCTTGGTTTTGGCAACTGTGTCGCTTGCGTTCCTTTAAGTTGTGCTGTCTGCATGTATTTGTTTATTGCTTTAAGCATTGTATTTGATGTTGTTTTTTCACATGTGTTTGTTCTGGTGGTTCTGCTTTCTATATTTCTAATCTAAGCTAGTCTAATCTAATCTAATCTAATCTGTTTGTCTGTCTGTCTGTCTATCTATCTGTCTATCTATCTATCCATCCTTCTAATCAATCAATCAATCAATCAATCAATCAATCTATCTATCTATTTAATCTAATCTAATCTAATCTAATCTGTCTAATCTAATCTAATCTAATCTAGTCTAAATCTAATCTAATCTAATCTAATCTAATCTATCTAAATATCTAGCTGTCTATCCATCTATCCATCTATCCATCTATCCATCTATCCATCTATCCATCTATCCATCTATCCATCTATCCATCTATCCATCTATCCATCCATCTATCCATCTATCTATCTCTCTATCTATCTCTCTCTCTCTCTCTATCTATCTATCTATATATCTATCTATCTGTCTGTCTGTCTGTCTGTCTATCTGTCTGTCTGTCTGTCTGTCTGTCTGTCTGTCTGTCTGTCTGTCTATCTCTCTATAGTTCTATCCTGTATCTTGGTTTGATGTGTTTATTTGAGTTATCTATTTGATCAGTTCCCGTTTTTTGTTTTTTGGTTTAATCTATTATGATTATTTGTCTTATTAAGCTGTTTTTTGTTCTTCTTCTTTTTTTCCTTGTGTGCTTCTTCGTTTTTTGTTTTGGCTTTCTTTCGTTTATGTATTCTAAAACATTGCTTTGTTTGTTGTCTTTTTTGGTGGTCCGTGTGCGTTTAATTGTATCGTTTTTTGTTGCTGTCCTTCTTCACTTCTTTCGTCCTTTCCTTCTGTTTTTCTTTATTGATATGTTGTTGTGGTTTGTCGGTGTTTTTGTTTTGGTCTTTCTTGTGCTTTCTTTCTGATTTCCTTCCTTCCTTCTTGCTGTCTGTCTGTCTTTCCGTCTTTCTGGCCTGTCTTTCTGTCCCTCTGTTTGTTTGTCCTTCTGGTCTTCTGTATTTCAATCTTTCCTTCGTTCCTTCCTTCCTTCCTTCCTTCCTTCCTTCCTTCCTTCCTTCCTTCATTTCTTGCCTTCCTTCCTGTCTTTCTTTCTTTCTTTCGTTCTTTCTTTCCTTCCTTCCTCTCTTTCTTTCTTTCTTTCTTTCATTCTTTCATTCTTTCTTTCTTTATTTCTTTCTTTCTTTCTTTCTTTCATTATTTCTTTGTTCCTTTCATCCTTTTGTCCTTTCTTTTTTCCTTCCTTTCTTCCTTTCTTTCTTTCTTCCTTTCTTTCTTTCTTTCTTGCTTTCTTTCTTTCTTTCATTCTTTCTTTCTTTCTTTCTTGCTTTCTTTCTTTCATTTTATTTCTTTCTTGCTTTCTTTCTTTCATTATTTCTTTCTTTCTTTCCTTCTTTCTTTCTTCCTTTCTTTACTTATATGGGTTTTATTTCTTTTCTTTTCTTGTTTGATTCGTTCTGTTTAATTGTGTCTATTTCGTTCATTTTTCTGGTTCTTTTGTTCCTCAATAATTAGCGACTCTCCAGCTTGATTCCTTTAAGGCCAGCCCGCTTGACATCCATGGGCCGGAATACGCCAATTCGATCTCCTTTTGGCTTTCATTTGAAACTGATGTTGACCGCGGATTGATAAACCCGTCCCATTATTAGGGAGGTGTTCCCTCCAAACGCGGTCTGAATCCCCACTAAAAGGGGACGCCCGAAATCAAAAATCACAGAATCAACGGGGGGTTTCAACTGAAAATTTGGGGTCAACATCCACCAACATCTGGGAACACCCCCCCAAAAAATCAAGCAGGAGCTTATGAAAATCTGGGGTCAACATCAAAAAACAACCAACTCCTGCTTGAACCTCCTGAGTTTGGTTGGAATTTGGATCAACCAAAGAACAACCAACTTTTTAACCACACGCCTCCCACCAACCAACTCCAGCTTCCCCAAAAACGCCAAACAAAAACCTGGCAGGGCACCTTCTCGTTGGCCTACTCCATGGCCCGGCGCCCGGACTTCCGAGAAAAATCCACGGCCAGCGGCGGAACCAATGACACGACAAAGAATCCAGTGGGAACTGCCTGGTCTCGCCTGCTATGGTAGTGCCACGAGGTTTTTTTGCTAAGTGTTTTGAGGGTTTTGGGCCCAGATCTCGATGTTGACACATATCCAGGTAAATTGCCAAGAGATGCCTTGTTGCCAGAGTGGCGACGAGATGCAACGTCGGCTTCTCACCCAGTTTCCCAGAGAGACGGCCAGGGACTCCTGTTGTTCAGCCCAAATGCAGCTGGAAAGGAGCCTTGGGTCTTAGAAAAATACGGGGAGACAGCTCTTCAAGAACACTGTGCACTTTGCTTTCCCGCGAGCGTCCGGCAGCAGGGCAGTTCGGATTTGTCGATGTTTGGCAGACCCGTTTCTGACTCCTTCAGTTTGTGCACTCAAACCTTGCTGGGAAGACTATTTGAGAGGTAAACAGCTGTTTAGACTCTTTCCACTCAGGAAGTGAGGTTTAGGCATGACAACTCTCGACTCATTTGCGGACCCGGTGCCCCCGCTGACAAACGCGGGGGCTCAACCTGATTTTTTGTGCGGCGCATCTGGTTGTTCCGCTTTTTTGTTTAAGGGAAAGTGGCAACCCTTTGTTCTTGTGGTTTGATCATTCCAGTAACCCTCGGGAGAACCTTGATGCTGGCTCCAAACAAGGATCTGGACGCAAGTGAACCAGACTCAAGCCATGGTCGAATCAAGCGTACCGCCGGGATGGGGGAAATGGTGGCTGTGGGTCCTTGTCCAGCTTTTTGGGGACCCCCAAAAATGGTGGTGTCCTTTCGGTGTCCAACTTTTAGCCAACCCCAAAAAGGGAACCCCCCCTAAAAGAAACACAGGACCATGTGGGTTGTTGGGGAACCCCTTTTTGGTTTTTTCGGACACCGCTCAGAGGCCAGGGACAGCTGTTTGGGGGAGGGGGGTGGGGGGGTCGGTGTGGGGCTGTTTCTACGGTCCCTAGAGGACCCCACTTCAGTCTGTCGAAACACGCTTGGCTATTTGGTCGCGGATCTTTGGGCGCTAAATGTTGGATTGAAAGTTTGTGGATTTTCTAGAGGGGACCCCCAAGTTGTGAGCTTTTCGCAAAGGGGTCTTGCCAGCAACCAAGAATAGCTGTGTAAAGATAGTGCCAAATAAAGCAGTTGCCCGGCCAAAACCAAGCACCAGCACATAGGGGAGAGGAGAATATGGGAATGAACCGGAAGGGGGTCCCTTTACAGGAAACCAGCAGTTGAATGGTTTTTATAGGGTTCATTCCATTCCTCATTGCCTACTGATCGCACCAGCAAGTGTAAGTCACCGCTTTTAGTCCATTGAATCCCGAGGATTACCACTGCCTGCTGACGGCCGGCTTGGACCAAGAGGCCCTCGCCAGGGCCCAAACTTGGCCGTTGCTGCTCTGGCCAGATGATTTTTTGGGTGTTTGATTCGGGAGGGGCTCTGAAAGGTTAGTTCCTTTTCTCACTCCCGATCGAGTTCATGGACTGAAGAGTCACTTTGTGGGTTTGGTGGCCATTTTAGTAGCAGATAAAAGGCTTGGTTACTTGGTTACTTCCTTTGGCCAGTCAACTCAGTGAGTTTTGCCTTGGGGTAGCTAGGGCTGTGAAAAACCGTCCAGGTGATGGACTGAAGTGAGATGCCGAGGGCGGCGCTGGTGGTTTCCTCTGGTGGCCAACTCAATACACGCTCCGGGCATTTAGTTGCCACACAGAGATTGCCGCTTTAGACCGTTTTTCTCCTGGTTTGCTAGCGTTTGAAGCGGCTTTCAATTCATGGTCGAAGCCGTGCAAAAGAGATGGTTTCCAAACATATTCACGGGCCGGACCCCCCGATATTAAAAGATGGCGCAGAAGGTAAATGTTGGTTGCAGAAACTGGGGGGCAGTGTTTGCAGGTCTGCCAGCTTTGGTTTCCTCGCAAAAGGGTGGCTTTTGGAGTACCTTTTTGGAGTGGCTCAGTCGTTTTTTCGCGAGTTTCCTGGTGGGTGATGTGGCTACGGGGGGAAATGTACGCGTCCCCGTTGAACGATCGATAGGCATGGCGATGCTTTCGCCAAGAGGGATCGTTTTGATTGCGATCGGACGGCTCTTTAGCCTTCTTTGGGGTAGGTGAGTCTTTTCCGGCAAAGAATTTGAGGTCCAGACCGAAGTTCAACCCTCAGACTCCCCCCCTCTGGTCCCAGATCAATTTTGGGCTCCCTCAACTCCAGGTATTGACTGGGTGTGGTTTTGATGCTCGGGAGCCTGCGCAGCTTGGTTTGAAGGGAAACCAACAGGCCAACTGCGTTGTTGTTGGGTCCAAATTCCTCTTTTGACACAACCAGAACTATAGGTGCTTAGGAATTTGCGGATTGGGGCAAGTGGGAAACCCCTTAACCACCAAACCACCAAACTAACCAAACCAAGCAGTTAGAGAAGGTGCAGAGAGCCGCTCCTTTCGTTGCCACTGTGGCTCCAAAGACTCGCCACCAACTCTTTGCTGCCAACTTTTTTGTGCTCCTCGAGCCCTGGCGCGATTGAAGATGGGCCTGGGGATGGAAGGTCTATCAGGGAACCCTAAATGGGCTTGAGGCTGAAAGTATACGTCCATCACCCTGGCGCTTTTTCTCAACCCTGGCGTTATTTGGATGTGGAAGCCCAAAACGTTTCGGCATGGAACACGGCCCTGTACTTCAAAGTATGTGTTCAATCTAACGCCCAGTTTCCCACAGAGTCTGCACCTCTTGCACCCCTAGTTTCTGGGCGAAGAAAAAAAGCCGTTGTTGCTTAGTGGAGATCTAAGCCCCCATGGACATGGGCCACGTGGGCCTATCATCCCTTTCGATTGTCCAATCCGCCTTTGGCCTGAGATGGAAGCTGATAGGAGGCTGTTTAAGGAACACTGCTGTCCTCTTGGGGTAGCCCAAAAATGTTAATTAACGAAGACATCAATATTCCTGGCCAAAAAATGAGCATGGGTAACTTTTCCCATTTGGTGGTGAAAGTCAAATCTTGTTGGGTGGCTTCCCTCATGGTCACCCCATGTATCACGGACCTTTTGATGAACCCCCACATGAACCTGGCTTCTCCAGCCGGGGCCGGGTTCTCCGCCGAGATCGTCAATTGCCTGCGAAAATGTTGGGTCATGACCCCACTGTTGAGGGAGTCTGGAGACTAGGCTCACGTTTGTCCCGGCTTTTGCTCTCTGAGCTCAGCCACTTCGCCGCCACTACTTCAATCCCCCCCCCCGTAGCAAAGGCTGAGCTTGGAGAATGGTCCCAAGCCAAGCCATCAAGCGCGGCCAGAAACAAAGCTTGTTGATTGAGATCTTCCCTTGACCCCCCTTATTTTATTCAATGCTTCAAGTCAAGCTTCCATTTGCTTAAGAATATTTGTTTTTCCCCTGTTGGTTTTAAAGGGAATTTATCACTGCTGGATTGATTTTTATTTTTTCCATTTGGCTTAACCATATGGAAGCAAGGGTCTCAGAAAAAACCAACAAAGCAAGGCTCCTCTGGCGATCCGAAAGGCCCGGAAGATCTCCTGATTTTGATGGCGCCGGAGCATCGACCCAGTCCAATTGGCTGTGGTCGTTAGACCGTTTTGGTTGATCCCATTTTGGTTGGTAGGTGAATTCAACACTCATTTTAGAGCCTCTTTTAGTGGGGATTGGGATGTTCACTGAGGGTACGGGGACCCATGGCCATTTTGTTGTTTCTTTCTGGGGGGTCAACTGGGGAATAAAAGCCGGCCAAGCGCATTGCCCATGTTGACATGGTCGCAGGCGTAGCTGGCCCCTGATTACTTGCCATGGCTCGATTTTTTTCCTCAGGATTTGTTCCAGGGTTTAAGAGGAACACAACATGGGCCGGGGACGTTTCAAAACGGGACTTCTTTGGGATGGTGTTCAAGAGAAGCTGCACTGTAAGATGCGATGATCATAACGAGCTCACCTGGGGCACATAGTAAAACCATCTGGTGAGCAAATACGGTATATAAATACGTGTCATGTATATATATATATATTTTTTGTATGCATATATATATATACTTATGTGTTTCTATAATGTATGTATATATATATATATATATATATATGTTTTATTGTAATGTATATATTTGTTGAGTGCTTTGCACAAGGGGGGTCAATGTCGTATCCAGCGAGCGATGCACACCGCTTGGGAGTGGCCATAGGATGACGCCGGAGATCCTGATCGAAGGCGTGGCCGGGGCCCCAGCTGAACCTCGAGCCATGCGTATCATAGAACCAGGAGACTCTACAGGAACAACTGTGGATGGACGAAATCATGCACCACCTAAGAAACCCTGGGATAATGATTGCCCTGCAAATACCAAGAAGCAATGGTTTCCCGTGGTTTCAAAAGCGGTGCAGGATTTTGCACATCCACAGTAGGTCCCCCAGTAGTGCCCTTTCTCACCCCTTTTTTGGGGGAGGGTTCCCCTACTAAAACAGACTACAGAAAAAAGGGTACCCTTATTCCAACCTCTCTACTGGAGGACCAGGGAGGTTAGCTGGTGTTTTGGGGGGGGGGATATTTTCTGCCAACTTCCTGCTGGTTTCTATGAATGAAAGTGAACAGTTGAGAGTTGAGGTAGTTGGATGCAGGTTTTTTGTAGTACAACATCGGAACATCAGGTTTTTTCATCAATTCTAATTCCCAACTTGTTCTCAGTTTATGTGGTGAAGTTTGGACGCCCCTTGTAAGAGGATTCCAACACCTTTCAGAGATTGTTTTCCACCCTACAAAGAGTTCCTTGCGACCTGGCCACGAGCAGAGACCCAAACAAGCCAGGGAACCAAAGTGTGTGGTTGGTTTGCTCCCTTTTGGAGTTGGTTAAAAAGAAAAACACTTTTTTCTTTTTCTCAGGGGGGGCATTGTGACATGTACCTCAAGAACCCTTAATTGATGGCTTGGATTGGCAGTTCTGTGATTTGGACCACAGGAGGTTGCTTTTGAAACCAAATGAAAGATGTACTCTTTAACAACCACCAATGACCAAACCACCAAAAACCACCCAGCACCCAACCACCAAAAACCAAACCACCGAAAACCAAACCACCAAGTAAGCACAAGGTGCCACCTAGGATTTCTGACCGCGCGCGTTTCCAGCCGCTCCGGCTTCGCTTCCCCAAACTGAGGCAATGCCCCACATGAAGCGCGCCGTCTCGCCGGTCTCCGCCGGGCTCTGAGCTTGTTCCCAGCCATCCGGTTCTCGTGATAGCTTTCCAGGCACCCTTCTAGGGGTTGATTCCTTGTCCATTCTTTTCAACCAGCGTTCTCTTCAAAAACCGGATCTTTTTCCCCAGGGTTTTGAAGTTTTTGAGAAAGAAGGATGCCAGGAAAGAATGGGGAAGGCACCCCTAGAACCCTTTCCCATTGTCTACAATGAGTCAGAACATCTAACCATCCAACTTTTTCTCAAAAGCCAACAGCTCCCCTCCCCTCTCCTCTCCCTCTCCCCTCTCTCCCCTCCCCCTCCCTCCTCTCTCCTCTCCCCCTCCCCTCTCCCCTCTCCCCTCCCCTCTCCCCTCTCCCCTCTCCCCTCTCTCTCCTCTCTCCCTCTCCCTCTCCCCTCTCCCCTCTCCCCTCTCCCTCTCCCCTCTCCCCTCTCCCCTCTCCCCTCCCCTCCCCTCCCCCCAACAACATTTCCATGCCAACACGCACGCGTTCGCAGGAGACACGCAATGGGCTTCCGGCAAAACAACTATGATGTGTGTGTGCCTCGTAAACAAACTAGAATTGCCCAACAAATCATGTTTACCTTCCAGCATTCCAAACCAAAATGGAATATTCAATCGTTTCTTGCATTGGAGACTTACTTGGCTTCTTTTCTCACTGGTTCAAACGCACCCCAAATCACGTTAAAACCATCCTAAACTCTGGCCCGCGTAAACACACCATCAACCCACCCCAACCCACGTTAAACCAAACTCCAAACCCACCCAAGCCCACTTTATACCCTGCCCACACTCACTCGACCCGCAGGGGGGCCACATGCTGGTTCTCCGTTGGGAGCGACCAATTTTACAAACGGCACCCTCCAGAAGAGGCACGTCAAATCGCGCTCGCTGTTGGGGAGAACACCCGCCCTTTTTCCGAGCCCTTGAAAACTCCCTGTCCTTCTTGGGTTTCATGGTTGTTGTTGGGACACATTTTCAATTTTTGCTTCTTGTGGTGTATCGGGGAAATCCCCGCCGAACTTGCCAAATCTTCAAAAATTCGCTCCCCTTCCAGCGTCAACCAAGTCTGTTGGTCTTCCCTGGGGTGATTTTTGGTCGCTGGAAGCACCCGGAGACTTCTTCTGCGTCGGCCGCGGACTTGCCGAGGAGCGAGTGTACAGCCCGGCAGCTTCTGTGGCATCCAAGACCACCAAAGTGGAAGTCGCCTGCACTGGCGAGAAGGCGGCATCTTGGCGCCGCCCCTCCGTTTCTTTTTTGGTTGGGAGGGCTCCCCTAGTAAAATTGACTGCAGAAAAAAAAGTTGGTACCCCTTTTCTAGCCTCTCTACTGGAGGACCTAGGGTAAGCTCAACATGTGGACCAGGGACTGGAGCTTCTTTTCCGACTTGGGCCAAGGTGTGCTATTCATTTACTGTCGGTCTGAGGAAGCCTCAAGCAGGGAGGGTTGGAACTAGCTCAAATACCATGCAGGCTGGTTGTTTGACGTAGCCCTTCCCCAGTGGCGTGCAATGACGTCAGGACTTGCTACGTCTTTGCCAAGGAAACCCCAATCCCCCGGACATACCTTGGCGGTTCCCAGCCTTACGGTTCTGTAGCTTTGTAGATGTTTGGGGTTTACAAGGATGCATGAGAAGCTCAACTTTTAGATGCAGGTCAAGGAACCACCAAGATACGTTGTCCAATCGGCTTTTTAACGGCTGTTTAACCATTGGCAGTTCGGTTGTTTGGTGCCTTAGTCCAGGTCCCTCACGGTGAAATTCCAATGCAGTTTTGGAGTTACATGGCCGAAGGCAACCATAGTCTCTTCTAGGTCCCCCAGTTGGCCCAGTAGTGCCCTTTTACCCCTTTTTTTGGTTGGGAGGGTTCCCCTACTAAAAAAGACTACAGAAAAAAAGGTACCCTTATTCTAACCTCTCTACTGGAGGACCTAGTATTGATCGGACCCTTCCGCAATTGGTTGTGGGAATTGCAGCCACTTCTGTGAGACCAAACGAACATTGGCCTTCCCGATGACAAAATTCGCTGTAGGAGGTGTTGAAAGGAGCTGCAGAAGGCGCAAACCAACCCAATTCCCACCACCCAAGACATAGTTTTCCTTGCTCGATTTTTTGGGAGACTTGTCTGGATTTTGGCCGGCCAACCATTTCTTGAGTGTTTGGAGGGCTGAGCAAAAGCTCGCAAGCATTGCTGTGGCCCCGTGCAGTCTCCAAGCGTACACGCTACATAGTCCCTATGTAGTTGGCAGCTATTTCGACCCCCTCTTGTTAGCACCCGCGAATGCAGCAACGGCATCTGTCCTCCGATTAGGATTTGTTGATGGAACAACACTCGAACATGACTGGACAGCGTCCCTTGAGTCTATACCGTTTTCGGTGCGCCTGCTGTTTGGGTGTTACGATCACCTGTTGGTTGCCAGTGTTGGTTGACTCGGGGCAATGTTGCAGGTTGGACATGCAAGAGTGCTTGAATGGGGACATATGAAAAGAAAAGCCTAGTCAAACCTATGGGCCTTGGCGACAAGTCTCTCAAGCGAGTCCTTAGGGGAAGTGCGCAACTGCTACTTTCTTCCCAAGGAAAGCCACATCGGATGCTTTCACCCCCCTCTTTGGCACGAGATAAGAAAGACTGGCCATTCTACTACCAAGGTAGCAGGGGCAGTGAAATTCAACCGGCGCTTGATGAAGATCGCGGGGCTTGGCCTCTTTGCGATCGTCTTCATCTTTGCCACTTGACCTTGGTAGGATGGTTTTACTACCGGTTTCCTTCGAGCGGGTCAGCCGGTTGACTTGTGCAGACTAGGTCGAAGTCGGGAGGAATCGCTAAGTAACGCAAACATGTACAAACATGGTGGGTGGACATGAATCCCGTATTTCTAACAAGAGATACCCGATCTTTCATTGAATTCCATATGATAAGATTGTTAAAAAAAAGGGTTGAGAGAGGATATCTTTTTGGGGTTGTTGATGGGTGAGCCACTCAAATAGAAATCCTACTTCTGGCATATGATGCCCAACTCACCAAATTGGACCAAATGCCCAAAAAGCTCCAAGGCTTATACAAGGGCTTGGCTTGAGTCATTTGTGGTCCCAACCTCCTGAGCCGGAGCCGGACCCACTTGTGTTTGACCTCTCGGAACATGGTGTCCAAGGGTGACGCATGGTTCGTTTCTTTATTTTGGTTTGGGGCCAACCTGATGTTGAACAGGAATGGTGATCTTGGCCGGTTGGCTTTTGGTTTGTTGGGCCACGGCCCCTGTGTTGAAATCCTGGCCGCTCGTCCGAGGCCGCGCGAGTCTCAAACAAATTGACGGCGAAGTCCTGGGGTTAGGGTTGGCGCTTTTGGGGCAGGTTGGGGTTTTAGGCCCCACAGAGATGCCGGGGATCTTCATACTCTCGGGCTTATTTTTGGGTTTGAGGCTTCCGTGACTCGATTAAGACCCTAGGAGAACCAAGACATACCAACCATGGTGCACCCCCCTTGGTAAGAGGAAACAATTGATGTTTGGGTGTGGGTCAAAAATAGGGGTCCAAAATGGAGCCCTAGCAAATGAACAGGTAGACCAAAACCTGCGCAACCCCGGCTTAATCTTGAGCCACACCCTTTCAGTCATTCAAAAGACCAAGCCTCAAAGCCTGCAGGTTCCTTTTGGATCAGCAAATCGGCGCAGCCAGAAGTTTGGGCGAGGTTTAGGTCCCCCAGTGGTGCCCTCTTGCCCTTTTTTGGGGGGAGGGCTCCCCTGCTGTACCCTTCTTCTAACCTCTCTACTGGAGGATCCAGTTTCTGTACGTTAAGACACCGACAGCTTCGAAGCACTGCAGCTCAGGCGCTTTGTGCTAAAAGAGAAAACGCCTCTCGTGACTCTGAGGGGACAGAAATCATCGCCTCCTGAATATGGGACTGGCATCTGATGGTATGGCAGGTACTCCCCTGCAGGTTGATGTTCGGTGCAGGAGACCAAACTAACCCAGAACACCCAAACTAACAATTGAACAGTCGTAGAGGAAGCTTCCTTTCAGATGGACCCCGCTTAATTGACGCCAAGTCTCCCAAAGATCAATGTATATCCTTGCAGGATTCGGACCCTGAATGACCGAGCCCGGGTGTGTGTTTTATATGGGATGCGCCTTTTGGAGTGGTTTTAAAGGGAAACCAAAAGGAAACCCACCAGATTTGGGCGACCCCTACTTTAAGACAGCAGCTATCCGTCATGTCCCAAACGGAAGCAAGAGGCAAGCGTTTTTTGGCCATGAGAACGGCAAGCTTCAGCACCCACCCGAGGCCTTTATCGGGTGGCCGAGCAGCGTCATCGACAATGACGACACGCACAGGTAGGGAGAATCTCCTTCATCTCCAGTTGAACATATTCCATGGCTGGACTCCTCACTCTTTTCAACTTTTCAATCATCTCGTTTTTTTTGGTTTTGGCGATTTTGTGAGAAGAAGGGGGCCTAAAATAAGAATGAGGACGTTACTACTTGAGATGGGACTTCAGCTGGTCTTGTTGTGACGGCATCCGATCTGAAGGTCATCAGAACGGCGACGTGCTACGGGCCCGACCGCTTATTATTGCCCCGACCAACAAACGGCTCTCAAATGAGACCCACTTGCGCAATTCGGCTTGTAATTGCGTGGTTTCGGAGCCCCTGATTGTCCGATGTTTGATTTGCCAAAGGGGGGCTTGGGGAATGTACCCAAACGCCGCTCAAGTCCTTGAGTGTTCTGTACGTACTCTTCTTTGGCCTTTTGGATTCCTGACAAGGGTCAAGTGGCATTTGCTACGGAGATATAGGATTCTGGGGCTCCTTGCAAATACACCATATTGCGCACATACACATTTGTTGTTGTTGAGTGTCCTTAGAGTGACACATGAATATGTATATATATACACCGCTTTTTAGAAGGCCAAGCAAAGCACACCAGCATTCACCTGGAGTCAAAAGTAAACCACCAGGATAGGACCACTGGTTTTAGTCCTTGTTCCCATTTGCTTTTGGGCCTCCCGTGACCCCAACCATCCCTGTGGGCTAATCCAAGCGCAAACCACCGGGACCGTTTTTAAAGCGCCCCAAACTGTCCAGGGTCTATTCGCAACGCAGTATGTGCGATTGCCGTGATCAAATGCGTCCACGGACTTCTTGTGCACCCATGGCTACAGACCTCATTGGCGGCTTTTTGTTTAATCAAGCTACAAGTCAATTCACCGGCAACTCACCGATGAACTCGCTTGGTTTCATAAAGGTTCATACCACACGAGCTTGGCTCGGCTTGCGCATGTGACTTCCAGGTCCCGTGCAATTTGTATCCCAGTGCCCTTTTACCCTTTGGGGGATGGTTCCCCTACTAAAATAATACAGAAAAAAGGGTACCCTTTTTCTAACCTCTCCACCGGAGGACCTAGTTGGGTATCTTCCACGTTTTCTAGGAAGTGGGAGATGGGGGGGAAGGCCTTCACAATACTTTCACTTTCGTTGGCTTGGTGCTTGCCCTATGAAGCTCAACCCGTTGGGGGCATAGTTCTTTTTGGTTGGTTTGGTTGAAAAATAGAGGGCCCTGGTTTACCTGGTGGTTCCCTCATCTGCCAGGGCCGTCTATTTGGCAAAAAGGACACCTATGGTTGGGGGGGCGCTGCGGCGTCTTTGGCTCGTCTCCAAACCAGACATAGCAGTGTTGCCCAGTGTCCATTTCACCATAACATACCCGCCTGGGTGTGTCCTTTGAGGGAACCCTTCCGAGGCCGTTCCCAGAAAAGGCCAACTGTACAACAGACACTTGTTTTTGGGTGGTTCAAGATGTCTCAGGTAGGACTTTCTGACAACAAGGAGGCTTTTTATCCCACCTCATTCAATGGCGCTTCCCTTTTTCAGGTTTCCGGTCGAAGTGCACTTTGGGGGGGAACAGTCCCAACCTGGCATGTTTGATGTAGAGACAACCTCAGATGGACTGCTTGTTCGGCAGGAAAATCCTTGCAGCAGTTTTCCTGACCGGCATTTCGCTGGTGGCGTTGGAGGATGTGATCAGACTGGACAAGTCAGCCATCATGCTGGCCGCTTTGGCGGCAAACATGGGGTTTGCACGTGTGTGACCACGGCGCATTTGTGTGTGTGTGTGTGGGTGTGTGGGTGTGGGGTGTGCGTATGCGTGTGCGTGTGCGTGTGCGTGTGCGTGTGCGAGTGCGAGTGCGTGTGCGTGTGCGTGTGCGTGTGCGTGTGCGTGTGCGTGTGCGTGTGCGAGTGCGTGTGCGTGTGCGTGTGCGTGTGGGTGTGGGTGTGTGTGTGTGTGTGTGTGTGTGTGTGTGTTTGCTTGTTGTTTTTACACCTCTGGGATGGTTTGAAGAGGAAACCAAAAGGACAGCCACAATTTGACACCCACACACACACACCCACAGACACACACAAGCGCACACACACACACACACACCCATGTGAACAACTGACAGATTTGCTGGTGCTAAGCAAAACCTTGTATGTGCCCCTTACATGAGCAACTGACAAAAACACGCGGAGGATATGGTGGCCCACCCAAATTTCTCAAAGAATTGAACAGGGGGCCCGGCCGATGTTCCCGTGTCCTCTTCGGCCCTTGGGAACATCAGTTGATGAAGACATGAGAGCCCGCCTCATTTACCCACGCCCTGCACCGAATTGTTGATGCCCTCGGCCCCGAGCTACGAATGTTTTGACCTGGGGCGTGCAACCACAATGCAGGTGGCTGTGAAACAGCATTGGTCGGATGCGCGGAAGGCTGGCTGGAGATCCCGAAGACCCCGACTCCGAAAAGGATCCTGCAGTCTGGTCGGCTTGGGTCGTTGGGTTTACGCTTGGTGTAGGGTTTAGAGGTAGGCTTGGGTTTCGCTTCGGGCTGGGTTGGTTTAGGGGCAGTTCGCGCGAAGGTCTTGGCATCTGTGATGTGGACCTACCACGCTGCTGGTCTGCAAAGGGCTGAAGGATGCCGGCAGGCAGCTGCCGCTTTTTGTATTATGTTTGTGTATTTTTTTGTTTTACAAGCATACTGAGGAGATAATGTGTTTTCGTTTTGTGTTTTTTCCCCGAGGCTTTATTTTCAATATTTTGCCTGATGTGGTGTTGCTTGCTCTGAGTTGCACATGTCAGCACGGCCCAGCACCTTGTTTGGCCATGGTTGATTCTACTACCTGTGAGAAGGCCTACAACACTTTGTAATTTATGGTGAAGAACCATGTTGGCGAATCCCAGTGCCAGCGGGTCAAAAGGCGTTGCTCACATTTCAGCATCGCCAAGCGCTTGCCTTTTGACATCTTTTGACCCCGTTTGAGCGTTTGAAGCAAACGTATGACACGCAATGCTTTCCGATGTTGCGCGTGGTGTTGATAACTGTGTCGTCCCTGATTTGGTGAAAAACCTGGTGAACACCGTGCAAAAACTTGGGTCCCCCATCAAAAGATACCCTCAGGGTATTTATTTATCACTTTCAGTTTTGAAGCTGCACTCGATAGACTCCATGGGGCGATCCGCCAAGATATGGCTGCTGAATTCAGCTCTTGGTGTCAAGTTGAGTCGCAGGGAGTGAATCCCGAACGATGCCCCGAACAATGCCCAGATGCGTCGAACAATACCAGTTGGTTGCTAATCCAGGTATATATATGCTCATTTCGTTGCCAGTGAATGCTTGAAAATTCTCGTCATCCGCCTTTCGTTGGCTCGCGTTCGGTGCCAGCCCCGAAAGTGCCCGACAGGCGAATTGCTACCCTTTTTGCATTTGGGAGGGGCATGAGAGACTCTCTCCTGTTTCTTGTTCTCACCAGGAGGCTCTCTAAATTTCTCAGTAGGGCAACGGCAAAGTTTGACCGTGGCTCATGTGACCACACCCAAAGAAAAGCAACTTGTCTCTAACCCAGTTGTAGGCAAGCCACTACAGTACGTAACCAAGCTGATCATAATATATACCCTCACTCCCACTAGCATAGCGCCTCTAAGAGGAAACATATCTTCCAGATACCCTCCCACAAATGCTATTTACGGGGAGGACCGGTAACCATTCAACAAACTAAAGAGCATCCAACTGATTGCCTCTTCTAGTGGCTTGCAACGAGGCAAGGAGCCGTGGCTTTCGACCGTGTTTCAGAATATATATAACCGAGACCCCAGGCTGCTGGCTATCATCCCACCTTGTCCATGGAGGCAGGATTTCGATCGCACGTCACCAGACGGCTTGAAGGGATAGACCTGCGCAAGCATTTGCGAGGTTGGTTGTGTTGAGGTTCTTTCCTCCTTGGTTCGGGAAACCAAAAGTGTGGAACATTGTTGTCAGGGAATCCCACTTTCTGCAATACCAAGAGAGTCAGGGTATTTGAGGGTGTCTTGAAATCAGGGGACTCTCAAACTGATTGGTCTCCTTTTGAATTGCCCATTGATATCTTCCCGTTTCCCAGGTCACTTGCTCGCCTGCAGATTGAGATGGGGTACGCAGACTTGCACGACTTTCTCACCAGATTGAGATATGCAGATTTAGGGGTACCTACGATTGCCGGAAAACCCAGTGGAAAACTCAGATATGCGGACTTGCCGGTGAAAAACCCAGGGGTACGTGTCTGGGCACGTGGTTTCTCCTTTTGCCCTGGATCCTGGCCACCTCAGGGTCATCACGAGCTACAGGAGGAGCTGTCGCCGCCGGGCGATGAGTACCGGGATTCCGTGGGATTCGACAAAGTACCCGGGAGAACCCGCGGTTAGCCATGATAGCCATGATAAAAGTCATTTACTTGGGATCCCTTAGTTCAGCTCTTGGAGTTATAGTAAATGTTGCAGATACATGGGCAAAGTATGTCGTGATCACAAGAACATGCGTGTGATTGCGTGGCGCCTTGCATTCTTTTCTTTGAACTGGGGGTTACCAACCTGCGAGCGGGAGGTTTGGGGCGCATAGTAATACTATTGGTTGGCGTAGTGGTCGATGAGGTTCCAAGCGCAGCCAGCGCGTCCAGTTGCGGCCACGGTCATCCGCTATTTACAGGCTAAAGGAAAACGCTCTGGTTGCATATATGAGCTAGAGAAATAACTACCTACAATTTTCTAGGGTAACGTTGATCGTGGCTCCACGCGAAACCAGGGTTAATGTTTACTCCGTCACTGCTGGACAAACACTTACAAGCTGCCGAAAATGGCATGAACACCCTGTGTTGCTTGGGTTGGGGGACAACCAACCACGGTGTTAGTTTCGCGTCGGGTTTTTCAACCAACGAACTGCATGTGAGAGCTCGAATCGGTGGGAACTGTTACACAGCGCTTTCGTTTTTTGTGTCGGGGTGGGCCTCCAGGTACGAACTTGGTCACCGCGCTCGCTTCTTCCTAGCGACCGGAGAAACGTTTTTCTCGGGCGGCGAGTGTCGAAGCCCAGGAAGGGCCTGGCGGATGTGGGCAGCGTCATCTTGTTCCTTCTGCCCGCCATGGCGATCGTCGAATCCATCGACTCCCGGTGGGTCGGTCATTGCGGGGTATCGAATCCATTGCTTCCCGGTGGGTTATGACAATGGATATGGGTCAAAAGTCAAGCGAGGATATGGACCGCAGGGTTTAGCAAACTTTTACCATGTACCAGGCAACCCATGTTGGGGTTATCCTATTTTTGACCCACAGCCTAAATGGCAATCTATGTTTGCTGGTTCGCTAGGGAATGAGTTGGAATGATCCCACGGATCCATGCTGGAGGTTTCCTGCAAGGTCCCAAACAGTTCATTCCCAACACTCACCTTGAAGAGTTTGCATGGGTTTGGGGCAAGGTATCAATGATGGTTTCGGGCTCACAAAAGCTTCGCATTGACCAACTAGGTCCCCCAGTAGTGCCCTTTTACCCTTTTCTGGGGGAGGTTTTAGACAACAGGAAAAAGTGTACCCTTATTCTAACCTCTCTACTGGAAGACCTAGCCAACCTATTGTAGTTTATGATTGCTTGGGAGGATGTGTGGGTCCACCCGAATCCTCTCGCAAAATGAGGTGGAGACCGGGCCCTGCGGGAGCGTTCGTAGTTTGGTGGCTCACCATGACTATTCTCTCCCTTTCAAAGGTAGCTCCCAGCCATAGCCTTGGACTCGACTTGATTTAGTTTGTTGAAAGGGAATGGATGTCGCACAGGGGGAGGGCATTCCACGACACGCGTTTTGTCCCAGCGATTGGTTTTCAGCACATTGTACTAACCACGACAAAGACAAGCGTTTTGTTAAAGGGAATGGATGTCATATCCCACTGCAAGCTTCACTTTCAGCAAGGGATCACGGAACTACCAAGTCAAATTTCTGGGGTTTCCGGCTGTGCGAAAGGTGGCTTTGTTTTGCTTCATTCCGAGGATCACATGGACGGCTTTGCCGTGGTGACCGCTTTCATTGTGCGGCACACCAGGGAGAAGGCGCGGCTAGATGGAGAGAGATGGCCCAGAATGCGGGTTGTCACTATCAATCCTCAATTAATCCTTAGTGGTGGGGACTTCCCTTGCAGTGTCCCACTGCGGATTTTGGAGGATCAAGGATCCGCTAGTTTGTACCCCGGAAACCAGGCAGGGTTGGGTGAAATTGGTTGAACAGCCAGACCCTGAGTTCCTAGGCAAAAAAGAAAAACACCAAGCGAAGCGTGTTCAACCCCGTCTCCATCGCCCTGGTGTTCGTAGCTTCACTCAGCACGGCTTATGCCATGAGCTTGGCTCAGGCGGATCGGCTCATGCCCATGATTTGCTTCCTAGCCTTCTTCCTGAGCCGCTTCGGCTGCACCGGTTTTCGTTTTTTTTCTTTTTTTGTCGTTTCGGGTCGTCAGATCTGTTCTCATGGTCCGGAACTGAACATTTCCAGACGAGTGAGTGAGCATTTGGTGCATCTTGGGCATCTCAACACGAAAAGGCTGAAGGTCTACAATATTCCCTCCAGCAATGCACACATCTATTGTCAATTGTTAGTGGTACAAGTCTTGCCCCAGTGACAATCGAAGAAACACGCCGGGAGCGAGGAAGGAAAGGATGAGGGAAGCTTTGGAGAGCACCCAAGAGCACTTGGACATAACCTGCCAGCCATCACCCGAATCTGCCCCTGTAACACTCAATGCCCAAGGCAAGGCACTTTGCGCCCGAACCTGAGGTGCTGTCATCGACAATCTGACAGCTACAATTGTTTGCATCAAGATTCTGCAGAGAGTAGTCCCCCACAAGCAGGACCGGGGGTGGATGGGTTGGTTCGCTCAGGGCTGGAAGAAGGCGGTTTAAGGTGAGATAGAAGCTTGCAGTTGCAAAGATCACTACGCTTTTGAGCAAACCACGTGTGCTTATTTTTACAACACTATGAATAATGGAATCCCAGAATCAAAATCCCAAAAAGGAACCTAGACCTTGCCGAAGCCCTCTTACCCCTGGCCCGCCACCCACGTTGCCATGGAACTGACCAGAAGGCCCCTCTTCCGAACGGCCCAGAGGCCTCCTTTCGTCAGGTTGCACGTCGGTGGGAGGGCAGGCGGCCTTTGAGGGCCATTGACAATGAGAATAAACAACCAGACAGCAGACAAGCTTGTCAAGACGTGGATCGGTGCGCAAATTAGGGACCTCTCCAAAGTGCCTGGTGTAGTATTCGCAAGCTTGCGCAGTTGGCTCAAGGAATCTCCGAGGTGCAACGATGTCCACCGCGACTTGGGACTGCTACAAGGAGTACAAGCGATTTAACAGGTACGCGGCTCTAACCACTCGAAGGTGCGCAAAGAGCCTTGAGGTACTGCCTCGTGCTTTCACTTGGCAGGCAGACCCAAATGACAGCCCGGGCGTTGGAAGGTGTCGGGGCTTGGCCCTGCGCAGGTCGCGCGTTGTGTTGGACCTGCAAGCCTCGCAACGGGCCACAACCCACTGCGCATCCAGGGCGATCCTTCAGCATGCAAGCAAGGCCTGGAGGGGGGGATCTCGGCTGCGATGCGAAAGCTCCTCATGAGTGGCCTTGAGCAAGGCAAGCTTCTTGTTTGGAGGGATTCCCGACCTGTCTGCTTGCAGCCTCCGATGATCCCACGAAGGCGTGCCCCTGATGCCACGCATGGCCTGGAAGGACCGCAGATTTCTGATGGCAGGGCCAGCGGAGGAGCTTCCAGCGCTCTGCGCGGGCTTTGTCTGCAAGCGGCCAAGTGTTGCCCTCGCCCTTGTCAACTTTGTTTTGGCGAGACACGCTGCTGCGGTACTCCGCGAAAGCTGTGCAGGCCTTCTGGAGGGCTATTCCACTGCTCCCAAGCTTGCGCGGAGCCTGCCACTGTGTCTTGGAAAAATCCGCCTTGGGCTTGTCGCAGATGATTGCGCCGCAGCCGCTTGCGGCAACACCCTGGCCCCAGCAGCGTCCACGCAGAGCTTGGGGCTGGGCACAAGCTGCAGAAAGAACGCTTCGTCCATGTCTTGCAAGTAGGAGTGCGACAAGGCCTGGGTTGCCCTTGCCTGGCTTGACGTTAACTGAGCCCGGCAAGCGCCCAACTTGCGTGACCTTGGCTGAGGCCATGTCAGCCCCCAAGGCGCGGGACAAGTCTTTTGCGACTTGCAGAGCAGACTTGTCCGTCAAGTGCTCTCCCAACGTCAGCCAGAGCTGCAAGTTCCCTGCGGGGAAGTCTCAGTGGCCAAGTTCGGTCGGACAAAGAGGTGCACATTGGACATCTGAAGCCACGTTGGCAAGCTCTGATGGATCAGGTGTGGGCTTGCCTGCGGTCTGGAAAGGACTGCTTGCTTTTCCGCCGTCAGGATCAGGATGTTGAAGGACTCCGCATCTGGAAAGGCCCGGAAGAAGGCCAAGGCGGCAGCCAAGCCAGGTCCTGGCATTGGGTTGCTGTGGCCAGCGACGGGCTAATGTTACTAGATGAGCTGTCGTGCGTGCTGTGTCAAGCTGTTCTGGTATATATAGCGCTGTTGCCGGAAAGTTTGTTGAACATTTCTTAAAACATGCTGCTGGACCTTGACTGGCTTAAGTGAAGGCCGAGCACATGCAGCGTGTTGAAAAGCGTCGAAGCAACCTTTTTTTGTGGTTTCTGATTTGAAACCCACCTTAAAAGGGGCCCACCATTGTGAGAAATCAACCATTCGCATTCAACCCAGGAAACACCACCCCCACAACCACAGGGGGAGGGGGATGGGGGGGGGAGAAGGGGGGGGCTGCAGGTCTGGAGCATATATGTCTAGGTCATTCAGTAGTGACCGTTTACGTTTTTTTTGGGGAGGGTTCCCCTACAACAATGGACTGCAAGAAGAAAGTTGGTACCCTTCTTCCAACCTCTCTGCTGGAGGACCTTGATTCGTTTCTAACAAAGCGAGATAATAGTTTATACATATATAGCTGAAAACTCTCCAAAAACTGTGCCTCACCCGCGAGGATTGGCGGCACTCCTGCGGAGGTCTTGCAGTTGTCGCCGCCAATGCTGGAGGAGGGTCCCAGGGAGGAGTTAGGTCTATGCCTTCGCGCGTCTGTGCACGCCCCATATCCAGCTGTAGCCTATTAATTACCTAATTTTAGATGTGATGGCCCCAGGCTAATTTACAAATTTCACAAACATAGAAAGGCGAGAAGCGGACCAGCAGGGCTAAAAAAGGACGGGGAAGAGGCCCTCATTCCTGATCTTCCTGTATCCCTGCCAATTGGCTTTTGCTATTTGAGTAGTCACCGAGGCTGCAACCGCAAATCAATCCTTTGATCTGCTCTGAGCTTGTGATTCCCCTGTTTGTAACAATTTTGATTCCGTTGGGCCACTGTTTCAACTAATCATGTCTTGTTTGGCGATGTCTCTCCATTTTTGGCAACCGCTTTGGCCTGTTGGTATGCCATGTGTGCTGTGGCACACTCGTTTATCCTTTTGCTTGCTCAGTTTTTTTTTGCGATGATTTTGCAGGACGCTTCTCTGCAACAATCACAGAAATGGTTTCCGAGCAAGGTTTTGCTTTTGAGACTCCCTGGGAAAATCAAGGGACCCCCTAAACCATGCCCACAGACAACCCCTCTTGCAGGGGGTCAAACCAAATTTCCTCAAGCGGGTCAAGCGGTCAAATGGCCATCCCTGGGAAAAGGTCCTTGCAGAAGCCGGTGGCTTTTTCGGTTTCTTTGGGCCACAGGCGTCAGAAGGTCCTACTTGACCTGGGATGTGGTGAAGGTCAGATGCCTCCAGGATGGGGAGTTCTCGTGAAGTCTTCAATCGGTTTGCTGTCTTTGTTTAGTGGTGGCAACCACCAGAAATTCAGGAGGGCATTAGATCCTCACGGCCGAGGGCCGCCCCACCCCCCTTACCCGCAATGTTGTGGATAGCAAGTAGCCCAGATATGGGTTGTGTTTCAACCAGAAAAAACAACACAAGGACACAGAAAGCAAAAACCAACTGCACATAGGTTGGTCTCCAAACAGGGCAACTCCCCCAAAGAAAGGCTTCGATGTCATTTGGGCGTTTCCCAAGGAAAAAGGGGGTTGAACGCTGAACGCTGACGGGGCTTTTTCTCGGGGCGCCGTCAAGAAGTCCCAAGAGGCGCTTGGAGCCCCATCGGTGACGTCACCACCACCATGCTGTGGATCCGCCACAAGATCTCCACAGCAGGCGGGCTCCTTCGAACCGGTGCGTTTCTTCGAAACGGCGGAGAGCGGCACTAGGTCCCCCAGCAATTGGTGCCCTTTCTCACCCCGTTTTTGGTTGGGAGGGTTCCCCTACTAAAGTTAGACTACAGGAAAGCCCTTATTCCAACCTCTCTACTGGAGGACCTAGGGTATTTCAGCTTCCCTCCAGCTGGTTGGTTTGGTGGTGTAGGAGGGGTTACCCATTTACTTGCGGGAACCAGGGGTTCAAATCCCCATTTTGGATTGGTTTGGTGGTTTCGGAGGGGTGCACCTATCCCAAATTGGGATCCCATTGGTTTTGAACCATGGCCATTTTGGCTTGTCCGGCGATCGCCTTAGATTTCCGGCTCCTAAAAGCGCAATTGAGACTCAAGCGGCCAACTGGAACGTGCTAAGTTGCCCAAAAGGCGTGAATGCCCTACGTTGGGAAACCAACAGGGGATTGGGTGCTTGTCTTCTCTGTTGGCACCCAAAAGGTGAAATTGCAGAGCATGGTTTGGTACCAACATGGCACCTTGGTAAATGGAACCAAAGTATAAAACCTGCGTAACCCTAGCTCCTTGATTTGAGCCATACCCAATTCTCCTAACCCGGTTCCCAGTCCCTCCACGTATATAGTAGGTAAGCAAGGGCAGCCACCATACAACGAAAGCTAGAGTGGACACCTCTTCCCTGAGTTCCTAGAATTTTGGTTCTTTAACGGAAGACCGTTTTGTTGGACTTGGCAACGAAGTTGGACCTGCGGCCAATCCAAGCGGAAGTCAGAGACGTTGTATCTGAGTGATCCAGCGTCTTTCTGTCGCATCCTGCAAAACTTCTGTTATACTTCACTGTTCTTGGCATATCTGTTTGTTGTTTAGTTTTTGTGGTTCTGTTCGTTTTTACCGGGGGGCTGCAAAAAGACCAGTTGTTTGCTACCTTACCAAGAGTAGAGATGTATATTTTAGGATAAATGAAAAGCCAACCAGCTCCGCCGAGACCACAAAGCTCGGGAAACTGGGACACCTTTATCGAGCCGGTGGGGTTCCCCTCCGAGCTCCAAACCACAAATCATCAGGTATCCCTTTGGTGGTTTGGATTGGTGGTTTGGGAATATGAACCCCTATTTTTTGGTTCTTGCAGGTAAATGGGAAACCGCCACCAAACCACCAAGCTCCAAACCAACTAGGGGGACGCTAAAATCAGGAAGCTGCTCACACGGGTGTCCTAATCAGGTGAGTTTTGATATAGATTGCGCTGGTTGAGATTTGCTTTCTGCCTAGCAGCTTTCTGACTAATCAGCTTCCCCCCCTAAGTGGTTTCCAACTGGAAAATGAGGCAGACAACAAATCAATCCGGTACGAATCTAAATCGTGCCTAAGGGAATTCAGCCAGCTTTCTGATTGGTGGAGCTGGGAGCTTGGTGGGAAACCCCGCTTAGCCTGAAATTCTGACATGATGTTAGAGACCCCAGCGCCTATGCTCACAACATCCTGATTGGAAAGGCATGTTTGGGAATAATAGATGGCTTTCTACCTTTTTTTGGGGCAGGGTTCCCCTACTAAAATAGACAACCCGAAAAAGTTGGTAACCTTATTCTAACCTCTCAAATCTGGAGGACCTAGAAGCAGCTGATTGGTCAGACAGCTCTGAGCGGAGTTTTTCCCTGAGGCACCGTGACCTGGCTCTTCCTGCCCTCCTTCGTGGCGGCGGTGCTGCCGTTGTTCGGCATTTGGTGGCAGGCCAAGCGCTGCGGCCCGCAGCACGAGAGGGAGGCGGAGCAGCCCGGAACCCCAGGAAGAAGAGCGAACAAACTCAGGGGGGGGATGGAAAGGAGGGGTTCCGAACCTTCCAGTTGCTGAAATGAATAATTACTTTTGTCATTTCCCCCTGTTGGTTTTTAAGGGAATCGATTTCACTACGTGAAATGTTGTTTATTTGCAGGGGTCTTAACCAAATGGAAGGAACGCCTTTTTGTTTTGTGCAAGAGCTAGGCCGGCTTCTCAGGTTCCGAAAGAAAAAGAACCCCCACAAGCACCTGGAGGAAAGCGTCCGTTTGCCGAAATGACGAGTTTGGTTTTAATTCACCCAGGTTTTTAGGCCAGCTATCTCTGCTGGACATAGGTTTTGCCATCTGTTTCAAGGGACGTAACAATAGCAACTAGAAGAACAGATAGGGGTGTCCTAGGTTCCAAAAGAACAGGTTCGAAAAGCACTCGAAAAAGCAGTCACTGCTGTGTTTTCTGCATGGCTCCCCCAAACTGGGTACATGCTCAGATCTTTTGGGAGTTGGAGAAACTAATGGCCCCCCAAGGTGTAGGATTGCTTCCCTTTACATAAACTAGATCCCCCAGCTAGGTGCCCTTTCTCACCCCTTTTTTGGTTGGGAGGGTTCCCCTACTAGAATAGACTACAGAAAAAAAGGGTACCCTTATTCTAACCTCTCTACTGCAGGACCTAGTAAAAGAAGCTTCCTGGTTGAATCATCACGCTTTGCGACTTATTTAAAGGTGCGTTTCCTTTTGGCGGGCTGATGTTTCAAAGAGGAAACATAGGGAACCCTGAATCAAGAGTTAGCGTGTTCTTGTTGTTGTGGTCCCTTTCAAGCCACCAAACAAAAGGGGACACAATCAAAGACGGAAGCACCCCCAGATCAATCGGGACCACCCCCAATTTTGTAGGTTTTAATGGAGAACCAACGCAAGCAACAAAGGGGCCCCAGTTCCTTTTCTCCCAATTTCCGTGCCGAGGCCCCGTAGATTGGAACCTTGGGGCACCTCCGGGGGGTTCCTGGGGTCGGGAGCCAGAGACGTCTTGCACGTGACACCGTCATAGAAGCACCCATAATTCATCCATTCAGCTCGTGCTTCCTTTCATTGATCTTGCTTTGTTCTTGTTTCCTTAGTTTCAGCTTGATTTTTCCGTTCATCTTGATTTATCTCTTGAGATATGGCCATGGGTCAAAATCCCGTACTTGCAGTGATCATCCCAATCCCCACTAAAATAAGTTCTAAAATGGGTGGTGCCCCTCCCAAGATGGTACCATTAGTTTTGATTTTTCGTGGTTGTTTTGTATTTTAACCACTTGCAGGGCCTTTTTCCCGCCCTCGACGAGACCAACGCCACAGGAAGGCGAGCGCGCCGATGGCGGCCTCTCGGGAGAGCATCACCTCGCTGATCGTGGGCGCGGCGCTGAGACGCTGAGATTCGGAAGTTCGGTGTCCATTGAAGGCCCCTCCCTAGGGTTCAACTTTGTTTTTGAACGGCCCCCATTTTGTTTTTTGAACCGCCGCTAGGAGGAGCTCCTGTGCCAAGTCAACCCCCATTGAAAGAATGGTTGACCCACTTTGGAGGATGACAGTCCTTAGTTAGGTAAACACTGGTGGGTAATGTGAACCCCGGATCTAAGTGGAACCCCTTGTTGATGAATGGGGGCTGGGGTAGACTTAGGATGCATTTTACATTTTACCAGTGACTCCATGTGAAGCAAACAACAACATATTCATTCTATAACTGGGCGCGGCGCTGAGATTCGGAATTCGGGTGTCCATTGAAAGCCCCTCAAGGATTCAACCCTCATGAAACGGGTACCCTAGAGTATCTTCCAGGTACCCTCCCAGAACTGTGTCATGTTCGTGGGAAGGGTCATTGGTGGTTTGGAGTGGTTAGCTGGGCCCTAGGGTTCAACACCCATAAGAATGGCAAGGACCCAATTTGGAGATCCTTAAACACTGGTGGTTCATGTCAACCCCGGATCTAAGTAGAACCCCTGGTTGATTTTGATTGGGGGGAGACTCCCTTTTAGGGGGGATTCAGATCACTTTTGGAGGGAACACCCCCCTAAGAATGGGACGGGTTTATTAATCCTGGGTCAACATTACGACTGAGCCAACCTTGAGATGTCGAGCTCTTGTCGCCGACGCATTTCCTTCTCTAGGTCCTTCAGCTAGGTGCCCTTTCTCATCCCTTTTTTGGGGGAGGGGTCCCCTACTAAAATAGACTACAGAAAAAAGGGTACCCTGATTCTAACTTTGTTACTCGAGGACCTAGGTGCAGTTCGGAGAGACGTGCTACATTGCCTGTAGAGCGCGAAGTCCCAAATCCAATCGAGGGGTTGATGTTGTACTCAGATCTCTGATAGTCAGCTCACCGATTCGGGGGTACGAGCGAAAGCCATGACAAAGGTCCTTTACTTGGGGATCCCTTAATTCACCTTTTGGAATGATTTGTAAATGTGCGTTACTTACCCCAACAAAGCAAAGGGCGCCAAGCCACTTTTGAGGTCCTTTGTCTTGAATGATGGTTTACTCAAGGGGGTCACCCAGCCAATAAGTAGCCATAGGCCGCACAAGCAAGTGGTCCATCGACGTCTGCAAGTTCCCTCAGAGAATTTCGGAGAGGATGATTCGACCCCCGATCACTCCTCCCCTTTTTCGCGGGGGTGGGGAGCATTTTTGGACCCGTTGGGGAGGTGGGATTGGAGTCCTATGTGTTGCCGGCATGTGTTCGTTTCACTCTCCGACTGCGCCAGCACGCCAGGTATGTGCTGCATTCTGACTGTGCCGGTGGTGAAGATGGTGACAGGCTGGGAAAATTGCCATCCATTCTCCAAGTTCACGACTGCCATCTCTTGCCATCTCTTGCCAAACGGAGGAAACTGTGTGTTGGTAAGTGTCTTCATTGTTCTAGCTTTAACAAGGTGGGTGCAACATGGCCTTTTTCTGGCCAACCAGTCACGAAAGACTAGCTGGAGTTGTTCTACCTAATTAAGCTTTGCTTAGCAATTAGGGGGTGTGGGGGGGTCCAAAATTTTCACTTTAGGCCAGTCAACTCAGTATCTGCAACGTGTGCTATGTCGGCCGTTTGGAGCGCGGGATTTCCTAGGAACCGCTGAAAATTTTGAGGTGTACCGGACGATGAACGCATGTACACGATATGATATGAGCAACACCCTTTGTTGGAGTTCAAAAGGTGAAGACCTTCTTCACCTGAAGGAGACGTTCTTCACCTTTGGCCGTGACTCCAAGCATTCATACCCCGAATGCTTGCCACCCGTTTAGCCCTTCTGTGAGCTGAACAACTCTCGGACCTTTGAACGCGTTAGAATGTCCAAGACACCTCAGGAATTTAGCCCAGTCTCTTTTTCCGAGTCTCATACCGAACAAGCAGCAGTCAGATGAAGCTCTTGGCATCTTACCTGAAAGATCGAGCGGTCCCAGGCCCGTGGATCCCTATAAGAGAGCTACCTGTTGAGGCCCAAGTTAGATTTGGTGTCCTCTTGACCAGGGTCATTGCTTTGAATTGGTACGCCTCAATTGGTTGGATTGGTGATTCGGGGATTTGAAATGGAGAAGATACCTGAGGTCCAAAACGCCAAACCAAACCACCAATTAGAAGGAAGCTGATGTTTGGTACTCTCGAAACAAGCAATGAGAGTCACTGAGAGTGAAAGACAAGAGCGGTTCTGGGCGAGGGCCGCCAACAGAAAGTGGTCTCTGGAGTTTTCGGGGTCAAGCGTGCATGCCGAGTTCTAATTGGAGACTCTTTTGTTCGACCTTCAGGTTTGCCGCCATATCTGGGCATGATGATGGCCCTCGGCATCTTCTGGCTGATTTCCGAGATCACCGGCCTAGGCGTGAGGGTTAACCACTTGGGTTCTACCCCAACTAATAGAGCACCTCAGCTTCTCACTGGAATTGAGAACTGGCCAAACAATCCGAGTTGTTCTTTGTCCCGAGTGCTCAGGCTTGAAGCCGGGCTTGTCATGAAAGCAAGGATGGGGCTAACTTCCAGCGATTTGTAGGCAGCATTCTTACCCGGAAGACTCATAAGTGGGTTATAACCTAGGTTACCAGGATTTGGTTGCTTTGTAGGGCTTGTCCTGATGAAGAGAGATCCAGCTTGGAGTTAGGAATGAACGGTTAACTCTCTACCTGGCATTCCACGTCTGGCAAACAAATAATCTGGAGATTCCAGGGATAGCAACTTTCCTTCTTGTCCGGGCACTAAATCCAATAATAGAACAAAGTAAGATGAGACATGAACAAGTGTGTAAGATGTAAGGAGATTCTGGATGTGAGAGCTACAGAAGCGATGATAAGGTTTGATTGACTTTCTTCTTTCTTACCATTCTTTTCATTCACATTCCTCACCTTTGTAGCGCTTGGAAGCTAATTATCATGTTAACAGTCATCCTATTCCTTACCCTTCTTTCATCTGGTATAGCGGCATGACCAGTATGAAACTGTCCTGTCTTTAGCCGCCGGGAATTACGTTAGGACACAGCTTTCATTCATGTCATATCTTCATGTCTATTCTTCTTGGAATTGCAGGAGTGAAGAAGTGAACGAACGCCCTGGAATGAAGATGTAGACGTAAGGACTCTTAAGGATAGGAACGGTTTGGCAAGCTTTTTATCATTGCGTGGCTTGCCAAGGTAATCACTCTCATATCATCTTCGCTCAAACTCATAAAGTCTTTTCAGCAACTTACTAACTTGGCCGAACACCCAAGTACGACGCAAGATAGTCCATGCGCAATCTGAACCCTCCCCAAACCCGGCCCGAGCCCCTCTCAACCCCTGCCCGAAGCCTCTCCAAGCCCCAGACTCCCAACCCCAAGCCCCCAGTGCAAAATGGGATGGGGCTGGGATCCTATGTGGGTCCCGAACGGTAAAACAAGATGTTCAAGTGAACACCCTAAACCCCAAAGAAAAAACTTTGTTATCTTGTCAAGCTCCAAAAACACGTGAAATTTGCGTTTAGCTTTTCTGGTCGAAAAGCGTTCCAGAAAAAGAGCTGATGTCTTGCGTGCCGGTTGCATTTGATGCGTCAAAGAAACCCCCAAAAGGCGCTGTTGCCCCAATCCTAATAGAGGAGATGTCTGTTCTATTTTAGGCCTCGCGAGGTCGAATGGTGTGTTTTTCGGAGCTTGGAGTGGAGGTGGAGGTGTTTTACCCGCACCCGGCACGACCAGTGTTTCCGTTTTTGTTGGGGTTCGCGGCAATCGAATCAACGCGGCCAGGGGAAACTGCGCATGCCGACGAGGAATCAGGCCGGGGAGTGAATTTCATGGCGTCAATGTGCGGTGGATTCCTGAATGTGGGGATGTTCTGCTGGGATGTCTTTTAAAGCGGCAAAATTATATGCTTAGGCTCACTGAATCAAACTCAATCATATGATTTTGCACTGGTGTGGCAAAAGCCGAGGTTGTTTGGTGCCTCAGATGATTTGGAAGCCTCAGAAGGGAACACCCACTCAGAATACAACTATCTAATTAATTATTGCAAGTAGGCCAAGTTTGGGGCTTGCAACCTGTCTAGAAAAATGTGTGTTTCCGCCCAATCAGCAAAAGTCAGCATGTTTGTATAGGGGATATTGGCCAACAGCAAGTTAGTTGCCTGATGAGCACCTGTTTGACCAGTTGCACATGTCCTTGCGAGGGTTTCCCGCAAGCCTCAAGCTCCGAAACCGACATCTGAAGGCTCTCATTTGGAAGCCCTGAATATGGTCACCATGCCGCTGTTTGTCGCTCGATCTCAGCGGCGCTGTTGTCTTTGTTTTCCTTCTCCGTTGGCTGATTTAGATATGGATCTGTCTTTTGGGGGGGAGCCCTCTTCCCAACCCTTTAAAAGGGGGTCGAACATTTCCAACCATAAACGAGTCATGACACCAGGGCTGCGAAGTTGCGCTCCAAAGTTGCGCAAAGTCTGCCCAGAAGTTTGCTTTTGAGTTCCTGTAGGAGGAAGCCCCCTTTTTTCCACTTCGCCAACGACGTCTCCTTACCTGTTCAGTTTTCGCGCTTGCTTTTTGGGTTGCCAACTTGTTGGCACCTCCGTGTGAAACCAGGGGTACCCCGCAAAAGACAGAAAAACGCAACTTACTTGGGTTTCCCTTTCAACCAACACTCAAAAGTGTACCCTCAAGAAACACCAGGTCAGCTTTTCCTGGTTCGAAACTGCCAGTTACCATCGAGATCCAGAAGCACGGTGTGCCCGCCGCGCTGCACAAGGCGCAAAATGATCGATCGATCGATCGATCCCTTTGAACCGAGTCTTTGGACGGATCCCGGCCCATTTTGCGGCTGTGAGATGTTTTCTATAGCTTCCACTGGCGCCTCAGTCAAAAGTAGTTTAAATCAAAGAGAAGATCCCCATACTGATGGTTGCGAAATCCATTTCGCACCACCTGCGAACACCTGGTTTATGATTCGATTCCCCTGTAAATGCCAGCAGACGATCTTGTCCAATGGGTTCGAAGTGGTGCGAAATGGATTTCAGATTTCGCAAGCATCCACAGTAGTGGTTTGCCTGGGACGCACTTGTTGCATGATGTTTCCAAGAGTGGGCTTATGAACCCCTAAACGATAGAGGGTCATTGAGGTCATAGACTCGCAGGATCCCTGGATAAGGTGGCTCAACTGATACTGGACTTATCCATTTCTTGTTTTTCGTGGCGGGTTTTTGTTTGACGTCCTTTTTTCAAGTTCACAAGGGGGGCTCTCAATATTTGAGGAACCACGTGACCAAGGGGGGACACCAATTCCATGCCTCGTAGGGTTAAGGCCAAATGAGCATGAGGCCAAACAGGGCCAAAGACTGCGAAATAAGTTGCCGCATGAGTTGGCACATTTGTGCTTGGTTCCCTCTCCGAGGCGTGTTTGGGTGGGTTTTGGCAATGGCCTCGACAGTTCGACTGGTTGCTGGCCAAAACCATGTTGGAAACGCGCAGGTTGTTTTCCAGGGAAAACGGGCACCGGAAAATCCATGCATAGATCCTTTAGGCAAATGGATGGAAGGCAGCAATGAAGGAAGGAAGGAAGGAAGGAAGGAAGGAAGGAAGGAAGGAAGGAAGGAAGGAAGGAAGGAAGGAAGGAAGGAAGGAAGGAAGGAAGGAAGGAAGGGGAAGGGGAAGGGAAGGGAAGAAAAGGGAAGGGAAGGGAAGGGAAGGGAAGGGAAGGGAAAGGAAAGGAAAGGAAAGGAAAGGAAGGAAGGAAGGAAGGAAGCGAGGAAGGAAGGAAGGATCAGGCAGGAAGAAGGCACAAAAAAAGGAGGAAGGAAGGGAGGCGGAGGGAGGGAGCGGAGGGGGGACAGGCTGCAGCGGCGAGGGAAGGAGGGAGGGAGGGAGGGAGGGAGGGAGAGAGGGAGGGAAGGAAGGAAGGACGGAGGGAGGGAGGGAGGGAGGGAGAGAGGGAGGGAAGGAAGGAAGGGAGGAAGGGGGATGAGAGGCAAACGCGTAATCTCCCCGTGCAACCTCACAACTTTTCAACCTTGCATGCGACTCACCTCGTCGCTCTTTTCTCTCAGGGAGTCCGACACAAGTATAGTAGCTGGGATTTTGTGCTCAAGTTAAAGTGAACGGCAGCAAGCTTACCAAACCGGAGTAACATGTCTAGAATTACGTATTGCTTATTAAACTCATTTGGAGTGCGGGTTTTGCCCTTGAGTGTGAACTTGTCTGAATTTGTGTTGTTTGAACGCCGTTTGATGGCTTCTTTTTCAGAGGGGCTTTTGGTCTCAGACAACAATGTTGCAATCAGCCCGAAGAGGTAATGTTCCACATAGTGAAGGTTCTTCTCTCTATTGTTGAACATTTGCGGTTTCGGATCAAACCCATCCCTTGCACTCCCTGCAGACTTAACATAGACCCCCCAAACAACCATCATTTAATTTGTAGAGGTATCTCTTCCAGGAAAATGGAAATGCTTGGGGATCCGTTCGTGAAAATTTGCAGGAAAGTAACTTGGGGTTCTCACTGGAACAAGACTTGAGCTTTTCATCGCAGAACAACAACTTGGGGTTTGAAGTTTAGCCGAGAGGTACCAGAGAAGGTTCTCTCCGTCTATGCCCGAAGGTTCCTGTCGAAGCTTTTCTAATGGGTGTGGGCCTTTGGTTTCCTCCCCGGTTTGGAGTCAGGCGTTGATACATATCCCTTTTGCATACCCCTAGGATGCTATCGCACCAGCAAGGAGAGCAAGCCATTTCCTTAGCCTGTTTAGTTCTTTTTAGTTGTTTTTAGTGTTTAAGCCAATGGTTTAGTTCTTGTTTTCTTTTTGTGTGCAAGCCATTGAGTTCTTTAGATGTCCTTAGCTTTTTAGTGGATGTCCGAGTTTCACCCACTCAAAGTGTTAGCGACTTTTCGCGGATCTGAAAACGGAGCGGTGGCGATGGCTCCCTTTCCGAGAGGTGGACCTCAGCAGCCTCCTCTTCTTCACCGGGGTGCTCCTCTCCGTGGCATCCCTGGAATCCGCAGAGGCCAGCACGAGAAAATCCGAAGTGTTCAGGGTTCAGGGGCTATTTTTGGAGGGATGCTCGGCCAGGTGAGGTGGTTGGCCACTTGTCTTTTTGTCACCCCCTAAGAAGGTGAACCCCACTTATTATGCGGTTGTAAGCTGGGAAGCTGGGGCCGAGCACCGAAGTCATGAAGATTAGCAGAATCTGAACGTTAGCTCAACGGCTGCGAGCTTGGCAACTGATGTCGCACGAGGCTCCTTTACCTAACCCTGGGTCTTTGGGGAGGTTGCAGGGTCGGAAATATGTTTTCAGCCCTGGATTTGGGCACTCGGTGCAATGAACAGGCGCAACTCCCCAAGCGTGCTCTGGATTTCCCCTTCGATTGAGTACAGTGGGCTGCAAAAGGCATGCTGGATCTCCCAAGATCCTGTCAGGACAGGGTGGAGGTAGGATGAAGCCCGAACTTAAAAGAGTCCTTACTCCCTACCGATACACATGGAACCCAAACAAGCACCCTTTTGAGAGGAATTGTCTTTTGGCGGACCTTCTTTTATGTTCCATGGGAATTTGCAGTAAAAGGAACACATCGAATGCAGTCCAGAAAAGTTCATAGACAGGCTTTATCAGGGCATGTCGGCTAGGACACGTGCTGTGGATCCCGAGTCCGTCAACGGTTTCACATACCATCACCATGTGTCGCGGTTGGCTGAGTTTTGTGCGGTGGCGTTTCCCTTGAACGTCAACCAAACGCCAAGTGCCTTGATTCCCCTTGGTGGTCTTTGGCTAAGCTTGTTCCTTGCGATGTGATTCAATCAACGGCCAAATCCCATGATTTTCCTCGCAAGTGGGTTGCTTAACACAAGGAGCTTTTCTGGCTTGCACGGGTCCCTGATGTTCCCTTGTCCAAACAAGTCGGACTTTCATTCGAAAGCAGTGGGATTCCGAAACCCATGGTTTTGCCAGGTGTGTTTTTGAGATGTCCGACACTTGGCGAAAGAGTTGGATCATCGCCTGCTTGTTTCTTTTGAGTGACGCAAAAGGGCTCGGTCAGTATTTCCAGTATGATCCAGTTGGGAGGGACATGGTGGGCTCTGGAATTTTCGATATAAGCTCACGGACTGTCTAGTCTACCCACGACAGAGAGAACAGGACATTCTGATCGCGGCCCACACACACACATGCCTACCCTTTATAAATATACATGTAAATATATGTATATGTATGTATATATATATATGTATACATAGGGTGGGCCCCCCGCCCAAAACCTACCCTTTCCACAAAACACCGGACATGTTCAAGGTTTTAATGCGTATAA